TTTTAGGCCCCGTCTTGGCCGGCACTTTGGCCTGCGCCTTGGCCGGCGCCTGGGACGGTGCCTTGGCCGGCGCCTGGGCCGGTGCCTTGGCCCCCCTCCTCGGCTTTTGAGGAGCCGATGGAGTAGGGGCAGACGCCGCCGCCGCGTATGAAACGCGGCCTCCCACCACGGGGAGCGCGGTCGGAGAGGCGGCCTTAGGCCGCTGTGCCGACGCGAGCGGGGGGCGCACAATCGGCGCAGGGGGCAGTCTCGCCTCCAGGCCAGCCAGGCGTCCGTCCAGCATATTCCCAACTGCGATGAGGATTTCACGCAGTTGGGAGTCAAATGCCCCTGAGTTGGTGGTAGGGGCAGGCTGGGACGCGGACGGGGCTTCCCGCTCCGGGAGGTTCGCCTGGAAGCAGGCGAACTGAGCGCTCAGCTCGTTCACCCGCTCCGTCAGCCTCTCGTTGGCCACCTGCAGGCGAGACACATCGCCCACTAGGCCCTCCACGACCTCCGACAAAGCGGAGGAGGAGTCCTTAAGGGCCCTCACAAACGAGCCCTTAAGGTTGACAGACTTGGTGGCCACCTTGTGAATGACGGCCACCGCCGCTTTCGCCCTCTCCTGCACGGACACGGGAGCCTGGGGGGCATTTCCCCCCACCGGCTCCTGAACCTTGAGCAGGAGATCCGCGATCTCCTCCTCCGCTACGGCCTCGCCGTCCACCCGTACGTTCCTGTACGACTCCGCGTTTGAGAACGCGGAGCCTGACGGGGTCGAGACCGGGGCCGAGGCAGGTTTGCGTGCCCTCCCTCGGCGGCTGCTTGCCACCTTTGGTGGCATCATCTCCTGGGACGTGTCGGTTTCCTCGTCCCTGGAGCGTCCTCGTTTCCGGCTGTCGCTTCGCTCCGCCTCCATGGCGTCAGCGCCATCCGACGAAACGGCGGATCCGGAGCGCAGCCGATCTGATGCTCTTCGGCTCCCAGAGACCAGCGTCAGACTGACTTCTGGGAGCCCCATCGAGATAGGCGTTCCCGACGCTATCTCACCCTCCGTGGACGACCCATCCACTCCACTGTTCCTGCTCTTCGTCTCCTTGTCCGTTAGGCTTGCCTTTGTCTGTTTTGTGTTTGTTTCCGATCGTTTTTTGGTAGTTTTATTTAATGATTGCATAATTGATCCCACGAGTGGGGGAGAAATACAGGTCCACCCGGGCAGAGATCCCCCATTACCCGGGCAAGCGTAAGTTTTTAACCCAACCGAGGGGTCCGCAGGTACCTCGGCTTGGAGTGCGCTCGCGACTGAACTTCCCATCAGCCATGCATCCCCTGGCCACGCACCAGAACACGGGATTCGGGGAATTTTTTAGAGAGGTTATCTTCCTCGCGGTCCGGGCGGTTAAGCCAAGACCCTCGCCCCCGATCAGAGCCGCGAGACTTAACCACAGCGCTCTTCTCGGGATTACGATATGCCGACGGTTGACAGGGAGACTACGTCCCCCTGCCTGCTCGGTGGTAGTGTGAGTACACGCCGAGCCCGTCCTCCTTTCTCCACCGCTGTCAGCGGAGAAACTGTGGCCCCTACAGGGCCCCGCCATCAGGTTTTTTACCGAGGTTTCCTCCTCCATGCTCCGAAGAGCGAAGAGCCAGCAGGGCAACCGGCAGACACGCCCACCCTGCTGGACCAGGCCTTGCCCGAGAGCCGATGAACGGCTGCCTCTTCTGCTAGAATATTGGCCACTGGCGATAATCCTCTCCTCCAAGAGGACAAGGAGGAAACAGTACCATCGCCAGCGTTTCCAGGGTGCACTACGAGGAGGTTTTCTAGCCCAGCACCCCAAACCCTATACTAACCTGTCTGGCCAGCGTAGTATAGTAGGCCAAAACCTCCTTTCTAAGGAGAGGCTTATGTCCAGCAGTGGGCTACCTAACCTAACTCAAAAAGCTTGAATGCACTTGCGTCTCTTATGTTTAGCATGTCCATAGAAGTCACTTATCATCAGGTCACTAGTGAGCTGGTTTGGACCCTATAGCTTTAAAAAATATATATTTAAAACCCCATTACTTTAACTTTAGAGTTAGCCAACATAATAACTCCAAGTACCTACCTAGTTAACGTAGGTTCCTAGAGAATGACGATAAATACATATTAAGATTTTAATTTTAAATAGGTGATTACTTTTAACTACCACATACGTTGTTAGTCCGTGTAGTGACGGATTAAGAATACGGAATGTCACTACCCCAAATCCTCCCGTGGGTGTCGTAAGATCCGACTAAGGGCGCAAAACCACGCAAGACACCAGCACCTCAAAAAGAAGGAAAACTTGACACAACAACTTGACGGGTTGGCATAGGGATACCAACCCTTGGTGACAGCCCGGGGGGCAAACTTCCAAGAGGCGGCGCGCCTGGCCACAAGGGGAGTCTCCCTGGTGGTCGGGCGCATTGAGGCGCTGGGCTTACGGGTGGCCCTAGATAAGACGGAGGCCCTGTTATTTCATGGGCCCCGTCGTGGTCCACCCCCTGGCGCCTCAATCGTGGTCAACTCGGTCCTCGTACCGGTTCGGGCCCAGATGAAATATCTGGGCCTGATCCTCGACGGGAGGTGGCTCTTCGACGAGCACTTCCGACAGCTTGCTCCAAAGCTGCGAGTCCTCACTGCGACTGCAGTGAGGACTCGGCCCAGCACACGCTGGCGGTCTGCCCCGCATGGGCGACGCAGCGCCGGGCCCTCACTGCAGTCATCGGAGTGGATCTCTCGCTACCGGCCGTAGTACGCTCCATGGCCGGTAGCGACAGTTGTTTTACCGCGGTCGCAACGACGGCGGAGAAGGGCCCGGGAGGACGACCTCCACTCGGACCCGATCCGCCGCCGGCGAACCGGGCGGCGGAGGCGCGCTTATCACCGCCTCATGCCGCCCTGAGTGTGGCCGCGGGTGGACGGGGTGGGTTTCCCCTTCACCCGCATTAGTTTGGCCAGCCGCGAGGGGGCGGCGTCCGCGTTTGCCGGACGTCGCCTAAAGAGAGGAAACAAAAAAAAAAAAAATTTGAGACGAAGCCCGCAACAGGAGCGGGCCGGCGCTAGGCCCCTCCGGATGTCTTAATAACAGCTGTCCCGGATCCCTCCTATTACAGGCGCAGTGGCACACCGTGTGGTTTTAGTCGGTCCAAGTCCGACACACCACCCCGCCGCAAACCCCGGTGGGGTGACGGTCCGAGGGGATTTCCACACGTTAAAAAAAAAAAAGGGATACCAACCCGTCTGGCCAGCGTGGTATATTAGGCCAAAACCACCTTTCTAAGGAGGGGCCTATGTCCAGCAGTGGACTATTAAAAACTGTTGATGGTGATGATGATGATACGTTTCTAATAATACACACATCAAAGTTCGTAAAGTTTAGTAGATCTAAGTTATTTTTACGTCGTTTTAAATATAAAAACTTAAAGCCTAAAATAAAAAACTTAAGCAAGATAATAAAACGAGCAAGTTAAAGGAAGTTTCTCGTTCTTAGCCTGGTAAAGTAAGTGCTATAAAGAGTAATCTCGCCTGATATACGGATATACGGAAGCCGTGCACCTAATGCACTATCCCACTTTAGTTCGAACTGCGGACGAAAAGTATCTCTACTACCAACATAATAGTAATAGCCTTAGTACGGACAGTCAACTTAGCTATTAACACGCTGCTAAGAAGATTATATTAATTTTCTCTACTTGTTTTTTTTTACAAAACAAACATTGCTTTAAATAATCTTTAAATAACCTGTCACAGTGAAATTACACTCCACCAATTTATCGCTTTACGTTTTCTTATTTTTTAAGATGTTGGATTTGATGTTGATTTTTGTATATATGTATGGTTTTTTTTGGAAAGGGGCAAACGAGCAGACGCATCATTATATGGAAAAAAGCTACCGCCGCCATTAAACACATGCAACTCAGGAGTCACAAGGGCTTTACCGGCCTTTGATTGAGGAGTACGCTCTTCTCTTGAAGGTCGTAACGGTCCGAAACTACCATCAACAGCCTATACTAGTCCACTGCTGGACATAGGCCTCTCCTTAGAAAGGAGGTTTTGGCCTACTATACCACGCTGGCCAGACGGGTTGGTATAGGGTTTGTTTCAAGTTTTCCTTCTCTTTGCAGTGCTGTTGTCCTGCTTAGTTTGCTGCCTTAATCATCTCTTACGACACCCACGGGATGAATTGGGGTGGTGACAATTTGTATTCTTAATCCGTCACCACACGGACTGGCGATAATTTGTTATACAGATGGTTGTCTGAGGCAAAGTGTCTAAAAAAACGCACAGTAGTAGAGTGCAATCTGTCCAAGTGATGGGAATGAAAATTTGGCCGTTAAGAGCAATGGCGAAAATTGCAGCCAGTATTAGTCCGAACCGTACGGTAGAGAATGCAGAGGGGAGGTACGTCTCTACGTAACGCCAAGGGGTCGAGCCGAATTTATGTATATTATGTAAACTAAATTTTTCAAAAGTGGCTCAAGTTATTTCTACCTCTTTCTTACACCCAAGTTTTTGTGTAAGCTTAGGTATTTCACTCGCATCGTCTATATTTTATCATAGTATACCAACCCGTCTGGCCAGCGTGGTATAGTAGGCCAAAACCTGCTTTCTAATGAGAGGCCTATGTCCAGTAGTGGACTGTTATAGGCAGTTGATGAAACTAAGTCTATGGTTTCACTGTAATGAAGAACTTTATATTTTGGTTATTAAAATATTATGATAAGTCTATGATATAAACATATTATTTTGTTTATTAAACATATTATTCTATGCCGTCCAACTATGGTTAGAGTTAGCATCAGTCACAGATAAAGATCAGTGTTTTATCTATGGTTAGCATCTCTTTTTCACCCAGTTTGACTTTGACAAGTTACAAGGACTGCCAACATAACCAAATTGCAATGTTATTGTGTCAGTTGTAGAAAAATAAATGCGAAATACCTCCATTTAATTTGATATTAAAAACTTAATATTTAATACATATATTCCTTAGGAAATGGTTCGTAGACAACGTGAACAGAGTACCACAGAGGATGAAATCGTCATTGGTAAACAGCTCAATAACCTTTCTTCATTGACATTAGCCTTCCTAGTACAAACAGAACGTATATTTACAGAATGCTAAATTACAGATACACCACCGCCGAAAAAACATAAACGACATAAGCATAAGAAGCATAAAAAGAGGAAAATAGAAAATGAATACGATAGCGAGTCGTCTATTGATGTATCGTATGAAGACGCGATGGACAAATCCTTTAAGATGAAGGCAAAGGGACGTGAATTACCAGGCACCTCCGCTGCAGATCTATTAAAAGCCCAAACGATGAAGTCATCATCTGACTCCCGAAGGTCGATACCTGGTTCATCCTCCAGCACTCCGCCTAAAGCGTCATCATCAAAGAAAAAGAAAAAAGGAAGAGATAGTGGTACATCTAGTGAAGAGGAACGATGGCTTGATGCTATCAAATCGGGCAAATTAGAAGAGGTATGTACAAAGAAAACTGTCACCAATTAATAATCATCATCATCATCAGCCTCTCGCAGTCCAGTGCTGGACATAGGCCTCTCCCATTGCACGTCACTTAGATTGATAAATAATAATAATACTAATGTGTTATAAAAGAAAACTACTATTAAAAGAAAATTATTTTAGACAACTTTTTTTATTTATGTGCATGAAAATGATGTTTATGTTTGTCATAAAATAAACAATAAAAAACATTGGTAAATCTTTTCATATGTGATTATAGTAATTATTTCATTTATTGATATTTGCAATTGTTCTTTGTTCTTTAGGTTGATGAAGAGCTAAAAAAAATAAAACCGAAAGATCCAAAAATGATGACTGCTAGACAAAGGGCTATGTATGAGAGGGGAACAGATAAAGAGACAAGCCCTGGCGGAGAAGTGTTACTTGCATTACCTTCAGGGTATAAAGAAAAAGTTATGACAGAAGAGGCAATACAAAAAGCTGCATTAAAATCGCAGAAAAGGAAACAATTAGCAGATGAGAAGCGTGAAAAAGATAAAAAGAAAACTATGGATAGGTTACTGAAAAAACAAGAATCAAAGAATTTAAAAAATATAAATAAAGGTAGACCTACAAAAAAACTAGAACCAATGATAGTTTACAAAAACAGTAATAATGAAATATCTTTATCACTGCCTCCTGGCATACCTTTTCCTATAGAGAGAAAGTCTCCTATAGATCCACCAAAACCTGTTATTTGTGGTGTAGATGGATGTGCCAACATGAAGAAATACAACTGTTCAAGAACAGGAATTCCTCTGTGCAGTTTAGAATGTTATAAAAAAAACCTTGTGTTAACTCAATAAAAAATAGCTAACAAGAATTCTATTTCTAAATTTTATAAATCTTGAGATCAGCTATGGCCTAAAAATGCACAACATTTTTGTTGCTTAGTAATGTAGTGAATAAGGAAACAACCCTCAATTCTATATTTAGTGTAGATACCTTTTTTGGTATTGGGTTGGAAAATCCTTGGGACACAGGAGCTAGGTGCATGTGGTATTTCCACTAAAAACTACCCCAACGGCCAGTGCCGTCATAGCAATATAAGGTTATAGATCTTGGCTAGGAATGATTTCTAAATTTTGAAAGCATTTGCCATTTTGGGTATTACTGGTATTTTACTAGAGTAGAAATGAAACAATGTAGGACATCTAAACAGTGAGCATAGTATAATATTCTGTAAGGATAACAAGTTACAAGTATTACAAATTTTACATTCATTGCATCATTAAGAACTTTCATAAACAGACCTATAATCTTGCAGTATTCTATTGGATTTATACTATCATTTTAGTCTATTGCGTCTAGTGAACTAAACAGATTTAACTTATATTGTAAGTAATCAATAGACACAATCAAGAAAATTATCATTAATATAAATATTTAATTCAATCATTTTATTAGCCTCTGCTTATTTAGACGAAGTGTCTGCACATTACGAGGATTGGTGTACAATATTTTTCACTTTATCCTATTTTTAATGTTACATATTACTAATCATTCATTATATGCAACTAATTCACTTTAAGAATGAAGAACACTTCTACATTCCTGATGAATAAATGTCACTGAAGAATGTTTTCACATTAGTTGCTGATGTCAAATCAACAACTACTGTTTAATGATAATTATAAAAAAAATCGTCAACAATTTGGTCTAAATTCTTATAGAATAATGATATAACTATCAAAGTTACATTAAGTATTTTCACTTTGGAAATCTTTATAATTTTTACAAATGCTAGATATTTGTGTTACCTACCTACATAAGTCCACAATTATTGGTAAAATTGGAAAATATTTTTATTCAGAATTACCTGAGTAATTATATGTAAAGAATTGTACACTAGAAGAATATTAAACTACTCCTAGCAAATAACAAGTACAATATTTGTAAAGGCATGTTCCCAGATTGTGCTAATTTGACCATGGATTTTTATTTTTGAATTACCATAAATTTTCTCTGATACTGACTGAATATTGATGGTAATAGCTACTTATTGGTTATTACGGAGAGGCTTGTAGCTAAGTGGTAAACATGTAGGTTAGCAAATTGCAAAATTAAACAATCCTGGCCAGGACAATCTATGGATGGGTGACCCTTCTTAACACATTGAGACCCATTTGTGACTCACAGAGCATGTGAAGCCATGGATCTCGGTTGCTATACGAACATCTGTGGCAATACTTATTTTCGCTTTTATTACCAAAATGCGACTGACCAGTGATGAATGATGAAATGTAGATAGTGCAATAACCCTCTGGATTAAAGCAGTAATTGTCTAAGACGTGGGCACTTTTTTAAATCAAAGCAATCTTACAGAAAATTTTGATACATTCATAAACATTTTAAATTTTTAAACATAGTAACTGAATTGGGACATCTTATAAACTCATCCTTGACATACCATACTCATAACAATTCATACACAATAGAAAAAGTCTAATGGAACAGTAGAATATCAGACTAGACAGAATCAGACATATTCTGCATCAGGCCTTTATACAATCCCAAATAAACCAAAAGTTACTTTCTATACATAATAGGTAATGTAACTCTTCAAAGTGCAATAAATCATTCATTCAAATGCAATTTCTTCATTTCATAACTTTGCTAAGAATGATAATAAGTTACTATGTTAGGCAATAGTTAAACTAATGTTAATCTTAGGTACTATCTGGTCAAATAGGGAAAAATTCACATGGAATATGTTCAATGCTCCTTCAACTAATATATAATAATAAATTACATTTCAAAACAACACCATTTTTAACTGATAAGTCATACTCAACTCATTTTATAATAATTCAAATGTTATTGAAATTTAATAAATAAAGTCTTTAAATATTTATATGTGTAAGAATATCTATAAAGCATCTGAAGCAGGCTTAGTGGAGCAGCATAACTGTAATGGAATTAACATATCCAGCTTTGAAGTACCTTTTTAGTGTAATCTAGATTTAGGTGGATGAGCAAATGAACATACCTCATTAGATATGATGGATGATAAATTAACTTGCTCTTGGGATGTTTAAGTTTACAACACCTGTTTTGATTACCATAGTTACATATAATTACAAATACCCTAAGAAAGGTCTTGGCCCAACACAGCGAGGTAAGAGCACATATCCAGAGTTGAAGTAATGTCTAATCTTATCAGCAAAAAAAAACGATTGGCAAGTTACCTTTTTTAGAAAGCTTAGCTACTGTAGGGTTTAATTTATGAGATATTCTTACTTAGCCTCTACACTACGTCGATTATACAGACCAATGGCTTATAATAACATAATTGAGTATTGTTGGTATTAGTCAAGTAACAATTCAACTACATGGCAAATCGTAAATTTTGTGATTGCAATGGACATCCAATATAACATACCTTTCTCACACTGATAGTCGAATGTGATCAAAACCCATCAGATTTTATACCTGCATTTAAATATATCAATATATATATCATTCAATCAGATTACATTTAATGTTTGACATTTTGTTGTCCTCAAGTACCACACCAAGCATGTCATTTGACCATCTCAACTTTTAGCTGTTAAATCACATTGGGGTGTGTCACCATCTACATCAATGGTAATATTGTTTATTTTGTAACCCTATGTAACTATTGCACAACACCGATACTAGGGAGCAACCTGATAGCCATTTAATAAATTTATGTTGACTTATGGGTATACTGCTTGTGTCAGCCATAAAGTTTTAATACTAGACAACATTCATTTGGCAAATCAATTGAGCTGTTTAAGTAGCGAGATATAATAAGCATAATATTATTTTTAAAACACTAATTACACCATAGATGTACTGCAAAGCTTGTACACTTTGTTTCTTAGATAGACTTCTTAGAGAAGTACACTATTTATACTTGTATATAAATATTTCTTGACACATACATTAATGGAGGTACATATTTACTGCTAACAACATCTATAACATGGATGACAGGTAAGTTATGTGCATATAAGAATACTGTCAACATTAAGATTTAAAATTTTCCATCAAGATTGAATAAAATGCATAAACTATGTCACATGCAAGCTTTTACACTATGACCTGATCCCAGTTTAATGGTATCATAACCAGATACATATTAACATTGCTATTCCCAAAGTTCAACGTTGAATGAAGAAATACAGAAGTGAAACTATATTATAAATTTCCTTTTCAAATGATAATTATTGGTTGTTAACCACAGATATAAATTGTACACTGAACCATTGATATGGACTAGATCATGTATTTACATTTGATATGTATGTGTTAATTTGCACAAATCATTGTCATGAATTCTTTTTACTTGGTATAACCGACATTCTTAAACTACTAACACAAAATAGACACAGTATTAGCAGAAAGTTGTCCATAGTATGTCATTTGCCTATTATAAATGCTTCACTTTGTGGACTGTCATTCCTCAACACTTGAGCCATGGAAGAGAATTCCACATGATATATGATGAAGGACACAGCTCAATAAACGCTACGGACCGAAGCAGGACGGCCAGCAACACGGCAAAAAATGGGCAGCTTGACATCAGCCGGACCATTTAGAGCTTCGAAGGCGTGCAAAGCCAAAATGTAACCGCTATGATGGGTTATTCTGCTTGTTGGATCTTAGCCGGGCCAAGCCACGCTCATCCTCCTCATCACTTGTAGCTGAGAGTCCAGAGACAGCTCCACGGGCAGATTGTGTGGCTTGTATTAAGTCTTGGTCAGGAGCATTTCTACTCTCATACAATAAAATACTCAATGTTTCTTCATAAATTCTTGCCTCAGGAAATTCTACTTTTGTATGTTTCTTATCTGTGGCATACACAATAGATGTACAGCAAACTTCCGCACATTTCTTGCCATGTCCAAAAAACGACCAACAGCAGATCTCAATTGAGCCAATCACATCTTTTATGAATAGCACTCTTCCACTGAAGCGTAGTGACAGTTTGTCAAACAATTCAATGTTTTTCAATAAATTATCATCTGATGTGCTTGTGTAGGAATACTTGTTATTATGTCTATTTATCAAAAGTTTTACAACAGGCTGAAACAAAAATTGTTTTCATAACTTGATTGCATTTATGTATGATAGAATACTCTAAAACTTATATGATTTACTATACATTTTAGAGTTCAGTGATAATTGTATCATGACATGTTAGACTGTTTTGTTATTGTTATATTTTGCAATATAACAATAATAAAACAGTAAAAAACTCTAAAAACATAACAGTGAAACATTATAAATGCTAAAATTTTTAAACAAAATAATAATATAGTTTTGAACTTAAATTTAAACTCAATCTCAAAATAGTTTAATTCATTAAATTATTTAAAAAAATATTTGAAATCATCTTAAAACTTAACAATAACCATATTAAATACTGACAGAATACTGTAACCTAATAGAACCTTATTAGAAAACACAGTTTTTGATGCTCGAGCCAACATTATAGATAATATGCATTGTGAAGACAGTTACAGTATACAAAGTTTATGTTCATTGGGGATTGCTTACTCACCTTTGAAGTAGACATAATAAGCAACTGCTCTTCTTTCTGTGAAGTGATCAAAGGCACACGGCATATGGGTACAGCTTCACTTTCTTTTTTACCCAGAGCTTGATGACAAGATTCGGTTAGCTCTTCTATTAAAAAATATTTGGCTTCGGCTAATAGTTCCATAATCTCACGATAATTATCGGGTAGGCCAATTGTGCCATCGCGAAGGTAATTTAGAATAGTGCCGAAGTGCTTTCCACTTCGGTCAATAAGTATCCACCCTGCATAAAAAAGTATAAATTAGCGTTGACTGTATAAAGAATGAGATACTATATCCGGTATCCCACCGAAAATATGCAATAACTTAGCACTTACCCTCAGAATCTGTCAGTACTTCCATTCTACCACTAAACATAGTTCTCAGCATATTATCGCTCTTAGTTAAAGTGCCGATAGTTGTGTAAAACAATGTACCGCCAACATTCAATTTCACATACTGCGATGGATGCCCTTGTATCAACGTTTTGTGATCGCCCGACATTTTACAAACCCTATCTCAATATCGAAATCAGATGAAGAACAACTTTATCAATAGAAACACTTCGTTTTACAAAAGTCTCATGGAAACAGATTTTGAGAATATTTGATGATAATTATAGTTTTCTATTTCTTGCTACATGTTATATTTTCAATAACATGAAAATACGAAAATTAGACAACGCGAATACCGTAATAGCTGAATCATAGACTAATGAAAAACAGATAAGGATGTACAAGATTGTCAAAGCAAATTCTATACTCTTTGAACCATAGAGATTTAAGCATAGAGTTAACACTAGACTCAATCTTCATATATAGGCAACCAGAGAGCTGATAATAGATTGTTCCACTATCTCATTTCTAGTCGAGCTCTGTGGTTGCCTGGGGAATATGAGGGATTAATAAGTAGCCAATCGCTACTTAGCTAAACAGGGAGGCACAACACTTACATTCAGCTGTACCCCGTGTTCTCTATGCTTTGAACTGAACTAGTGAAACTAGTCCTTTTTGATGTAAATTTGAAGACGGCAAAAAAAAATAATTAGGAAAATAAAAGTTACAAATCTCCCTATAACAAGATAAAAATATTCAAGAGTTTAAACAATATTATATTTAAAAATAACCTATAAACCGACTATCGCCAAACATGTTCCACATTAAGATGATTTCTTGTTTTCTCGTTTCTCGTGTGGAGAGACGTGTCCACGGTCCGGCCATCGCAGTGGTGACATCCAGGCGTTGGCTCCTTGCGGATAAGACACAGGTGTCCCTGAAGCATTTTTCCCGGTGATCACCTGCGTCAGCCGGTATGAGAGGGTCCCGTGATGCCTCTCGAGCCAATCCTCCATAACGGGTCTTACCGCCGAAGAAAAGTATCATAAAAGATATAGAGCTAGACATATATAGATCTTGAAAAAGTCAACATTATAATTGAAAAAATTATTTTCACTATACCCTTACATTTAATTACAAAACTTTTGTAACTTATTTAAATTTTTAAATATCTTTATAATTTTTCTGGCCACGTTTTGTAAATGGGACAAAGATATATATTTCTTACATTCAGATTAACCTTTCGTCCGTGACGAGTCCTGTAGCAGGACACGTCAATAATCGCGCATCTGTGACGCGTCCTGTCACAGGACGCGGCACAGATGTTTGTTTAAATGTCTATTAAATTGCGTCCTAAAGCTCTGTCCCTTTCCAACGTATTACGAATTGTTCACGAAAGAACAGGGTCTCCTCTCACATAGAATTTGGGAAGTCTGTGGTATAAAAAAGTTGACTTTTGTTGTTTTAACCGGTGGCCTTTTTTTGTTCAAAGTTTATAAACATGTGCAGTATTAAAAAAATGTATGGAAACACATGACAATTGCTTTTTATTTTAAAATATACTCAAGGTTGTATAAGAAGAAAGAAATATTACATCCAGAAAGTGTTTTATTTTTTATAAACAGGATAATAAAGGTAAGTTCTAGTTAACCCATTTTATTTCCCTTATAACAATTGCACTTCCAATCAAAACCAGGTGTAATGTAGGAAATTACGTAAATAAATATGTTTTATTTATAAAACTAAGAAGTTTTATACAAAATTCAATCACCTTTCGAAAAAATCTAGATTTTTTATAACCTAGGTCTCAAAAAATACCCTATCTGTGACGAGTCCTGTACTGGGATTCACGGATGCGCGGAATTGTCATTTTATTATGTCACGTATAAAAGGTTAAAAATACTTACCCCTAAATTAATCGTCAGGCGTTTGACTAGCACGACTACGACATCAAGCTGAACCGTCTATATAACAATCTGACACGCTTAAGTATTTTAAAATGGTGAATATTTTACATTTTCTAAAATTTGCTACTAGCTTATTTCGCTTTATCTAACGTGCGATTACTTTTTCCAGATTTTCTCCGCATCCTTTTATCCACCCGTGCAAGTTGGCAGATTAGCACACCTTAGTTATTAGAAGCACGTTGAGGCACTTAACTAACAATATCTTACATGCTCAAGTATTTCAATGTGACCTGTAGACAACCGACATCCCATAAACTAGAAAATACTTATAGGTATGCGCCATCTAAAAATTTCTCAAAATAAAAGTTACAGTATGAAAAGAAACTCTATTTATTTTATTGATAGGTACTTAAGATCTTAAAAATTTTTAGCATCTTCCAAAGTTTCTGGCAGCTTTTTATTTAAAGTTTCAGGTAAAAAGAAGATGGGTATTATTCCACCCAATAATGTAGTAGCAGTTAAGATAACACTTGGGCAGCGAACGTCTACTTTACGTCCCTGAAATGAAACAAAGCTGATAATATTGCTTCATCGATACCTCTCTTGTAGGTACATATTAAAATTATAAAACTTACCAAGTACAAAACATAAGGGGCAATAGCGGACGCTCCGCTTGATACAAGGTTACCCAACGACATGCCTGACTGTCGAAGACAAGTTGGATAAAGCTCCATGTTGAGTAAGTTAATTAAATAATATGAAACTGTTATTGAAGCTCTATTCGTAATCACCAAGAACATATCCAAAGCTTCACTTCTTACCCAGCCGGTATTGCCTGCAATTGATATAATATGAATTAGGATAGAAAAAAATACATAAATAATCTTACATACTAGATCAATAGTACAATAAATGCTAACTTATTTCACGTAGCCCATATAGAATCCAGATAGTAGTTGTCAACGAAAATGAAACAATTCCAGTATACCTTCGACCGATAGAATTTGCGAGCCAAGCTGCTACAAAAAAGCCCGGAATTTCTGCTAAAGATTGCCAAGCAAAATCCAAAAATGGGTTGCCTTCAGACTTCTCACCCGAGCTAAGAACTGCAACTCCATAATTTAAAGAAATGGCAAACCTGTAAGTGACAATTTTTATCTTATCAGAAATATGTAAGTAATATGTACAATACTTATAGGAAGTCATTCCGAATAACAACATTTACTTCCTCGTTGTAAACCAAGATCATTGATGAGTTAACCGCTAACGCTGTAAGAGGCAATAGTTGCGATTTCATAGATCAATGTAAAGGGTCTAGCAAACTAAGAATTGTCTTCCTGACTTATTTTTTACAAGATATCTTATAAATTTTTTCTAAAACAGTGTAAAAATAAAAATAAGTAGTTGTAAGTAAATGAATAGAATTAGTCTCGCTCTCAGTAACTAGCAGCACGGAAAGCCTTGCCGCTATACATGGTGGGTTCGATTTTTACACGGAATAAAAATTTTCTAGATCCTCAAATAGTTGTCTTTTAACAAATAGAAATAAAGTAGAAATACAAATACGTCTCACAAGAAGTTCTTATCAGAATGTAAGATTTGAATTAATAATATTTATAAAGGCTTGTAGTTAATAAATTAATGGTATAGTTTACATAATACAATATACCATAAAAGGAGTTGTAACATCGTGGTTACTACAATTCTCCAACTCGATAACAAAGCCAAGAGACCTAATACTTCTGTCTTGTTAGCTTTAGATGGACTTTTTGTCAAAATTTCACTCTCAGTATCCGGATGTAAGTCAGTTTTATTGATTTTCGATATATATTTAAGAGTTTTCAGGGTTTGCCTCGATCTTCCTTTTATCCAAAGCCATTGAGGAGATTCAATAAGTTTCCTGGAATCAGTAAAATAGTAACAGTAATTTTCCTACAAACCATATTAAAATACAATATAGTTTATAATAATTGTATTACCAAGAAAATATTAGGAAAGGTAGTTGTAAGGCAGTTGTAATAATTAAAAAAAATTGCCAATTTCGCAGCCACCAATAGAAAAAAGGCATCAGGAACATGCCTAAACTCGTAGCAACAAGCTTTAGTTTTGCCACCGATGCTCGTCTTTTTGATGAAGATATTTCCAATGATATAATGGCTGTGCTCTGCGGTGCAGACCACGAAGGGAACCAGGCTACAATGCATCCTATTGTAAAGAATGTTAGTGACGAACTTGTTAATATAGAGATAAATCTCCCGATAACCAGCATGAATATGGATATAATAAAAGTAAGTTTTCGGCCGTACCTGCAATTAAAATAATAAATTATGAGATGAAGTAATTTTCATATTAAAATCTTGCAAAGTAGGTAACAGATAAAGAAATGCGTGCGTGAACAGATAAAGAGATTGTCACACCGCCGGGTAAAGTATTACGTTGAGGTAGCATACCTACACCGACAGGTGGTATCCGAGGGGATTTCCGCACGGAAAAAAAAAAAAAAAAAAAAAAAAAAAAAAAAAAAAAAAGGTAGCATACCTACACACTACGTCGTGGCCACTTGTGATCTAGGGAGTAAAGAACCCTTGTTGGCTTTGACCTAAGATAGTCATCTTTTTTTTTCAAAAATTGCAAAAGTTTCATTACTTTTAGTTAACTAAACTGCCTGCTAGGAGATTTGTACAAAAATGCTCTCATTGCTCTTAGAGTTGCCAGGTCCCACTACAGAGCTGCTGTGGAAAAATCCAAGGGAAACTTAATTCAGAAACTTGTTGATAAACTCGATAGAAGGGGCCCGTAGTCACCTTTGTAGTCACGAATTTAAGGCAAATAGATCGATCTACCTTGCATACATACAGAACTTCAAAATTAATAATAGATATACCACTGGAGTGAAACAAACATATACCGTAGTAGGTCTAACTATCTTAAATCGCGCCTAAATCGCGATTTGTTTAGTCATAACACGAAGTAGTTGTCCTGCATATTAGTTATACCCCGCGAAAAGGAGCATACTAGGGTGGGGCTTGAGAGATTAGCCAATAGATGTTTGAACTTGACATCTCATTGGGGTGAACATAATCGCTTAACTTTTACACCCAACAAAACCTTCCAGTTACTTTGTGAAAACCTCAGTGTACTATTTAAGATTAGTTTTAGAAATAAACTTTTCATTTATCGAACATATTAAAATAGTTAATGAAAAGTCTAATAAGAGTTTCTCTGCATTGACAAGGATATCAACTGCGACATGGGGTCTATCATTTAATACGCTAAAGATCATATACGGAGCTACTTATTTAGGTTCTATGTGCTATGGTGCACCTGTATGGGCCGATAGGGCAAACGTAGGCGCTATCCGTCGCAAACTGTTACAAGGCCAACGACTTGCACCGATATTCTTGTGCAAAGCATATAGGACGGTTAGCACTGAGGCTTTGTCGGTGTTGGTGGGTGTGATTCCGGTCGATCTCAAGGTGCAGAGACGTGAAGCCATGTACTATTCAAGACAACAAAACATAGAATGCAATTTTTTGGGCGCACGAGATCGCGATAAAATTACAAGATTGCTTCAACAGCAGTCCGATGTCTATAATGACCTCATAGACGAATGACAACAACGCTGGGACGAATTATCTAAGGGGCGTCACCTTTACCAGTTCTTTCCGTCTGTTTGCGAACGGTTGTCGAGGACATGGCTGGAAGTGGATCATTGTGTCGCTCAATTTCTTACAGGTTATGGTAACTTTAAGAGCAAGCTATATTCATTTAAATTAGTCGAGTCACCATTGTGTCATTGCTCAACACTTAATTCTAACTGCGAACAGTTTGCTCATCATATCGTCTGGGAATGTAGTCTTGAGTATAATGAACGTAATATAATGCTGAATAGCTTGCAGGTATATTAGCAATAACTAAACTCTTTGAAAATTTTGCAAAAGTGTGACACGAAAAGATACAGGATTTTAAAAATATTTAAGTAGCAAGGTAAATGTACTTCTTATCGAATAAAGAAAACAAAGCTACTCACAAATCACCAAACCATCCAAAAAAAAAAGATCCAATAAGCTCTGCAATCCGACTATAGGCTAATATATTGGCAACATTTATTTCATTTTCACACACCCAATTATTGTCTGATGGCACTGTCGTTTGAAACCATGTTTTATCATAATCAAAAACATCGCATGCTGTAATTTAAAAAAGTTTATTATGGCTTGCATGTAAAAATAAAATTATTCTGTTTTATCTTTTTCCATTTAATTGTCCTTCACCTACATAAAGGAAAACATTTATTATTTTTCCATTTTAACGCAAAAAAGACACAGGTTTGCGCGTTCACCGCAAAAAAGGGTTGTATCAACTTGGGTTAACAGCACCTCCCTGAATGCCTAAGCCAGTATCGGAATCCTAAGCATGGGCATATCCTAGTGAAGTCGAGTTTAGGGGTCACCTAGACAGTAAGGTCAATTTAGCCTCGAAGAAACTCGGTGTGCTGAACAGATCGAGGTAGTATTTCACTATGGCCCACCGCTATGCCTCCACCTCCGCCTCCAGCTCTATAAGACGCAAGTCCGGCCGCATATGGAATACTGTTCATGTACTGTACATCTCTATTCAGGGCAGCCTAGTACCAGCTTCTCCCTATGGACCGCATCTAACGGAGAGCAACTCGAATCATTGATAGCTAAAAGATCTCCGATCGGCTCCACCCCTTAGCTTTACTCTGAATTCTCTATCGTATGTATCATGGAGACTGCTCCGAGGAAGTGTTCGGACCGCAACTTCTCACCATCATTCCATACGCTAAAAAATTTTAATCTCCATCACTTGGATAATTGCCACTTCACCACTGTGTGCTTTTCAAGACACATTTTGCCTCGCACAACCAATCTGTGGAACAAGCACAAGTGTCGTCTGCGGTATTTCTGGACCGATATGACCTTCATGCCTTCAAAAAAAGAGTTTACTCCTTTCTCAAAGGCCGGCACCGCGCTTATAATTCCTGAGTTGCAGGTGTTCATGGGTGGCGGTAGTCACTTTCCATCAGGTGACCCGTCTGCACGTTTGTCCCCTTTTTAAAAAAAAATATGTACCAAGTTATTTTAAATTTAAATAAGCGATATTTTTAATAAAACCTAATTCAAAAATCAAAATAGTTTTAGAGATAGTTTTTTTTTTACCAGCCCCTTGAAATGATATCTACTAAAAATATTTATTCATGTCATCACTTAATTAAATTAAACAAAATTATAAAAAAGTCGAATGGAACACAGTTTAAAAAGACAATAATAAATTGTGAGGACGTGTAAATGTTTAAAGTTTTTCAATATAATCTCTACCGTAGTAATAATTCTTAATCTTTATATTTATGTATCTAAATAATATTTTAAATATGAAAGAAAGTGTCTGCTTATCTGTCCGTGTCCGATACGTTTTTACGCCTCAACTTTGGAATAGAGATAGACCGGATCTTAATTATAGACGCAAGACTTTGGTCTCAAAAATTTAAACGCAAGGGGAAATATGCTGCGTTTGTATGAAAGACCCAATATTCTCTAGGTTAGTAATATAAAAAATCATCTGAATTATGTTTTCTCTTAGGCAGACTGTGTTGCGGGCACAAGCTGAATATACCAATTTGAGTCAAAAGGCTAAGTTTGTCTGTTTATTTGCTTAACTATACAACGTATACTTATGAAAATAGTCATGGGGACAGAAAGAAAATGGATACTTTTCATCACAAAATATACCTATTTAGTTAGCCAGGCGTACCTACAGCCATTTCAAAAGATGTATAATATAGCTACTAATTATTAGATTACAAATTTTATTCTATAGAGAAAGAGAGACCTTAATATTCACGCAGGTTATGTCAAATTATCAATCTAGATATGAGCAGGGCCTCAATTCTGCTATTACGCCAATTTATTTATTTATTTCTTTTTTTATAATTTTTATATTTTATTCTTTAATAATTTATTTTAATTTATTTATTTCTTTTTTTGTAATTTTTATAATTATTTTTTTAATAAGTTACTTTAATTTATTTATTTCTTTTAATAATTTATTATAATAAAAACAAATAAATCATTTCCTCAAAAAATGTAATATATTTTCAACTACCGATATTTATACCGATGCCAATGGCTACTCGATGGCATCTCAATAGCGTGTCAGTGGTATGACACTGGCTTGGCGTAAACATAAAATAGCAGAATTGAGGCCCAGTTAATAAGCGAGTCAAAACTTAGTTACTTACATAAAAATTTATAATAGAGAAAAAAAAGAACGTCATGAAGACAAAACATGTGTTGATTACTTTAAAATATTTATTAGTAAAGCTAATGAACTATTAAAGCGTATCATTACGAAAATAACGGTTTAAATAGATATCAAAGTTATTATAGAAAAACTTAACATCCTGGGCCTATATTTTAACATTTAACTGACGACAACGACAAATAAGCAGAAAGTTTATTTCCAACATTTAATATTTTTTTATGTATATGAATATAAAGAAGTATTTATAACAGTAGAGATGAGATATTTCACGGCTGTTTTAAATATTTAAGTAAAAACAACTATCATTCACATGATATTATGGCATGCATGACAACATATTGCAATAATGGAAAAAATAAAAATATTAAAAGTAGTACCCAAATTAGTAAGTGACAATTAAAAAATAATTTATAAAGAACCACAGTTCACGTACATTCGGTTTCATTGGATCCAAGGTTTGTGTAAATCAAACAACCACTAAATTTCTCTGTGCCTGCTACACTTTCCTGTCTAGACATAAAGAACACAAAATATTTCTTTTAAATGAATTTAAACATACATAAATTATAGTTCATAACGCACAGTACCTTGGTATATGGGTGGTTTTCCAATTATATTCGCTTATATTTTCTGGTTTCACAGGCAATTTACATGTGTGCGGTGTAATTGTTAGCGCTAATATTATGTTATAATATGCCATTGACCACAAGCAGGTAAAAACCACATTGTAAATAATATCAAACTTTTTCTGAAATGTTCCCTCATTGCCAACTTCTAAAAGAACTCGATCATAGAAAGAAACCATGTCAGACAAAAGAACACATATATTGAAATTACATACGACTACGTTATCAATTAAGTTTTGGCCTGCTTATCAAGTCACCGTTATCTTTGTTGATTTAACTTGGACCTTAGAAAACCAGTATTACCATTACTATTACAAAAAACGCTTAGAAAAATTCAATTCGATTAAACAAACAACTCATACGTTCAAAGAAAGTTTGATAACTGTTAATTGAAATGTTATACGAATGTTGATTGTCTTTTCAATTACAGTATGTTTATTATATAGTGTACTGCAATAAAGGGGTACTGCATAATTTGCATATACCTAGAAATCAGAAAAATGTGTGCAATCCGATCTACATCCGCAATAGTTCATGTGACTGACATTAATTAGCACCTGTTAAAAATCAATGCAAAATGAAGGAGGTTCTTGTTCAGATTTATAACGAACAAATCATGGTCCATGGTTAAGATAATGATGTTGAAGATGATCATACGTCATATGTAAAAGATGCGACAAGAAATAATAGATTGGGTGGGCGTGGCATGTCTACTTAATCGTTTGGAATCTTATTTAAATCCTTTGTGCAAGTGATAAAAGAAAAGCAAATCGTCAATGAGTCATGAAATATATTTTTACTGCTTATATCTATATTCTTATGAATGTACCGACTTACCTATATATATCGGCCTTTACAGCTCGTTCACGCGCAAGTGCGGGCCCGGTGAGTCATAACTAGACAATATCATCTCATTTCTTACTTATTATACACTTCGCATGATCATTGCTCTGTGGGTATGAAGGCACCCTGATTTACTGTGAGTACGAGTACATCGCAAAGTACGTTTTTTGTTGACTGGGTGGAAAATCCCTTCGGATCTCCGGTTCCACGGTCTCCGGGGACGCAGGAGCAAGGAGTATGTGGTGTTTCCACTAAAAAGCACCACGACGGTCGGACTCAGACGCCTTACTCCGAGAAGGATCGACCATGTTATTTCAGTTCCCCCCTCCCCCCGGATCGGCGCCGCGCCTGCTAAGGTCCCATCCCGTTGAAGCCCCGGGTCCCCCGCCTGTCGGTCCAATCATTGTATGTTGCAGCCCGATCGCATTTTTGACCAGGCCGCTATTCTATCGCGTACCGCAGCAGTTAATCCATATATAATACCATACTACAGCTAAGTTTATGTTTTATTCTAAAATGCGTTAATAGATGTATGTAGGTATAGTGTTACGGAACAACTATTGACTATTTTGTACGTGCAGTATGAACCATTAATATAACGTATCTTCCTTAAAATATCATTGCCAATTTTGCAGTTAAACGCCAAATCCATCAAGCCGTTTAGGCTACAGAGCGTGCAGAACAGATATATAAAATACGTCATACCCTGGCAAAATACCTAATCATAGCGTTAGATAGCCTCCTATAACATAGTTTTTGTATACTCTTAGTCCGTGTATTTAGATGTTATTTATTGATAAATTATTATATTATTAATTTCATTTGGCTAATTTCAGGTCTTTTGAACTTTCCTCTGTGAGGTCCTCGTTATCAATCGAGCTTGCGAACAATCATTAAATCAAAAGACACCGATGTTAGTACAGGCTGAGAATGTTCAGATCAAGAAATAAAATAAACTGGCTGGTTTTTTAACGTGAATATTCGGGTAAAAGGATTAGTTTTTTTTTTAAACTTTGGAATAATCGGTTCTTGGCAAATTATTGAAAAAAAATCGAATAGGTGCGAAAAACCGGTTTATTGAAAAAAAACAGGGAAAAACAATTTTAATGAAAAACCTAAAATAGGAGGTTGTAGTGTAAGAAAAAACGAAGACAATGAGAATTGTTACTTGTTACGCCTCGTTAGTGCCTTCTAAACTTTTTAATGTAAGGGGTTAATTTAGAAAACAAGTGTCTCAGCCTACCTGAAAGTTTGACACGGTTATAAAAGCAATTGTAATGTAATAAAAGCAATTGTTGCCCGTTTTTGTAACATTTTTCATTTATATTGGTTTCCTATTAGTCCTATCGTGATGTTAAATATAACCTTTCCCGATGAAGCTTAGCCAATCCTAAAATAATCTTTCAACTCCAACCAGTCGTTCCTGCGATTAGAGCGTTCAACCAAAGAAATAAACAAACAATCAATTTCTTCAGTTTTATAATATTAAAAGAGATGAGATTGGTTATTATGTTACCTTTCTTGTTTTCCGTAAAATTAATTTATTATTATTTGTTTACATTGTAAATCTTGACTCGTAATCAAAATCGATTTTTTTGGAAATCGATATTATATTTATTGTTTTTTTTTATTTGTGAATAGTAGTGATACATCAGTTTGCAATTTGAGGCGATTTAAAAATCGTTCTTTTTCGAAAAGAATCTCTCTCATCCCTAAACTTATAAGTTTTGTAAAATAGTGTTGTCCTTATAGTAGGATATAAGAATTTTGGCTTACTTAAAATTCCAATCTCTATAATAGACTTAAGAATATTAGCCGGCAAAAGATACAAAAATACTTTGGCACCACAGACTGCTGATGCTTAGATACCTAAATTTTAAAAGAACGCTTATAATATTGATAATAAATAAGGCCGCAAATAGTAGAATTGAAGTAGTATGTGCTTAATTTCATAAGTATTTTATGCTCCACTCTACTGGCAACTTTGTTCTCGACGGTTGACTTGACTTACTGGGTGCTTGCCGCCTGCGCGATTTTTCGGGGGTTTTCGCGCCTCAAATATTTATTTTATGTAATTCTATTGCAAATTAAAAACATTCCACAATGGGTGCCTATTTATCTGAGCCTGTTACTGAAAAAGTGTCCAGCGATGAAGCTAACAGCAAACTTGATTGCGGCGCAAGCTCCATGCAGGGATGGCGTGTCAATCAAGAGGTACTACTATATTGTTTGATTCAGATATTGTTCAATTGTACAAAAGATTTTTGAAAAACCGTTTAGCGGCTTTTTCTATTTACAGCCATGTGATATCACGCGTTTTTTTAATACTTCGTTCTTCGCATCGTTATGTTGTACAGTATTTGTGGTTAGTGCTATGCAATCCTAGGTGCATAGATTGGTGAACTATATGCATGTCGTAGGATCGAATTTCAAATTTGTATTAATGTTTATCTTATAACTATGTATGGATTATCTCTATTCCTGTGACCTGCGTGTCACTAGCCACATAATACATTAATATCAATGTGTAAATATTAACCAAACATGTTCGGAATGGTTACTGTTACACACGGTTTTAGATGTATGTAAGCATGTGTTTAATAAATTTATTGTTGTATATGTTCAATTTTAGGATGCACACAATACGATACTTGAGTATGATGAAAAAACGTCTCTCTTTGCCGTATATGATGGTCATGGCGGTGCAGAAGTGGCTACATACTGTTCACAAAATCTACCGAACTTTATAAAGGAAACCGAAGCATACAAGAGTGGCGAGTTGACAAAAGCTTTGGAAGATGCTTTCCTAGGATTTGATGCATCTATTGCTACTAAAGAAGTTATGGATATTTTGAAAGAATTAGCAGGTAAGACTATTATTTGCTTACAGTCCTTCAGTCATACTAATATTACTACCTTAACTACATCAGTTAGTCCTTTTAAACACTTAAAAGTTCTAATTTCAGGAAGTATATGCCATTTTTAAATTCTAAATGCGGAAACCGAAGCCCACAACCAATACCAATAGTTCATCAAACACAACAGTGAACAATAGTAGTAGTAGTATACATTTGATAAGTGTCATTTTACATACTTATAAAAAAGTATGTTTATTGATTTTATAGATAACAATTAGAAACCAGAAAAATGTAATTATATGAATTAAACATCTGCGCAACCACAATAAATAGCCAGTTGTCTAAAATTCTTGCTGCATACTAATATTTCTGTGCAAACAGATTTCTTTATGTTTCTAATGTTTAAGTATTTAATGTATAAATATATATCTATAATTAATACGAACCAAGTAGTAAAGATAATTTGACTATAACAAAGGTCAACATGTATTTTGAACTGCCACTTCAGCTTGCTAATCCGGTAGGCTATGTTGGTGACCTTCGTTCTCTGCTGAATCACCTCATTCCTGATTCGATCCTTTAGAGAAATGCAGAGCATAGCCCTTTAGCCCCCGTAAGTGTCCACGAACTAATTGAAGACTTTTGTCTTAAGGCACTGTGAGATATAACCTTTGTTTTACCTAAGTTCAACCGTAGGCCGATGCGTACAGAAGAGTCGGCTAGGTCATTCAGCATCTGTTGTAGGTCCTGAAGTGTCTCTGCCATGATGACGATGTTGTCTGCAAATCTCAACTGGGAAAAGTATTCGCCACTGATATTGATGCCACACCCTTCCAGTGCAGTTTGTTTTGAACAAGTCCCTCATTGCATTTGTGAACGATTTCGGGTAAATAATGACCTTTGTCTCACTCCTCGGCTTCATAGAGACATTTCATCACTTGGATGTACCCGTGTAACTCCAGAACAGAACAGATTTCCATCGAGTCAAAGGTCTTCTCATAGTCCACAAATGCTAGATACAGAGACTGGTTACATTCTTCGGTCTTCTGTATAATCTGCCGCACTGTGAATTTTGCAATCCTTTCTCCGGTGGTTATCGAGGCGGTTCGTGATGACTATCGAAAACAGCTTGTAGACATGGCTTAGAAGGAATATGGCATGATAGTTATTCAACATGATATTCCATCCCTAGTGGCATTAATCTTCATGATGAGTCATTCTTGTATGTATAATTAATTATATTAATTGGTTTAATGTTATTAAGATTTAAAAAAAAAACAAATTATGTAGTAACACCACAATCTCATAATTACCATACCATAAAAATTATGGGAACATTAGTATGAGATGTGGTAAAAACCCTCATTGTATTAATCAGTAGGTAGTCGTACCATCAACTACAGGGACATCACCCCTCCATCCCCTATCCGGTTTATTGAGGCGAACAATCGCACATACTCTTACTTCAGACATTGAATATTACCAATAACTGATGCTCGGTTGAGGTGCTATTGCCCATGATGGCTGCACCACTAAAGTGTGGAGTGCAGTGTCTCCACTACAGCCTTTATAGTGATAGCACCTTGTTTTCTGACCTTTAAAAGTCACAACTCTGAGATTGTGTTCAAATCCATCATAAAATCATCTTCATATCATAACATTATTGCAATGTCATGTGAATGTAAAATTAACAAAGGAACCAAGTGATCACATCAAAAGTAGGGAAAATTTTAGTTTCAAATATTGAAACAGACAACTTCAAATGATTTGATGTGACACCTGGAAGATGATTTAATATGTTTCTTGAAATTTAACAAAATAGGAATGAATTACAAATTAATATAGGAATAAACCATTCTGTCTTACAAATACTAAATATTTTAATGAAAATAGCAGGGTAACCTGTATTTTTCATTCTGAATAAAATTATTTAAAATTAATAAAATTATTTAAATGTATTTCAAATAAATAGCATCTTTAATGGCAGGAAGAGTTACTTAATCTATCTATACTCTATACAAATAAATAAAATTGGAGTATTTGTTTGTAATATTAAAATAACCGCTTTTTACTAAATGCATATGTATGTTTACACTGTACATATGCCAAAATAACATTTTTTACCATTTTTGTCTGTCTGTCTGTTTGTTTCTGGTAATCTCTGAAACGGCTGGACCGATTTCGACCTAACTTTCACTGGCAGATAGCTGATGACATAAGGAGTAACTTAGGCTACTTTTTTTAGACTAGCTTCGCCCCGCGGCGTTGCCCGCGGTTATAACAACAAACGCGGGTAACACCGCGGGTCTCAGCTAGTCAATAATATAATCAATTACATATTTTATGTTTAGTTATTAATGTGTAACTTAATGCTATATTTCTTGGTATTGCAAACGCCAACAGCTTTGCAGTTGCAGTTTCTTGTTGCTGCATTTTTGGGCTTTCATACCCATATTGATTAGATAAGATGCCAATAGGGCTTAGCAGAAGTAGGATTCAGAAATTGTCACAAATTGTGTATTTCTATTTATAATTTACAGCTCAATGGTAAGCTGTTATGTCAATCAATTAATTATCACAGTCACTGCTAGACATATATAGTCTTGCCCTATGTGCTCCAGAGCACCCATCTCCCTTTTGCATCCAGCCCATCCCAATCCCATTCTTAAGGTTGTCAGTCAATTTGGCTGGGGGTCCTGTTCTATGTATTGAATTACATATTCTAAAATCCTGTTTACCTCTTTAGTTTTAGGTATTAAATTAATTATATTGTACATTATTTTTATTTGATATTTTTTAATGTTCTAGGTGAAATTAATCCCCCAGGTGCCAGTGATAATGAAGAGGAATCTGAAGATGAAAATGTAAGCAACTTGTACCAAGAAGCCAGACTTCCATTACAGGTAAATTACATAGATGTTATTGGTTTAATCATTGTTTTTTAAAGTTATATTTAACATACAAGCGACTTTGATCAAACAGATAAGATGTAATTTTACCTGTCACAAACTGCGTCATAGCAATTCAGTGGTGCTAACTGTTGCGATGGCAACTGTGAATCTCAAGTGTTAATTTCTTAAGTGTATCTATACGAATTCTATGAAGTATGCCTGTGTAAGGGCAGAAAACAAATTCATTACATTTCTTTAATATCCTTCCGATACTTTTATCTTGATATCTTCAATATTAAATAGGATAACTTTTTCTTCAGAGCTGTTTTTGTCTTTATGAAACAATGAATTATTCGCTCAATTCGCTTCAGATAGGTGCAATACTTGTAATACTGCTACTGTGAATGTAATACTACTGTGAATGTGTAATGAATTACACTATTATTATGATAAGACGATACTACAGGACATCTTTATATGCAATATTTATAGGCCCGCTCAGCTCCTGGTGGCCGCTGTCACCCGTAATGTATTTATTTGGATAAGGAATAATACTGTATTGTTCAAAATAGCTTTCTAAAATACCCATTATTTTTTGTAAAATGTTAAAGATTATAATGGTGACTGTGGGTTATCCTTAGAAGATAGACATCTACTATCGCGGACATTTTTGTAGATCTTTTTAAGATATAAAATTGCGTAGTACATTATTTTGATCTATCTTGTAAGGTTTAGTCAGCGTTTGCAATGAAAGTGCACAAAAACATGTTTTTATACAACAAATCTTTGAAATTCTCGAAGTTTCTTTACTATAATATGCGCGTATTATACATACAAACCCGCCTCTTGAAACACTCTACAGGTGAAACCCGCATTGAAATGCGTTGCGTAGTTTGAAAGATCTAACATACAAGAAAAAAAGCTACTTCATTTTATATTATGTAAAAATATCTAAAGCTATACTTGTTATTGTTGCAGGAAGTACTGGCCAAATATGAAAACAAATTGAGCACACTCCACCGAAATCGCCTTGGTGATTCAGCAACTCCAATGTCACCCTGTCTTCGAGCCAAGAAGAACACAGATGGAACTACAGCTGGTGGCTCAGGTATAGAACTGTTGTCATCTAATTGCATTATACGCAAGTTTTATTTTATAATTCGTTTGTTAGAGAATTTAAACGTGGACGTGATCATCTCCATGACGAGGTGTGTGAAGGTCGGCCGGCTACTTTGGTTGCAGACTTTAATATTGACACAGTACGACAACTTATTGAAACTGACAAAGAACTAACTTACTTGCCAGCAAATTCGTGCTTTGGAATTTGGAATAAGCCAGGTGCAAAACTTTTTACATGTGCATCTGAAGGTTCGGAAGCTTTGCACTCGATGGATACTGCATGACTTAACATTTACAGTAATTTAAGACTGGTCCAATTGCTTTGAACATTTATTTCAGCCAAAAAATTAATTAATTGCAAGGAAATATACATTGAAAAACAATAAATATACCGTCTGAGTCTAGATGTTTAGTCTTAGTCCTATATCTGGTTATTTATCAGAATCCAGAAACTTTCAATATGCCCTAAGGATCAAGTATTTTACTTACCTAATAATAGGTAATAACAGTAAGTCCGTTGTATTATAACAAAAACACTATCATGCTATTTAAATGGGTACTTATCTACAGATTACTTTTTTTATATATATATTACTTACTAGAGTTAACTCTAGTAAGTAATACATGTATATTTTTTGTATGTGATAAAATATATTGCTCATCCCTTAATTTTTTTAAAGGTTTTTATTTATATTATATAAACTTACCTATTTCATTTTTATTGACATGTTATTTGCTGTTATCATTTAAACAAATAAAAAAGGAATGTATTTGGGACATCTTTTGTAATATAAGTTATGCTTAGAATTTATCAGCTATCATTATAATCTACATATGAAATCTAAATCTCACTGTGTAAACTGAACTTGTGGGTATCTTACTTTGCGATAATAATTCATAATCTAAATACGTAAATACGGGATACATAAATTAGGATAATGAAGGCCAACCTTTGGTAGGTAACCTACTACCACTAATCTATACTAATATTATAAAGAGGTATATTTGTGAGTTTGTATGTTCGGGGTAATCTCCAATAGGTACGAAAACTTTTTTTACGATCCTATTTTGAAAACTCTTTCACTGTTAGAAAGGTATATTATCTCTGAGTGCTATAGACTACTTTTTACCACGAAAACCGACATACACGCGGGTAGAGCTGCGGGCAAAATGTGAGGTTCGAATCCTTATTTATATTTAAGCAGCCGAATACGATGCAATATGCTTTTGGTCTCTATTTTGTTAATAATATTATATGTTATTTATAAGGCGAAAGAAAGACGACTGAATACATCAGTATTATATATATATATATATATATTCATAATGAATAACACAAATGCTTGTAACTAAGTTCACTAACCGACGTCAAAAGTTGCGGGTATTTTTGAAACAATAAAATAGTTTATTGTTTCAAATCTATCCTCAAACTTTTAGTGACTACTAGATTAAAATATTGAATCAAGGATTTAAATACTTTGACGTTCGTTACAATATTGCGCTTATAACCACATTCCATGAATTCTCAAAAGTTACTGTAAGGTTGCATGAGTTTTGAAACGGCGGTATTTGCATTAGAGCGTCAGACGGACAGTTAATGATTGCGTTGAAATTAGTTACTATAATCATACGCACGTAGCGTGTATATCTGTGTGTGATATACCTTAATTGAAGAAGGTTATAAGTCCAACTAGTTATAATGCTATAACTTTGTAAAAGTGCTACTGGACTTATGACCACGACCGTACATGGACAAGACACTGAATAATGGTACCTATACCAAGAAATTGGTACGTCTAACATCCCTGCGCAGAGACCTAAACTGCGGAGTGGACATGCCTTGTTAAAGTTATGGATTAATCTTGCATACGTAACTATTTCAACTAATTCCACACAAATATTATTCTTGTCTAAAAATTTTCATCAGACACCATTTTCAAACTTATTATTACCAAATCATAAGTATTATTTCTATATAAATGGTTAAAATTAAAAACAGTTTTAAAAATATATTGTAACCTTAATCATGTCAAATCGATTAACTTGGAATTACCTAAAAAAATACAAAAAGCCTGAAAACAAGTAGTGTGGGGTTGGCACCGAGCATTGCTTTAAAAGCCCCACCTGGATGACCTGTAAAATAGGATTATCTGGGTAAATCAAAACAATACTATCCGCCTGTTCATCATTTACCTTAATCAATCGATCTGCCCACAACTTCCTCTAAGGTTGTCGATAGACAGCTGTAAATTTTAGACTAAAATTATATTATGTGTATGTAATATTATATTTGGTAAAGCATGTTGCTGTTGCGATGTAGGTATGTTGTTGTGCTTATAGTGTGGCTTAAAGCTCAAATTTTACGATTAGGTGGTGCATCTAGTTCCAGTTCTGGTTTGACATTTGCAGCAGGCTCCAGTTCAGAACAGGCGACTGACGAAGCTTCGTCAAGCAAGAATGGCTTACCTACTTCAAAGGAAGAAGGTAAAAATGCAGAAGAAGATACTGGAGGTGTTTCATCTACAAATTCTAACGAAGAAGGCAAGGATCTTAATGGAGAAGTGAGTTTATATTTTTTAAACTATAAAACACTTCAGTGCTATGTTTATACTTTTTAGAGCCACTTCATAGCCCTCTAAGCTTTTATCAATCTGTATTTTAAATTAACAGCGTTGAACTGATCTTCATCAGTGAAGAACACATTGTTTTATATACTCACTATACTCAACTTGTACCCATTAATCTTTAGTTCAACATCGTTATCTAGAACAATGATGTTGTGAGTGTATGTACCTTGATATTTGAGACCACCATTTAATGACTAAGCTTATTCTCTAGTCTAATCTGCCCTTCTCCCCCCCCCCCCCCCTCCCCGATGCCGTATCGTCACGTTTTCAATTCAAAACTAAGGTTTGCTATTCCCTATGACCTGTCAAATGAAACCTATAACGTTTGTGAACGTTTTCAAATTGAACCCAACATCACTTGACTAACATGGTTTCGTTACGTTGGCGATTGATATTTCAATTTTTAACCGAAAATTGTAATTATGAGATTTATTTATCAATGTAACGTATTTTATTGATAAAAAAAAGAGAAACCTCATAATACGTTGTCATGTTGACATAACGACCGTTCAAAACATTATCCATGTTCAGTTACTAATCATTATGCATTGCATACCTTATCACAAATATACATAACATATACCAAATGATACCAGTTCAAGGCGAAAAGTCAGTAGTGAACATTTAGAACGTCAATCACGCACCAAAGAGAACAAAACTATATTCGCTTTTGTTTCTAGTGAATACCAAAGTTTTGAGTCATCGGTTTCTTTTCGCCTTGCAAACGCACGCACGGTTTAAAGCTATATGTAATTTTACTGAAAAGAAAACAGACTAAAAAAGTAAACATTTGTGGATCACACAAAGTGTTGTTCCTTGTAATGATCAACCTACAACACTCAGCGTAGTAGGAAGCGTCGAGGAGACCTCTCAAACCACTACGCCATCCGTGCAGTCAAAAAATTATAAAAACTGTTCAGTTCGAACTGATGAAGAGATTCCATCATTTTAGGTTTCAAGAATGCAATGCTAACTTGTATTTAAAAAAAAACAAAAGGAGCAGGAGCAGTTACGCAAGTTTGTTAATATGTAAAAATAAATTTCTTAGGTTTCAACCAGCGAGCCAGACGAAAAAACCAAGGAACCCACTGCCAAGGACGTCGAAAAACCAAATCCTATAGTTCCAGACAGCTCTGAAGATAATTGCAATGAGCCAGAACAGAGTGAAAACGCCAAAAGCTCAGCAGAAATTGCTCCGGGTAAAGACGAAATTTGCAATGGAGAGGTTACGGATTCAAAGCAAGTTGATGGTGAAGAAAGTAATATTACCTCCTCCAATGGATCCACCAAAACAGGAAAGGGGAAAGCCAAAGGTAAGCATAATTTCGGCATTAAATATATCTTGGCCAGATTTAGCAGGAAATATATTAAGAATTCCCAATTAAAAAGACTGTTTAAAGAAAACTTGACTGTTGTTGAGAAATGTTTTATTTTGATATCAAACATCAAATAAATAATTATTAGTATTTTAGATAATATAATTATAATAGTAGTATTATATAGATAGATGGTAGTATTATTTTAGAATTCTTTATGATCATCAACAGCCTTTAATATTCCTCTGCTGGACATAGGCCTCTCCTTAGAAAGGAAGTTTTGGTCTACTATGCGACCCTGGCCAAAATGGTTGGTATAGGGTTTATGTCTGTTACACGGGGGTTGTCCGGTCAATGGCACTGTACGGTGCACCGGTGTGGGCGGCGGCTCTGACCGCCCAGAATAGGGTACGCCTCTGGCGCCCTCAGAGGGTAATGGCGGTCAGAGCCATACGCGGTTACCGCACCGTTTCGACGGAGGTGGCATGCGCGTTGGCCGGAACTCCCCCGTGGGATTTGGAGGCGGAAGTGCTCGCCGAAGTTTATCGGCGAGTGGCTGACTCCCGGGCGGAGAGCGGATTTCGCCCTCCGCCCGAGGATGTGCGCGAGTGGCGCGAAGCCGCTCGCCGAGCCACGATGGCTCTTTGGTCGTTCCGGCTGGAGACTCCACGCGCTGGCTTCGCCGCCGTGGAGGCTCTCCAGCCGGTCATCGCCAAGTGGGCAGGGCGGCAGCACGGGACCCTTTCCTTCCGGCTGACGCAGGTGCTTTCCGGGCACGGTTGCTTCGGAAAGTACCTGCACTCGGTCGCTAGGAGGGAACTGAGTCCCGCCTGCCACCACTGCGACTGCAGTGAGGACTCGGCCCAGCACACGCTGGCGGTCTGCCCCGCATGGGCGGCGCAGCGCCGGGCCCTCACTGCAGTCATCGGAGTGGATCTCTCGCTACCGGCCGTAGTACGCTCCATGGCCGGTAGCGACAGTTGTTTTACCGCGGTCGCAACCTTCTGCGAGGTAGTAATCTCGCGGAAGGAGGCGGCGGAGAGGGCCCGGGAGGACGACCTCCACTCGGACCCGATCCGCCGCCGGCGAACCGGGCGGCGGAGGCCCGCCTATCACAGCCTCATGCCGCCCTGAGTGTGGCCGCGGGTGGACGGGGTGGGTTTCCCCTCCACCCGCATTAGTTTGGCCAGCCGCGAGGGGGCGGCGTCCGCGTGTGCCGGACGTCGCCTAAAGAGAGGAAAATATATTGAGACGGAGCCCGCACCAGGAGCGGGCTGGCGCTAGGAGGGGTCCGGATGTCTTAACAACAGCTGTTCCCGGATCCCTCCTGTTACAAGCGCAGAGTGGCACACCGTGTGGTTTTAGTCGGTCCGAGTCCGACACACCACCCCGCCGCAAACCCCGGAGGGGTGACGGTCCGAGGGGATTTCCACACGTTAAAAAAAAAAAAAAAAAAAGGGTTTATGTCTGTTGTCCTGCGTACTTTGCTCCCTTTGTCGGCTCTTACGACACCCATGGGATGATTAGGGGTCGTGTCCCTGTATTCTTAATCCGTCACCACACGGATTCTAGAATTATTTGCAATTATCTGATTTTAATACTTTATTAGAGAACCTAGCATGCGCTTTCAGTTTGATAAGTTGATGATCAAATCAAATTCGCGTAATTTGCAAAATTGGCAACTATGTTAATCGCTATAATTGAAATCAAATGTTATAAAAATCTATAAAATACTATAGATTTCAATCCAAAATTAACGCACCTTTCGATTTTCCTGTACAGAAATAAAATTAGTTCTAGTGTAGATACTATCTTGATAATTTATAACTACATATAATATTCATATTTTAATTATTCACTTCAGAAAAGTCAACAGTATCGAGTTCGGAATCGAATCCTCGCGACAGACCGAAAGACGCTAAGGTCCGGCGTGCCGCAGCTGCAGTATACGAGTCAATACTTCGTCAAATGACAGTCCGGGACGAAGACGATGATGAAAGCGACTCTAACGACGAGACCTTTGAAGGAGGGGAGATCAACTCCTCTGATGAAGAAAATGTTAATGGTGTAGAAGAGTCTTCCAATGACGGTACATTCTGATGATAATAATGCCCTACATAATGCAATAATACACGTGAAATGAAACAATATGTCTAGATATTAATTAAAATATTATTTTAATTATAAATATCTAAAATTAATTTGAATTTTACGAAAGACGATAGATTAAATAGTTTGTATAAATAAATATTTACATATTAAAGAGGGAAGAATAGTGGGTAGTAAAAACTTCTCAAGTATGATTTTTAATGTTTAAAATTTTAATATACATTAATTATTATAGGTGATGGCGAAGAAGAAGAAGAAGACGAGGAAGATTATGAAGCTGAGTCTAGTGATGAAGATGGCGAGGAGGACATCTCTATGACAGAAGAGCCTGGTAACGACAGTGGCTGCACAGCAGTTGTGGCTCTTCTTAGAGGTGAGTTACCTTTCAAAATACGAGATTAAAATTGAAATTTGTGGTGGTGCCAAAAATTTAATAAAATATAACATTCCTTTAATTTACAGAAAGTGAGCTCTATGTTGCAAACGCTGGTGATTCGCGCTGCATTATCTGCAGAGAAGGGAAAGCAATAGACATGTCAATAGATCACAAACCAGAGGATACACCCGAACTCGACAGAATCACGAAGGCTGGTGGTAAAGTTTCTAATGATGGCCGGATTAATGGTGGTCTTAATTTATCTCGCGCAATTGGTGACCACTCGTATAAACAAAATAAAGATTTGGGCCCTAAAGAACAGATGATCACGGCATTTCCTGATGTCAAAACGTTAACAATTGATCCAGAAAAAGATCAATTTATGGTGCTAGCTTGTGATGGAATATGGAATTTTATGTCTAGTCAAGATGTTTGCGATTTCATTCTGCCGAGATTGACTGAGGGCCGAGAGAGGCTTTCACAGATTTGTGAGGAGGTATGTGCAAGGATATTTATAATTTTTTTATCAGATGTAATCTTATTATTTTTTCTAATTGATAATTGTTTACATAGATGTTTGATCACTGCTTGGCGCCAAGTACGATGGGGGACGGAACCGGATGCGATAATATGACGGCTATTATTGTACGATTTAAGAATGGTGGAATCAGTGATGTTGGAAAGCACACAAATAACGCTGAGATTTCCAAAAAACGCGCCGCTGATGATGAACCAAGTCAAGAGGAGCAACAGGACCTAAAAAGGCAGAAGGTTGATGATACCCTCTCAAGTTCAGTAGTGACTTCAAGTGTCTAGACTTGTAATACTATAGACAAAAGTGTTCAAGCCACACATAGTATTGTGAAATGTATGGTGGAGACTGTAATTTAAATTATGATAAATAGACAGATTGTCATACAAAGGCTTCATCGAGTGTAATAGTTGGAAATCATTAATTGTTTGTAAATTAAGCAATGTTTGTTACTAAATTCGTCATCGATTTTAATAATATTGGAATATTTTGATCCGTGTCGTCGGTGTTGCCTTATTCGGGTCCGATTCGACTCCTAGTAGTACTCGTTGGTGTCCTTATAGTTGGTTATTTTGGGGTAACTCAAGCACTAAACGAGGAGATAACTGATAGTAATTAATTATAAGTGCATGCACATAGTCTCCTAACATAGTAAAGTTAATAAAATTCTCTAGTGTTCTTTGTGCTATTGTAGAACAGGTTGCAAATAATACCAAGCATTTAAAGTTAATGGTAGAGCCAGTTACGATTTATAAGAGTATTGAAGGAACATATTACAACATCATATTCAATAGTACTGTAACCGATATAAAATATTTAAGCACACTTACTTATTGTTTGCATAGATGTAGTAGATAACACTGGTGTGGAGGGGAGAATTATTTGGGTAAATTCCAGAACTGATTGTTGACGAAAGCAACTTAGTTAGTAAGCTAAACTGTAAGTGTAAGCTACACGATTGTCTAGGGTCTAAGTTATTTTGAATCCCACTTTCAATATTACAGAATAAATATTGTTTTATTTGTGGCTGGAACAGGCTTTTTTGTTACAATTTTGATGATGAATCATAAAACTTGACATCTACTTCTATGTAATATTGTGGTATAATTTTAAAAATGAGGATGTGTTTAATAATAATGAGTGCAAGAGTGATAATATGTCACATTGCCACCTGCGTTGTGATAAATACTAAAATCAGAGTTAATTTAGTTTTCTGCATCCATTGTTTTCATCATTTCATTAGTAATATGATTAATATGTAAAGTTTGACTACAGTATTGGCTTTTCAAATCTCAGTTGTTAATCCTTTTAATTTGCAGTGTGGTCAAAAAGGATGTTTATTTGGTATATGGTATGAAAAATTATGTCATGCCAGTTCCTATTTAAAATTAAAACTTCCAATTTGGAGTCAAGGGAATGTATTTATATTTCAATTATTTATCTGTGTTATTCTGTAGTATTAAGTAGTTATATTTTTGTAATCACAGATATTGTATTATAAACTTATTCATACATAGTTTTCTGATTAAGTAATTAAAATTGTCACCATTTAAATTAAATGACAAAAAGAAATAAATTTGGAATAACCCCATAACAGTAGTAACATTTTACAGTTTGACAACAGAAATTGTTAATTATGTGTGTTTCAGTGAAAATTACATTTTTACAGACTGCAAAGGTGTTATTTTTATTTAAGTGACATCCAAATATTTTACATTATTTGTTAAAAACGCAAGAGGTCTATCTTATTTGTGTCAGATATTCTATTGTTTCCATTTGTGTAGCCTCTAATATCTGAAGAGCGTCATATTCACTGTCAAGTTGTTCCAATATCATAGTCTTGTCGTTGATCTCCGCCTGAAAAACACATTAACACAAAACGGCTGAGCTGGCATTACATCAAAAATGATTATTAAGGCCTTTTTAGTAACTTTCTACTTAAAAGCAAAAGCAGAATGATCAGTTACGTTTGAAGTACAGTTAGAACGAACTTAAACCACACGGTTCGGTTCACGCTGCCGTTTACGACCCGACATTGTATCGTGGTCGGTACTATTGTACCTACGCTATGCACGATACGCTGAAATTGAGTCTATGCTAGGCTTTGCATAGGATAAACTAAATTTTGGTAAAGACATTTTGTTTGAAACTCATGATTTCTGAAAGGAGAATTTTGCTCATTATAAAACTAACTCTATTTTCCATCATTGCATAGAATATTGTTAGCCTTTTTTGTCACAGTTAGGCTTAAACAAAAATCGGAATAGTATTACTATTGACCACTTAACCAGACCTGCAATTTGGCTTGTTCTGATTCTCTTTCCTTGGAAATAGACTTTAAAAGGTTCATGGAACCAATTGCGGCCATTTTCTTCTTCTCTACATTATCTCCAAGTTCTTTTAACACCTCCAACAACGAATTGATAAGTTTACCAAAATCTTGAATTTCTGTAATAACATCGGTATTTAGTACGGTAAAGAAATGCCTAACATATAAATAATGAAGGCGATGCAAGTGTTTTTTTTGGTTTGTACAGTACCTAAGTGAACCTATTCCCACTCCAAGCAGAACATTAAAAATAATGCTAGTACATTGCAACGTTACGTGACCAAAATTGCTATTATTTTTTCCATTAAAGGAAATATAAGCTTTCTTTGCATTTTAAGTAGGAGATTTTCTCACTGAGGGGTAGGTACACAAAATTGTTTCTTTACGTAATTGACAGTCTAAATATACTTATCGGCTAAAGAATTAATGAACAACCCACACAACCTCATTAGAGACTTCGAGGTCTCTCTAACGCACAGAGTAAAGGTCTAACTAATGTACCAAAGCATAGTTTGAATCATCATGTATAACACACTTACTCGTATCATAGTCCTTACATGTATCTTTTAAATCCTCGGTTTCCTTGAGGACATGACTTTCAATCACTCGAATTTTATTAATATCGTCATAATACAAGTGAACCTTCTGTAATTCCTCTGCCATTATTATTCGTCTTCTGATACCAAAAAAGGATGGAACTATAAAGGATACCTACTACAATGAATAAAATAGAATTCAGTTTTTATTGAATTGTTTTTACTTATTAATTGATTTTGTTGCTTAGCAACCTTCTAACTCTTGGATTTATTGTGTTTTATCTATGCTTCTTATCCACGCGCTACAGTGCCATAATTCTATTAAAATAAGGGTCTATTCACAAAGGTTTAAAGCAAAGTTTCGCGTTTTTTGACTTATGATAAATGTTCTTATGACGTTAACATTTTCTTTTTTCATTTTCTGAAGATAAATCATTGCAGTACATACGGACTATTAGTATTAATAAAATACTGTTTATCTCATTAAGCTGCTAAGCTTAAAGATCATAGTGTAAGAACATAACCCTTTAAAAAAGAATTAAGTTTTGCGATGGGCAAAATACTACTGTACCTATATTGCAATTGCAACGCAGGGTAGCAACGCAATATAAATTGTTGTTCCGTCTTTCAACAAATAAATAATCACACTCCTTGGACTTTTTTTTCACAATTTGCTTTTTTGACACTTGCGACCCTGTGCACATCTATCAATGTCACCTGTCAGTAGGAAGTGGATACAAAACTAAGAAAATGTACCTTACGGATTAGAACAAAAGTCTCATATTTGTTAACAAAATAAATTTATTTAACATTGATTTCATTTGATGTATTTTTGTTTTGTGCAAATGGTGCGAACTGCGAACATTGTTATTACTTATCGTTCCATTATTTTACGTAACAATAGACGAATAAGTAATTTCATGTTAGTGTAAATATGGAAGAGCAGTTATCCCAAAATGACAAAATTATTTGGTCGTGTTGGGAAACAAAAACTCAAAAAGATGTGGTCAGAGAGGCTGCTGCAAAAGGTACCCATATTCTCTTGGCGGTCAAATTTCTGATGCAGAAAAATGGGTGGAGTGAATCTACAGCAAGCGATTGGTTTCATACCGAGGTAATTATTTACTATCAATCCCTACAGTTAAAATTATGTATTCCTTTGTATTGTAAGTTTGATTACTTTATAATATTGTTATTATAATAGTTTCAATTTACTTCCATGCATTATTTATTCAATTGTTTTAGGTGAAAGCCTGGACAATACAACTCCTTATGAGAAAACAGATTTTCAAAGTCTTGCATGTACTCAATAAAGTCAAAATAAATCCTGAAGAACACCTTATGACTCTAGCCAAAGATTCAGCACAAATAGAGTATAGGGATTTTATTGTTGAGCATTTAGAAAAGATCTCTAAAGATATGAGCAGTGAAAACTTGCAAGATTACCTCCATTTCAAAAGGCATTGGAACCTTTTGAGGTACCTTGAAAAATCATTTGAGACTGATGGCACATTTAAACAGAATAAAGTATTTGGTTCAGGACAGAATAGGATAATTGTAAACGAAAGTGAGATTAAAGCTTTGACAATTGAAAAAATTGAAAAGTACTCTGAGCAATGGAAAAGTAAAATTGCTACAGTATTATTTTTCACTTGCTTTGGTAAGTATTTTATACAACAATTCTGGTGTAATGAATAAATAACATGTCATGTGATATTTACAAAAGAAGCTTAGACTTAACTACTTGACCTACCTTCTACATCCAGGGGTTTATTTAAAAATATTTGTGCCATATTCAAATTAAATCATAAGATAATAGCTTTTTCTGTGTGTAAACACTTAGCCTACTTGTATGTAGGTATTCCCAACTTATTTTTTTACTAGCTGAGACCCGCGGTGTTACCCGCAATGGTTGTTATAACCGCAGTCAACGCCGCGGGTCGAAGCTAGTCTAAAAAAAGGTAGCCTAAGTTACTCCTTATGTCATTAGCTATCTGCCAGTGAAAGTCCCGTCGGAATCGGTCAAGCCGTTCCAGAGATTACCCGGAACAAACAGACAGACAGACAGACAAAAATTGTAAAAAACAATTATTTGGGCATATGTACCGTGTAAACATACATATGCATTTAGTAAAAAGCGGTTATTTTAATATTACAAACAGACACTCCAATTTTATTTATTTGTATAGAGACACAGCAACAGTAGATAGGTATTTGGACTATGTACTTACATTAAGATAAGAAAGTTTGAGTTAAATATAAAATATTTTTATAGCTATAAAATATGATAGAAAAATATATAATATTAGAAGCTAATTAATATTGCTTTTTAAAATATTTTTTTCACATAAGTCTAATCTTAGCTGTGTATTTTATTTGTGTTCAATTCAAACAGCATTTATCATCACTCAAAATTTTAAAATGAATCATCATTCAAAATTACAACTGAAATATGTTTGCATTATATTTGAAAATTTAACTACATAACTATACATAACAGTATTCACAGAATACATAACAATGTATTCTGTAAATACTCTTATTTGTTTGGCATAGTTTATGATATAGTTATTTTAGAAGTGACACTCTTATCTTACTACAATTAGTAGATAATTTATTTTCTTGGTTTGCTACATTGAAGGTAATTATTGAGGTCTCGGAATTGTAAATCTTAAATTTGGTATTTCATTTTAAATAAACTTACCATAAAAGTTAGTAGCAATAACAAATAAAAATAAAACTATTTTAATTTTAATCTTACATTTCAGAATTTTCACTATTAGACTTTTCGAACCCTGTTGAAATGTGGCACTACTTAGTTGAAAATAATAAAGCAATGATATTAGTCCGTTGGATCAATGTGCAACTTTCTGAAGTAGTCCGTGACATGAATGCCCGATACAACTTCTTTAACAATGAGGGATTTGTGAGAAAAATCTTAAATGTAGATACCATTGGTTTTGGCACTCAGGTGCTAGAAGACCTGGATGCAATATTCCGCAAATGGTCTGTCACAAATGAAATGATTGAAAGTGTAGCTACCAGCAACTGTTTCCAATACACAAAGCTGTGTATCTATGACACACTGTGCTCTTATGGAATAGTCAGTGAGAGTGAACAAAACAACTTATCCCAAATAATATCGCGATTGTCACGTACGCAAAACTTGAAACTTATTGATGATATTTTTACTGAACCCTGTTCCACCATAAGCAGAGAACACTTTTACGTTGAGCTGGCCAAATATTGCGTAAAAAATAAATTATATAAAGTTCTAACTTTATGTGTGGAGGGTAATATATTGGATACAGATTTATCCGAAGTTGAAAAAGAGCCAAAAGAGTGTATAGAACTTTGGTTACTATTCAAGAGCATTGAGCAAACTTCGGATAGACAAAGTCACGTGCTACCAGTCTATAACACGTGTGTGCAGATAGCAAACGAAAATATTGACGATTATGTTTCTTCTAATCCTCACCTAGTTCTAGGAATGATACTTCTTGAAGACACCAAAAAATTATTTGATATATTTTCTAAAGAAGACTTTTTACCGTTCAAAGATTTTAAATTGCCAAATAAGAAATATAAAGATAAATTGACTCATCTATATAATGTTTATAAAAAGTATTCTGATGTTAATCAAACATACGAGTTGAAAGACGTAAATGTTTACCAATTGCTGTCTGGTTACCGGGGACTAGATGTATCAAAAATATTTGAATTTCAGCTCGTGAATCAGAACACTAACAATTTGCTAACTGATAAACCAGATAGAAGGAGTTTAGGAAGTCTGCTGTCAAGTGATGTTGACGTAAAGGCCGCTAGTATAAAAGCTTTATCACAGCGAGCAATGGAGATGCCAGATTTTGCTGACGAGAAACTCATGAAGAAGTATGGTTACGTGGCCAAATTAAACCACGTTTATTACTTAAAGCAGTACCGCCCGTGTAATGCGAGTCAAGCTTTCGTAGCGCAGCAGTATCAGACATACAATCGCTTACAGGACAAAGGGGTAAAAAGCGCTTGTTGCGAAGCTCACGCTTTGGCATTGCAGAACTGGTGCGATGGTGCCATGACTGCTTGTACGGTGTCTTTCATAGCAATGATTGGATGCAATCCTACGAGATGCAGGGTACACATTTCAGCGGCTGAGATGATAAAAGATCATATGATTAAATATAAAGGATTTTCTGAAGAAAAAGCAAACAAAACCGTTTCTGAATACATGTCAAAATTAATACAATGCAATGATGACACTGCTAAAGAAATGTTGCGTTGTTTGGAAGAGATAACCTTGATTAAATTGTCTAAGAAAATGAAGTTGGATGGAAAAGTGGATATGTCAGTAGTCTTATATGAATCACAGACGATGGTCAAGTTTGCCATGTTACACAACTTGCCATTGCCCGAATCCCAGTTACGGGAATTCGTAAAGACGAATTCTTGGTTTAACTTTTTAATTTTCGGTGATGTGTTCCGGTACCCTCTTAGTCAAATGTTACAAATATCGCAAGAGTTTGAGAAGAAATCATATGCTGAACATTTGAAGCATATAATGATGCATAGGAGTACGGAGGATGTTTCTGAAAAGGATTACAAATCGAGTACTGCTAACGGACAAAGAAGACTTACAAGACTCAATTCTTTTGAAGTGGTAAGTTTAAGATTCTCCAATTATGTGTGTAAACGGGGAAGAATTAGGCTGGTACTACATATATTTGAACTGTTGCTTACAGGCTGACTGTACTCAACTTTCAGGGTCTGATCGAAAACCAGTAAGAAAATGAGGCCAATGCGGTGTGTGTAGTTACATTTTATTGTACTTATACATCTGTTTTCCTTAGCCTTTGTGTGTGCAACATAATTACTGAACAATTACTTTTTTAGAGAAGGGACGTTTATTTTCTCTATGTGGTTGGTAGAGTTGTGGTTTACAAAAGTTTTATTGTTTTCCAGAGTCCAGTGATTAACGGTAGTTTCGACTTTTCGTCAAGTACATACATGGGACGCGAGCTGTGGGAGGTAGCCGCTGCTTGTCATGGCCCTGAAGATCCACCAGCAGCTTTATTAAAGGCCGCGGACGTATGTCGCGAGCCTTTGCTTGTGTTAATCGCTAGTTGCTATGAGGTATGTATCAATTGAGGAAGATCAATTATAAATGCAAGTCTCACTGTAAATCAAGTTGTGCGTGGTGTTCTTAGTTGGGTAGTGGCTAGCAAAAATTGTTGATCAGATTGCTTTCAATTTTGATAGAACAGCAAGCTCGGTTAATGTGAATATTGTTTACACATATTTAATATCATTTGATTGACAACGTTACTGACTAGTTTAACGAACTATTTAGCTGGTTGCCAACACATTCATTTGTTACATTCGCATAAATAGAATAGCCGCGTTAGCTCATGTGCAGAGATTAGTAATATAATAATCCGAATATTTCGTAAGTTTATTTAATAAAAGAAATTAATATTTTCAGCCAAACGCGGTGCTGGTATTTTGGGCTCAGTGGATTCTCTCATCGATATCTCCAAGCGATCGTTCTCAAGCCGCGCTACAGCAACTGATGAGCCAACAACATGTCGTAGCTGAACAGTTCCAGAAAGTCGCCGAACTGTGTTTGGTTGAGGGATATGTAACAACTCTCCACGAAGCCATGCTAACATTTATGCCGGTAAGTTGTATGCTGTGCTGATGTACATTTTTATTCATATTCTGTAGTTAATTATACACTTACACCCAGACACAGAACAAATGATCATCCTCGCCACGCAATTATTTTTTCTGGGCGGAAATCGAACTTACTCCGTTTTGGCCAGAATGACTAACAACTAAACTAACAGGCCAGTGGGTCTTACTACCACCTAATATGATCTTCATTATCTTTTGCAGGAGAGTCCTCTTACACTATTCACGTCGTTCCTCCACCGCTGTATTAAAAAACGTGATTTCACCAGTGAAACGACAAAGCTACTATCCAGCTTCCTCCTGCATACCCAGCGCAAATACAGTGTCGGTGGAAGCGGAACTCCTTGGCAGTTGTCCAAGGAATCTCTACAAAGACTAGCAGTTTCTCTAGTCAAAATTGCTTTGAGCAAAAACTTTGATAGTGCGTGTCATCAAAGAGAGTTCCTGAGATGCTTGGCTGCTAGCCATTTTGAAAAAGGATTTTCAGGTATGTATTTTCTCTTTGTAGCTGGATTTATTTACAGGGATCAGGGATCACAAAGCGATTGTCTTTCAATTTGCATCCATGCTAATAATAATTCTAATCCTAATGTAGATAAGTGTTATTCGGCAAAACAGTTTAGTAACACGGCAAAAAATAATTTTGTTTCACATCTTGATTCCAAGAACCATTTATCTATTAGCTTATTATTATTATATTATTATCAAAAACAACGTCGATTTTGTGTTTCTGTGTCATTTTGTTATAAAACAGTTATAATAAGTATAATCTTGGAATCAAGATGTGAAACAAAATTATTTTTTGCCGTGTTACTAAACTGTATGTATGTATATATTTTAAAGGATGTCTAAATTTTTCAGTACCAACGCCAAATTTCTCAACGTTATACGAGATCCTTCAAATTTCAATGGAAACATCACTAGCTATTAACATAACAAAAATGCTTCAAGACGATTCTCAGCAATACATCTTAGAGTGCGTCGAAATGTACACGGCAAATAGAAACTATGACGTAGCTCTTAAAATAGCTACGCTGACCGGATTATCTGTCAACAGCATTTTAATAGCCGAATGGACCCATAAATATGACAAGCTGATCTCGAAAGATGAGCCGTTAGATGACAAAGCTATTACGTTTTTCATCGCGGAATGCAGCGAGTCATTCAAAAAAGCTTCTGTAAAGTTCAAAGATGCAACGGAATTCCTAGTTTCACATGTCAATAATATTTCGGACACGGTACAGAAGTTTTATTCATACAGAATAATCATGAGCTGGTTTAAAGAGAACTTGGAATATGGTGCAAGGAGGGAAGAAATCGAACATCTCATGTGGGAGGCCTACTTTAAAAGCGAGACCTCTAATGCAGTATTTCTTAATAGCTATCAAAGTACCATGCATTTTATTGTCAGCGGCCAAAAGGATCAGAATATATCAAGCAAAATTGGCAAAAGAAATGCGGAAAAACCGTTTACTATGATGCTTGATGAGATTGAAATTGAGTCAGATGTTAGTAATATTAACAACGTCGTTTTGTTGGAAGAGCCTGAAGCCGTGGATAGTTGGAGACGTGTTATGAACCAGCTCATAGAGCTGAAGCTGTTGGTAGATGCTTTCCGTTTGTCAGCCCTGTTTAAAAGTCCTCCGGAGTTCAGATACAGACCTCCTGCATGTCCAGTACAGATCGTAAGGACATGTTTGAAGCTCGCTGAAGGATCTTGTTCGCCGTATGAACTGCCGCAAGAATTAAGGCTGGTGATCTCTTCTCCCTTACTGCAGAGTAGATTGTCAAGTGAGTTGTTACATATTACTACAGATGTGCAGTAAATTAGTGTTTGACTTGGTTTAGGTTGTTCTTTTGTTAGATATGCCCATAAGTTTACATTCATAAATGTTCTAAGATCTTACGACTCCTTTTGGGTTCGACTCCGACTCCGATTTCGACTCCATTTAGATGGTAGCAACAAAAATTTTTTTTTCAGTCAATCAATTTTTGGCTAATTATTTTGCTTAATGTGTATCTCAATCGCATCAGTGATTTTTTTATTGCAAAAAACATACAAACATATTTATTTATTTACATGTAATGACTTTTATTTATAGTGGGATGAAAGTTTATTTCATTACCTTTCTAATCTTGTAAAGATTGTTTCCACACTATGGAGTCAAGTAATTATAATTACTTTCTTTATATTGTACTCTGTTGTTTAATGTACAAACGTTTTTGAAATGAAAGTTTATCACATCTGGTTACATAAAAAATAGCTAATGGATAAAGTCTTCTTTTTAAAGTCGCTAGAGTCTATCTGTATTGATTCCAGTATCAGGAATATCAGACGCGAGCTTCGAGGAGTTGGTAGTGATTCAAGAAAAGCCGGACAATTCTCCAGAAAGTTCACATTTGGCTGCTCGCGAGGAAGCTGACAGATTGTCCGCTCTCGATGCCTTGGCTGTACGAAGTGGGCTTTCACTTGCCAAGCAGGTATTTTATAATAAAGTAAAAAGTTTATTTACTAAAGATTAGAACATCCTCTCTGGATGTACTAAACGCATAATGTAAAGCTATCTTCCTCACTCACTTACGCTGTCTCTTAAATTTGCTATTTATATATCAACTAATCACTTATAACATTAATATACATTTATCCAATACTTTATTAGTATGTTTGTTAATAAAATTTCGACCCTATATCCTGCAGGTGTTAAAAGGTCTAACCCTAAGGAAGAGTTTTTGAAATTTAACCCTCTACAACGGGAAAAGTGGTCTGAAAATATTGAAACATGTTTTCACACGCTTTTATTAGCCTCTGATCAAGTTCGTAAACAATTATTGGAGGTCAATTTGATTTTTATTTATCGTATCGAAATGAAAAAGAATGACTAGCTATTTTATATATATATTATATGCAATATGACATTACCGTCTAGGTAGTCCTTCTTTAATACCTAAGATCTACTTTTCTGCGTTCTATCTTAGATTATATAATATGAGATCATTTTGTCCAGGTTGCCAGCTACTTCCGTATAGCGTTGCAGATCGGCCAGGACTACTTATGGGTCCTTAAGTACCAGAACCGCGCCGTGGACTTCATCAATCTAGTGAGCGGACGGGCGCGGATGTCCCTAGCTAACCTCGTGTTTAAGACCTTCAACATTCCAAACAAACAGGTTAATGAGTTTGGTTAAATATACGTATAGAGAGTGAATACTTACAAAGTTATCGCCAGTTAACCATGATATGTATGATTGACGGATTTATAAGGAACTCAATTCGCGGGGGCAATCTACGGCTTTCAGTCTCTATCACTCCACGCTTTCTTACGATAAAACGGTTTTTCTTTTTGAACTTATAGAAAATGATTTCCTACTTTTTAGTCCGGCTGGCCACAAAAGTAATTTATTTCTCCTTTTTTTAGTTATTAATGATGATAATTATCTTATTAGGACCAAAAAAAGTAATAAGTAAGTTTATCACTTATGCTTCAGCACACGCCTTAGTACGTGGCAAATGACTACACACTCTATTTAAGTTATTGCGTTTGTCATCGGTCCTTGATAAGTGTGCAAAGGTTCAAGTTAATTCGACGTTTTGAAAGAGCTGTTTTATGATATGATAATAAACAACCACTACCATTTATTATCTGATACTTCCTACTTTCGTTAAGTTCAATGTGTTTATTGTTGTTTGATTCATGTAACCGCTGACGGTGACATGGCGCAGCCGGTATTTAAATAAAAAAGTTTTAACGTTACTGTGAAGTGGTCTAAAGTGTTTGAAGTCTAAAGTTTAAATGCTTAATTTTTCAGGTTGCCGAATATCTGTGCAAAGAAATGGTGGCCGCCATAATTTCACCGCATTTAGTAAAAACATCTACATTTAGACAAAAGGAGCATTTTCAATACACATTATGGGGATACGCACTCAACTCAGATATTGAAATGTTTCTGAACATGCGTCCCGACGCTTGCAGTCATATTGGTAGACTGATTCTAGACCATCTAATGGCATTCCAAAAGATATACAAAGCTACAGGTCCCACCAAACTACCTGACAATCCCCTTGACGACAGCTGTCTTGATATAGAAAATTTGATAGATGAAGAATATCAGAATGTGGAAGGTGATGAAGCCGAATCAATTTTGACTGAAGAAGGTACACTCATGTCGGCCGAAACTGAATCAGTGTATTCTGTATCCACTGTTTATACGGTTGGAAATAAAATGTCACGAGATTCGAGAAGAAATTTGTTCGATGTGATCAATAAAAACAACGTTCATATTCGGTATGAGGTCAAGTCTAACATCAGGAGGATAACTAAGGGCGCGAAGTTGTCTACCAAACAGGTATGTGCTCGGATTAGGCTCAACTAGTTATACAGTCTAGATTGATAGAAGACTTGTTCTCGTCTTAAAATCTAGAATCGGGGTACTATAATCTCTTTGCTGTCACTTTGTTTTCATGTCAATACTTTTTTCTTCAGTAAAGTTAAAATTTGCTATACGTTGATGTGAAATTAGAACCGTTTCTTAATCGCAAGTCCGATCAATTTTATCTTACTGTCTTATTATCTTCACTTATAACATACGACGTAAATAAGTTTTAAAAGTTAATTTTCACCTATTTCTAAGTATCTTATGAAACGAAACTTTGAATAAGCAAAATTTTTAAGCTTATCTACGAAACTAGAGTAATTTTGTTAGTTTGTAATTTGGTTCATCGTTAAAGCAGTTCGTATAGTGAAACTTAAGCATAATTGGATCGTTTGCGATGAGAGGTAAAGGGTAGCGCTGTGTGGCAGGTGAACATAATCTGCCTGGAGCTGCTGGTGGTGTCGCACGAGTGCTTCGCGTGCGCGTGCGACACGGAGGGCGTGGCCACGGCGCTGCGCTCGGCGCAGGCGCTGGCGGCGCGCCTGCTGGCCGCGCGCTCGTGGCGCCTCATGGTGCGCCTGCTCACCGGCCTCGCGCGCTACACCGAGTGCGCCTACGTCTTCCAGGTGCGCCTCGCTCTACACGACCTCTCGACCAACACGTTACCATATAATATACATATAGGTATTCAACATTTACAGACGGGATCGTTGCTACGTGCTAACCCAGTTACATATTGCAAAATTAATCAATGTTAGCCAGGTCAGCCAATGGATGGTTGACCATTTCTTAAAACATTCGGTCCCGGTTGCCATACGTACATCTGTGGCAAATATTACGCTACTACTATATAGAGCTACTACCTCTAAAAAGTCCGACAACGGTCTATCTACATAACTTCGATATCGTCTAGTACTTAGATAGTGGAGGTGTCTGATGGCAGTCGCTCTGCGTAAAAAATCGAAGTCCAGTCGTATCGTAGTAGATTTAAAAGCCGACCCCAACCTACTTTGAGAAATAAAGACTCGGAGGAACTCAACATATACATATACTCCACGTTTTATTTCATCGTATTGTCAGTGGTTTAGAAGGTAATAGGTTTACCCTAGTGCATGTAGACACTGATTACATTCGGTCTCCTTTATAACTGTATATTCCGCATCTTTAAACTCTCGATAGGTCTTCTATAGAGTTGAATCTGAATTGAGAGTCCGATTTTAATCGAAAGAGAAAAACATGTTTTCATTATGCACGAATAAACAAAAATACATAACTTGAAATTACAACTGTTAAAATATTTATAGATATTAGGTAATATTTAGTCGGAGTAATTCCTATGAAGGTTGTGTCCAAATTAACCATATTTGCACCATGCCTTCATCATACTACCGACGCTGATATAAATTCCATTATTTCATTGTAAAGACACCGAAATGTTAAACTATACTCTTCGACTTAGTTCGAATCGCCAAAGATTGCAATTAACTGTCTGCATCAATTTTACTAGATATTTATAATACTAGTGCTATAATCAATTAAATCTACATGAATCTGAAGAGAAACAAAATTCAAAACCATTTTTCCATTTTCTTTAATCTGAGGTTTGTTATTTCTTGTTATACAGTCAGTCAGAGAGTGTATTTTTTCAGGCATTACGCGAAAACCATCAATTTGAATACTTGTTAGGACAATTCGACTATATGCTCGGCCAACAAATGGATAAAATTGCAGAGTTCAAGCAAGGATTACTAGATTTTCTAAAGACACACTGTCCAGGGGACACGGATACATACATAATGGTCGCCCTACATTTTAATATGTACGCTGAGGCCGCTAGTGTTAAGAGGAAACAAGCACTGAATTTAATCGAGGACTTGGAGAAAATGGCATTGGATTCTGCTAAGGTATTGAATTTTATGATACCTATGTATGTATTTTGCGATTGCATATTTTGTTATTGTTTCATTAAAATCGGCTATTCTTTTTTAATAATATTAGTGTGAGTGGAAACGCCCCCCCTGACTTTAAGGGGAGGGACTCAACTTGTGACTCCTGAGTTGCAGGCGTCAATGGGTGGCGGTAGTTACTTACCTAGTGGTAAGTAACTACCTAATGGTGACCCTTGGGTCGAACTTCTTTGTTTGAAATTCGACGCTACAGCGCTGTCACAGCGTCTAATTTCAAACTAAGTTAATTTGCTGTGGCAGCGCTGTACGCAAGGCTGTTTCCTACGAGAATAGCACTGCAGTTCTGTGCTCGTTTGGCCCCTTATCTCATGAGTAGATAAACGGAAAAGAGATAAAGCTTCATACAAGCACGAGAATCGGTTGCACTACTACAAGCACGCGGGGCATGTGTGCGTGACCGCTTGTCGCGTATGCGGCGAGTGGACAATCTCAGGGTCAATGCGACCCACGTTGTTTGTTTTGTTAGTTGCAAGCTTGAATATTTTAATGTAGAAACATGGTATTTTATTATAAATAATGGCTGTTTATTGTACTGTGTGTCTGAATAATACTAGACTAAAAATAAATCATACTTTAACTATCCCAAGGAGTACAATACTACTTTTTCAAGTAAGTACCTACCTTTATTTTATTGTATGATCCTTTTTTTTAATACACGGTACAACACGGTGTGTTTTTACCTTTTTATTGTTATTTTTTTGTTTCAAGTTTTTACTAAACATTTGTAGGTATGTGGGTGGGTTGGTATGTAGTAGGTATGTGTAAAATAAAACTGTACGTTAAGAGATCTGAACAACCTATAAATATGGGCAAAGATTATTTATTCAGCCATTACAAAAAATCCAATTATACGTTACCATCATTAAAATTAATGATGGTAACGTATAATTGGATTTTTGAACTATACCTCCTGATAATTTTATCGCATTTGTTGAATTACTCAAGCCAAATTTTTTGTGGAATATTTCGATCTTGAAATAAATATTGTCAATGTTGGCAACGAAATACTTAGACGTATTAAAGATTGTAAATTTCATATGCCTTGTGAGTGTTTCTCGTTAAAAGAAACAATAAATTATTAAAAAAGAAAGTTATCAAAGTAAATTGTAAAGTATTCCATATTACTGAATGAAAAAACTATTTAACAAATATTAAATAGTTTTATTAGTTACCAATGATAATTGTTTAATTTGTCTTCACCTATTGTGACAACCCAACCAAAATAGGTAACAATTTTGCACATTCTTAAGAAGCTTTGTCTCTGTTTCTTTTATCTACTCATGTGCGCTTATATCATAAAAATTATATTTTTATTCAGGCAATTTCCAAAAGGCCGTTCCAACCACCAGCATGGTTACAAATACACGACAACGTACCAACCAGATCTCTTTTAGATACCGCCTTAAACCATTGCACGGATGCTGCAGAGCTGTATCTTCAGGGTGGCTGTACTGGATTTGCGGGTGAAATGGCGACGCTTGCGCAACAGATAGCGTTACAGATATCACTGCTAAATGCATCACCTACTAGGTTGATATTGAATAGAAACACTGAACAGCTGTATAAACTTGTTAGCGAATATTTGAGGTGAGTTTATTTTAACAAAATTTTGTCAGATAGCATATTCTGTATTGTTTTTTAGGGTTCCGTACCTCAAAAGGAAGGTAGGTACGCTTGCGCAACAGATAGCGTTACAGATATCACTGCTAAATGCATCACCGACTAGGTTGATATTGAATAGAAACACTGAACAGCTGTATAAACTTGTTAGCGAATATTTGAGGTGAGTTTATTTTAACAAAATTTTGTCAGATAGCATATTCTGTATTGTTTTTTAGGGTTCCGTACCTCAAAAGGAAGGTAGGTTCACTTTGTTGTCCGTCTGTCTGTCAAGACCCTTTATCTCAGGAACGCTTAGAGGTATGGAGTTGAAATTCAAACCATATACTCGGGTCTACAGTCCTTTGAATCTGTTAAAAAAATCATACTTCTAAGTTAACTTAAAAAAAGATACGACTGTTTATGGTGCAAAAAACGCACCTTTATATTTATGGGGTCCATCAAGTTGAACTAAAACTATGAAAGGATAATGGCAGGCATGTATGGGACTTTTGTACCGCCTTGTGTATCTCATGGTAGGCATTATTGTTGTATGTATTTGGCTGGTAATATCATCAAGAATTACAGTTTTAATTACCAGATTTTTAGAACTGTGCGTTCAAAAGTTATTTCAGTTTGTAGTTTGCATATTGGCTGTAAGAAAGTCGTGTCACAATCAATGTCACAAATATGTTGTCATTGCTGTCAAGTTAACCTAGATATCTTTCAAAATCTTTTGTTTACGATTTTCCATCCATCAATAAAATGTTGCCAGGTCGAATCAGTTTAATTACTTTTTTTTTACATAATGTTCACGATTAATATAATGATTTAAATAAAAGTTATCAAGTTTATACAGAGCAACTTCTGATTTCTTTTTGACAAAATCGTATGTGATTAAAGTTTCCAGTAATCGCTAAATTATTAAGAACCTAATAATACCCATCTAAGGTAAGTAAAGTAACAAAAAGTAACAAAGATATAACATATATGCAGGTTAGTAAAAATTGCAAAAACCATTTGGTTTTTGCAATTTTTACTAAGATATAATTTTTACTATTATATTTTTACTTAGATATTCAAAGTATTTACTTTGAATATCTTTATCTCAATTGTCACCACTGGCAACTTACGTGATTGTATTAGCCAGTCATCAGTGCCAATAAATCGTTTTTTTTTGTTAATAGTAGTGGCAACTGGAAATAACCCTCACAACTATTATAGGTTTAGTACTTGTAATAGAGTTGTAAGGGTTATTTCTCTAAAGAAGAGAAGATCAAGTCAGGATGTTTTTGTATGTTTATTAAAAACAATAAATAATTTTAGTTTTATGGAGGGCTTGGTCCTATTGGCTGGTCGCGGAGGCGAGGCGTGGCGGGAGCTGGCATACAGACGCACCCTTTCAAATGACCAGGCGTATCTCAGGGACATGGCAGCGTACAGGCCTGATGTTGCACATGATTTTCTTAACAGGTTTGAATGTGTTCTTATTTAACATAGATGCATACGATAAATTGTCCATTGTGCCCCACCAGCTGCACTGCAGAGGAGCTGTGGAGAGCAATAAATATTAAACAGATTATATCTTAGCCGCTAAACTTGTTACGAATATTTTTTTTGGAAATGGTTTGAACATCCAAAAGCAGCTTCTTATTAAATGTGTAGGTAGGGGCTCCCAAGACGTAGCCCTCTTCCGTTTTATGCCAAGGCAAGAACAAGCTTGGCCTATTGTCACTACATACAGCTATCATTTTATAACAATTATAAATCATCATCATCATCATCAACAGCCTATACTAGTCCACTGCTGGACATAGGCCTCTCCTTAGAAAGGAGGTTTATAAATAAAAAATGAATATTGCCATGAACAAAATTAACTTTTGAAATATTATATCGATGCAGGTTTAAAGTGGAAAGGAACAAGACATCGGTGGCTCAAGCGGCTATGGCAGAGCTTCGTAACTTGTGTAGATGATATTCGCTTAAATTTTAATCATATAAGGTGTGAAGCCAGTTTCTGAAGTACTAAAAGGACAAGATACGAGAGAATGGATTGTCTCCTGTCTCGCCCTTCAACCGAGTAACTTAAAAGTTCTTGTAAAATGCTCGATTCAACTTCAATTTAATGGTTTATGGTTTAAGGGTTATCGTATCGCTTCTGCAAGCATTTAGTACTATATATAACTTCAGGAGGTTGGCAAACATCTTTTTATACTTATTAATGCTCATTATCTTCGTTAGTAGACGTAATATTATGTAATTAAGATAAGATTCAATATATATATATATACTATAATACTAAATACACCAAATATATTAGTAGTTGTGCTCTAAATGCTTTTAATCGTCTAAATTTGTTATTTTCCTTTGAAAGTTTATTCTAACGTAATTTAAATCGATCGCTGTGATATTTTTTTACTTGACTGATGAATTTAGGTGTATTTTTATATCATGTTTTAAATGGAATGGAATTAAAGATATTGAAATGCTTTACTTTTGTTACTTTAATATTAAAATGAAAAAATATAAATAGATTTGTAGTAATATTGGAAAGTTGTTTTATTTGTGTCCTAGGTGTCGCTAAGTGTGAAGAGGCCTTTGTCCTGCAGAGGACTATAAAAGGCTGTTGATGAAGATGATAATGATTAAAGAGTAGGTGGTGGTAGGTAAGTGAATCTATAACACGTAGTCCACTATGGTGCCTTGGTAAAATTCAAGAAGTAATGTTGCACTATAGTTGTTTGCAGTCAATTCATTTGTTATTGATTAGTGGACCCGCGCAACCTTGTCTGCGTCTCTTGAAAGAAATAAATTTTCCCCGTTATTTCAACATTTTTCATTGGTTCTCGGCTCCTATTGGTGGTAACGTGATGTTATGGAGTCTAGGTTTCCCCGATAAATGAGCTAACCAACACAAGGCAAAACGGCTACATCCGAGTCATGGACGATCACGGGCTGAATATAAATAGTAGGGGAGGTTTACATATGAAATGGAGACGGACAGGTCGTTGTCCTTCTTAGATGTTAAAGTAGCCGTGAGATCGGATGGGTCCTTGTCACACTGTGTGTACCGTAAACCTACTCATACGGACAGATACCTACACGCCACGTCTCATCATCACCCCCGGCACTTGCAATCTGTTATGACTTCACTCAAAAACAGAGCTTACGATCTCTGTGACCCTGAACATTTAGAACAGGAGCTAAAACATGTTCAGGAGGTACTCAAAGGTAACGGATATCAAGTGAAAGGAGGACGGAAGCAACCGAAAATAAGACGCAAGTATCCAGAAGTGAACAGGCAACCGGCCTATATGCCTTATGTCAAGGGAGTTACGGACAAGATCGGGTCTGTACTAAAGAAATATTCCATTCCGACAGTATACACACCAGGCATAAAGGTTCACAACATCGTCGGCACACCGAAGGATACATTGCCACTACAAACTCCGGGTGTTTATAAAATAGACTGCAGCTGCGGAAGCTCATACATAGGCCAAACTAAGCGGACTATTGCAGAAAGGGTCAAAGAGCATATCGCTGCTGTGAAGAACCGACAGACGAGCAAATCAGCGATTGCAGAACATGCACTCGATGCAGGCATCAACCACTGGATTGAATTTCACCGCACGCAAGTCCTCTCCACCGAACGTCACTTTTACTCAAGAGTTGTACGTGAAGCGATTGAGATTAAAAAGCATAAAACTTTCAATCGGGAAGATGGTTTTAAATTATCTACAGCGTGGAATCCAGTGTTAAAAAACATACCACCTCGCTTTTCTGCGCAATCGGTAAAACACCAGAATAGGGACTCATCGGTTTGCTTACAGAATAGGGACACTGTTAGTGTGGTATGTGACGGTAGACGGTACATGGCGACACAAAAATAATATCGAAAATGTGCGGGTAGATGAAGAGCCTTCTACTTCACGGATTCGACGACGGAGGGCGTGCGCCGATAAGCCAGTCAGCCTGTGACCACGGCCGGTGCAACCTGGTCGAAACGTCAGGCAAACCAGAGGTATGTAATACCCTAAATAAGAGATCGCGTTAATTCCCGTTAAATAATATTAATTATCATGGAACGCGAAAGTTTAAAAGTTAGAATAGTAGGGGAGCTCTAAAAGGGAGTTCGGGATTTACTCGAGCGTGTCAGATTAACATAGGAGAAATACCTTACACCCAGTTGAGTACCTCCACCAAACATCAGCCCTACATATAGAAGGGATCGTTGAGGGCAGTCAAAAAAAAGTCTAACCAGTATTTCGAAATGGCGATTTTTTTAATATGCAGTTTGCATAATAATAATAATAATACCTCAGCCTATGCTTGTCCACTGCTGGACATAGGCTGTTTGCATAATAATATTCGATAATTCGCTACTAACTTGTGTCACTCACACACACACTAATATGATCACTCCTAAAAGAGATTATTACTTGCGTAAATTAGACAAAACTGCAATGACACGCTTTTATTGCAATTTACGCACGAAAATTCAAAGTGTAAATTAAAATGTTTTCATTGCCACTTCAAATTTTAGTATACTTTCTAGTAGTATACAGCTGCCTCAGGATCATATTAAAATATTCTTCAAAGAAGAATGCACCCAATAAATACTCTTTTACATTATATAACTAACCAGGTTTATAATGATACAAATTCATACTTAAAATATATTTTATTTATAAATTAAAACAAGACCCAACACAAGACATCGGCTATACTCTATTACATAAGGTGAAAGAGATTATAAAGCCCTAATTTAGGGTACAAGTGAAAAGAACCTCAGTCCTTCTAATACTTGAACGTACAGGCGATCCAGTACCATTCATGTAAACTATAAAAATACAAATAATAAAAGAATTAAGTAACATAGGTACTGAACGCTTAAAACAACATTATATACAAACATACTGATATTAAAATATTTATATCTACCAACAATTTGTCATTTATTAATCGAGATAGTCATATTAATATACTCATATACATATAAGCTATTTTTCAAATACCTACTCAATCTTTTAAATGATATCCAGACACGCCTCTAAATTTTATAAAGCATAGAGTAAAAGATTGTTGTTTGTGAAAGACTTGTATCGTATCAAACTGATTACATTTATTTTATTTTTTCAATAAATATGTTTTTATTGTATAATTCTTTTTGCACTGTGTACCTACCTGTTAATGTTAAGATCTAGGAAGGTATATGTCTGAATATCTTATAAAAGTTAGAGTTAGAGGGAGTTTATAATAAAAAGTTATTACAGAAATTGAACCTGGGAAGAGAAAAAAAAACATATTCCGTTTTAAGGAAATTAAAAAAAAAAGTATATCAAAATCATGGTTATTAAAAATAACTGTTTAATTGCTGATAGACTTAATTACCTCGCAGGTATTCTAGAGCACCCAATAAATAGTGTTAACCTACACAGCAAGAAATAATATATCTCTTTGCTAAATTAGGATACAGATGCGTAGGTCTTTTTGTCACAAACCTTGTCTACAAACCTCTTCGAACTTTATTAAATTAAGCAACCGTTTTTTAGAATACTGATCCATAGAGTAGAATTAGAAACAAAATAAATAAAAATACTTTTTCAAAAGATAATGTTGCTTGGAAGTGCAACGCTATTCATGCTATATGCATTGCATTGCATCTTACTTTTAAGAAATGTTATCTTTTGTATCGTTAAATATCACAAAAAATCCTAATCAAAAAGATATAAATTAGCTATTAGCAATTGCCACATAATGATATCCACCGATAGATTCAATTTTCTAACACTTGTTTAGACTGTTCACTTTTTTTACATATTTAGGTATTCTCAGAGGTTTGTAGCAAATCAAAAAATATTAATGTATAAATAAATACGAATATACAATTAAAATAAATGTAACAAAGACTCTGAATTGTCACGCTTTAGCTCATTCTTGATACATCAGCGACGGACTGAGGATTGTAGGATACAAATTGGAATGTAAATTATTCGAAGTAAATGCTTTAATACAAAAAATATTATCTAGAAAGTAGAGTATATTTTTATAAAGTCACAATAATTTTGTTCCCGAGGTTTAGATAGTTATCTACACGTAAAACAATCAAATCTAAAAGTGAGTGAGTAGGCTTACTTCAATCGAATAAGGTGATGAGGCCTACTTATATCTTTAGGAATTTTTATATACTTATTTGAGAATGTATTAAAAAGGAATATATTTTGACAATAATGTCTTCCATATAATTATTTCCTACGAATAGTGTCAAAATTAGTCACCAATAGTGTTAAATAAATACCTATTACGTGACAAAATACAATAATCAAAGATATCGTCAGTTTTATAAATTAGGTATGTACATCGAAGTAAAATTGTCATGTCATGTTGTGATATAAATTGGCATATGAAACAAATTATTTTTCAATTGTAACTATGTGTTTACACAATTATTAAACTTCATAACATTTTTTTGTGTTATGTTTCTTATAGACAGCAAATGTGTATCATTCGGTATTGTTTTTCCATATATACCTACTATATATGTGATTGTGTAATAATTATTTAATAGTCTTTATTGATTAACAAGTTAATGACTAACAAAGAGAAGATGTTCACTTCTAAAATATTTTCAAGTTTACAAAAATACATCATAATAAAATACATTCTTATTAACTACATGGTGTCGCAGGGCGTTGGTGTTAAGCAATGAAAATAATTTATACAAGTATATATTATAACTTCCTTATATTAGGTATTTATATATATATATATATAAATATATATATAACTATTTTGCAACGTAATTATATATACTTATAATTGACTTCGGTAACGTTGTAAGCTACTTCTACGGCCTAGTTATTGTACTTAGTGGTAGATTTGTAAGTCCTATATATGTATAAATGAATGTAACAACATGTACTTTACTTCTAAGACAAAAGTTTATTAATAATCCTTTGCGCTCTTGGTAGGTAGATTTTAAAATATAGATATCGCAATAGGCTCTAGAGGTGTTTCGGTTACCAAAATATTTCAATTATTATAATTATAATGTTTCTAAACAAAATTTAACGCTTTGGCAGAAGAATTTATACAAAAGCAACTCTTAACCAAATACCTAAATGAATTGCTTTTAAATTTGAGCAAAATAATTTATTGCGTAAACAACGCTCTAAAATCAATTAGGAAGCAAGGAGAAAAAGAAATTAACGTTTTGAACGTTGATATGTTAAACACTGGGACGAGGAGGTATAGTTCAGCTAAGGTTCTGACATACGACAACCGAGTCTTTCACGACTAACAGTAATACGAGATCTTTGTTGCTGTTATTCAACAACTGTCTTACATGTCTTATACGACATATCTTACAAATAATAAATAGTAAATCTTTCTTGGTAACTGCACATTAGTAAGGATACTATAAATGTGTGTAAAACAAGTTTAATTTAAGTAAAACAAGTATCCTAATGCCAATAAAATACTTTCATACAGGATTTTTAAGGAGGTCTCCAAACAGACTACTTGCTCTGAGTGATCGAGAACAAATGTTTACATGACATTATTTTTTGCTAGCATCAAAACCGCGTTAATTTAGCAGACTTTTCTTACAAAAGAATAATACACTTAATTCAGTGTTAAATATAGTTTTTTAGTGTTGTGTTTATGTTAAATGTACCTTTAATATTTTTTAATTGCACGTCTAAAGCCATTTTAACAAGACCTTTTTCATTCAGCAACAGAGTAATTTTTTTCTATTTGAAAATTAAACATGTGCACTTGCTTATCTTTAATAGCGAGACCTAGTTGGCTTTTAGATAATACATTGTGTATATAGGTATGCTATTTAATGTCGTATCACTGGCACCTATCACAAATCCACATCTTCAGAACCCCGCATGTGAAAAACTCGAACAGTAAACTTATTATAAGTATATTATGTACAATATAATAGCTAACATTGTAGCACTTCCACACATCCACAAACATTCCACTTATAAGTTTATTTCCATACTAACATCATCACAGTCTTCTCACAGGTTCTTAACTAAACTACAAACATTTGACACCGCGATTGTCAACAATATCCATTATTTTGAATTTTGAGTAATCTAATATATTTATGTACAAATGATTCCATAGAGATAACTGTAAGTCGAGGAACAATTTAATAAAATCACAATGTCATGCTGTAGATAGGCAAACATAATAAAATCGTTTCCCATAATATAAAGTAGTCTTTACTTATACATAACTTCGTCAAACTCATTTACAGTATTTTTACAAACCGGGGCGGGTTTGAGATAGCTCAGTTAAGTTCGAGTACGGTTGCAATTGTTTCCTATTTCAAACTTAAGTATACACAAATTTTGTTGATTTGCCTAAAATATATATACTTGTAGTACACAGAATGTCATGTGCATGTTCTCTGTACTACTAGCTAACATTACTGCAAATGTTTCCCAAAAGCAATTTACTTGATTTAGCTTTTTTTTATCTACTTGACCAATGTATACATAATTGAATGGCCCCTTACAATATGTTCATATAACAAATCAACCTTTATGAAGGTACGCACCCAAAACCGAATTTTCAATTTATTTACAGGTCTAGTTATCTAAAGCAATTGTCATCTAAAATTAGGCAATGTCATTTCGGCAAGTTTCAATACAGTAAACTAATCCTATAATTGTTCCAAGTCCTTTATGAAGAGAAAATTACTTATTACTGAAAGTAATTTACATTTTTGTCTTTATCGGCTACATGGACATATAACAGCTGTTGTCTTGTACTTTATCGATGTAATTAAATACACAAACCTTAACTAGCTATTGAAGGGCTCAAAGCTCCAGAAAATACAGGAAACTTTAAGCGTTAATGTGACTGGCAATGAAATAAAGTCTTCTAGAGATATTTGTCATTTAAACGACTTACAACTCACTATATTTTATGTGAAACACTTTTTGTACACAAATCTACCCTATGAATGGTCCAACGAGATTCGGCTCCTCCTTGTGTTTCCACGGCTATCACTTACAAGCCTATTTACACAGTTTGTGTCAGTCTGTACCGGTGTCTCTCATCCAAGACGGTTCTAATGGTACGGTGAACGTTCTCCGGCAAGTGGTCAAGTAACATTCGCGGCATCACCTGCAGCTCCATGAAGTCCTCAGCGCACGCCCAACGCATTTCGTACGTCGGCTCTGCGGTGCGCACTTTCCTGCGATAAAAAGTAGAGGGCTTACAATAAAGCTTTAGACTTATATGGCCTCCTAGTTTTGGGTTTTGTTATAATATGATATTATTATATCGTAATAACTTAGAATGATTATGCTTGTAGAGTAGATGCAAGTTTCTAGGTTCTGTTTCGGTTGTAATAGTAAAAATGTTGTAATAGGAGTCTGTACTTAAACCTTACTGAGTCTGAGGTTAGATTATTACAATATGTTTCTAAGACACACATGTATTTGTGAATACTAAACCATTAAAACAATAATTGTTCTTTTCAATTTTTTCATAAAAAAAGGATTGGTATTTCTTTATAAAATAAAGATTTTTACAATGACACGACCTGTTGTAATATGATATACAAATAAAAATTACCTTTCTTCGTTTCCTTCATCACTTTAGTCAGACATAGAACGAAGCAAAAAGTCAAAGAAATTCATATATTAGGAACGATATCAGTCTTTTAATTTTTTTTAATGTTTATATTCTAATACAAGATACTAAATTCGAAGATGATGATGAAGGATCTATAAGCAGGTGGTTCTACCTTTTTTTGATGTACGGTGCCAAGACATGAACTTTAAAACCTTTTTAAGTTAAAAGATATGTAGCGGGCCTTTTTATCTTATAGGAGGGCATCGAGCAGACGGGTCACCTGTTGGTGAGTGACTTCCGCGGCCCACGGACACCTGCAACTCAGGAGTCATAAGTGGGTTGCCGTCCTTCTCCCAGAATCAGGGAGGAGGAGGGGTTTTGCCTTTTTTCTCACTCACTCGGTAAAAAGCAATAAGAGAAATGATTGACACCGGTTTGCTGTGAGGCCCTGCCATCACTCCGGTCGAGGCGTCCTACTACGACGACGAAAAACAAAAACTAGCGACGAAAACAACAACTGAAAAAGCAAAGCTTTAAGTTTCTATGAACAATAAAACTATCAAGGACGACAAGCGTACGACATGACTTAGACTGAAATCTTCTTCTAATATACTTATGTCAGATGAGATAATTGTCTATTGTCTATTTTTTAAAGACAACTTCATATCTTTATATATATAATTCTTCTGTGAGTGTGTATGTCACTGAACTTCTCTCAAACGACTGGACCGATTTTGATGAAATTTTTTGTGTGTGTTCAAGGGGATCTGGGAATGGTTTAGATTCACAATTTTGTCCGCTGGACAATGTTTTTTTAATTAATTTTTAATTTATTAGTAGTTGTTGATTTTGGAATGTTTTACATTGGATCCGACAGACGGCGCTACCATCGCAGTGTCAAATTTGACAGGACAACGTCTGTCGGGTCCGCTAGTAATAATATAATATAATTCAGTGTCGCGGGGGACTTTACAAACATACAAGAAACGGACACAAAGTACACCCAGACTCAGGACAACAATTTGTGGTTCACACATGATGTCCCATATGGGGATTGAACCCACAACACTTAGCGCCGTAGGAAGCGACGAGGTGACCGCTTAAACTACTATGCCATCCGTGCAGTCAGTTAATGCAATAAGAGACATTGTAATAAAGATATTCATTATGTTTTCAGAGCCGCCTCTGCCGCACTCACTGAATGGCACAATGCTTAAAGCTACCTTGTCCTTTGTACTATATGTATTAAGGGATTGCCTCATTTAATCTACAAAAACTTGACTTTTTCTGTTGCATATTGTTTTACATATTTGTTATAAAATTCCAGTGAGGGCAGTAATAATTGTTCATTCTAATTTCTGTATCATTTTGAACAATTTTGTTTACTAAAACAATAGAAAGGCAATTACTTTTCGATGCCCATGCGCTTGCGTCGTACGATGTGCAAAATACGTCCAGGTGTGAACAGGCGTGCTGAAGAGAACCGCCTTGCAAACACGTCTCGGGATACCAAGGCTGCCTCCTTAAACATAATAATATTAATTAATTAGAAAAGTAAAAATTTCAAATAGTGTGGTAAGGACAAAAGCCAATTTATGCCATTTGCAAGTAATTCTCATTTTTAGCAGTCAACACAGTCAGTCCATTCATTATTATGAATATATTTATGTAGTTATAACATTCATTGTTATAAAGTTCACAATATCTGAAGAAATATCAACCACGGTTGTTGGGTTAAAGATGCCTTACATGTTAGATATATAAATTTGTTTAATTTACTTAGTCCATTTAAATAGGTCATATTTTTCGTTTTACAGCAAAAATCGAAAATTAAAAGTTGTAGGGTCTCAGTGAGAGCTTAACTTTTAAAACCCGTAAGTGTTTTTATTTGTAAGTAGATAGTTCTGGAAACTTTTAGTATGTTACGCGTATTGAACATTTGAATAACGATTTGTAACTAAACAAACAATCATGCTAACATGTCATTAAAACTTATACAAACTTATAGCGTAAGCACATAAAACACACATAAAAAAAAACATTAATTAGAACTTTCAAGATAATGAATTATTAATGATTAAAATAAAATAACAACAAAACGGCTACACAATAATAACAAAAATTAATCAAAAATTTAAATAAGACTCAAAAATCGAAATAGCATTTGAAAACAATGCGACTTTGCCTCAAAACTGTTGTGAGCGATAAAAAGTACATTATCCCTTTTAAGGAGCATAATTAAATATAGATTTTCTATATAGGCAATTTTATTATACGATTTTTATAATTATAAACATAAGTCCGGCAAAATTATATTTATAAGATTATGTTTATTAAATTTGTGCACGTAAAAAGGTGTTAAGAAATATTAAAAGTAATCTAAAATCGTAAAGGTTTACAGCATTCAGTGCAATGAGATTAAAAACGTTTTTCGTTTTACACATACCAACACGTAATACATGTCTTGTCAAAGAACCTCATCTCTAGGGTTGACCTTAAAAGTACGGTCACCCATGCTGAACAAACCGCCGATCCTTTATGTAAATTGACAATTTGTTTTGCATAATTATACAATAATTAATCGTAGAACTATGTGAGTAGAGGAATTGTTAATAGTTAAGTAAAGGCATTACGTTGTTAAAACTCCAATTTGTCATAATTGCCTTAAACTAATTTAAAATGATAAACGTATTATCGTTTGAAAAACGATTACAAACAAGAATGTGTCGAGCTTTGGGAATGTGAAATGCTGTGCTGCTGTATGATGATGGAATGTCATCAAAATGGATGAGCATGGTTGTGTTAAAAAACTGATATTAAGGCCTACAGAAGTAATTCTATTGTCGCCATGTCGGCAAGAAAATTAACTTAAATATATGTTAGCAATTTCTTCAATTTATTCAACACCATGTAGACATAATGAATATACTCGAAAGAATAAGCTAAAGTAGAAAGCACGTACTGTAATATACTTTACGATCTCTTTGAAACGTAATCGCAAATGTTGGCACGGGGCCACAATGACAGCGTGTCTAGGATTTCCGTTACAATAATGTTTTTTTTTTCTTTTACAGCATTCTCCTAACATTTTGTAGAATTTATATAGGTACTTATTTCTTAGAAGCACTAGATGCTTAAAATAAAAATCTCATTAGATGCGGTATATTAAATGCTATATTTCTATTTACTGGGTAATGAGTGCACAAAATTACATCCAAAGTTCAGTAACACGGAATATCCTACGGTGAAGTTAATAAAAACGGTTAATGATGACAAAAACGCAAAAAGAACGAAGCTCAAATTTCCAGATGAAGGCGTTACATAAACCTATTGTTTTTTTGTAGCCTACGAAGCAGAGAATAAGCAACAAACAGTAAATATCTATTACTAGCTTTGTCTGCGGCTCCGCCCGCGTATATGTCGGTTATCGCGATAAAACGTAGCCTATTTTACTCGCTGATAATGTAGCTCCATCATGTGTAATCCGTTGTTGAAATAATTTTTCAAATCGGTTTAGTGATTTAGGCGTGAAAGCGTAACAAACAAACAAACTCACTATCACATTTATAATAGAAGTATGGATGTTTCATATATTTATAAAAAAACATCTAAACACGTTTCGTTCTTACACCATTTAAGATTCACTAATCATCACTCAGTGTTAGAGACTTAAAACAAAAATATAATGGTTAAGACGACGGTGTTGGTATTCACAGTTAGTACTAAAATTTACTTATTAATATACCTACATATAAATAAGATTAACGACTTTTCTGCACTAAGTGCGGAATGGAATGTAATATTCTAAGTTGAGCAACTAATATGATGAACGCGTATGAACTACGAAAGATTAAAGCTAGTAAAGTGAAATATATATTTGTGTAAGAAATAACAGTTCATGGAACGATAGATTCTGTAGAAATTCTCTAGAGGTTGTTTAATATTTTATGAAATACTGAAAATGTTAGAAGTGCAATGAAACCTTACCACATCGAAAGCTGAATACCAAGACAAACACTGAATGTAATATAAAGAAAGTGTAACTGACAGCACTCACGGTGGACACGCTGTGGACCAAAAGCGCGTCAGCCGAGTCATCCGAGTGATGCGCTTCCAGCTGTTCCGGCCGCCGCCATGTTGATTCTAAGTCTCGTGCTGGGACTCCAAAAAGCGCGTAGCCGAAACCATTCAGCATTATTCGATACTGGAACATAAATAAGATTTCTAAAACTAATAAAGAGAATTCTCTGCTCGTGACAAATAACCTATGAAATAAATTTGTATTGTAGTATAATGGTTTGTAAAATTTAAACTTCTATAAACTAATTTTATTAACAGGGTGGAAGATCCTCATGGATGTCATTCGCCTATACGGCAGTCTACCTAGTCATAGTTTCTTAAATAAAGCAAACATTCTTACTTTGGGTAATTTAGTAGCGTGTATTGTCTGTATGATCTTGGTTCTTAAGTTCTCTATGCTGTGCACAGAGAGTCGCATGACGAGATCGTCGCCGACCCCCACCGTCATCACAAAACTTTCCGTGAATCGCGCCGCTTCACGACTTATAAGTCCAGCTAAAAAGTAAAAAAAAATGGTCAGATTGTTGTAGGATTATCTAAAGAACTTATTGCATAGCATCTTTCTTTACCTTTAATTTGTGGTAGGGTAGGGTAGGTATGTAGGTAGGGTAGGTAGGAAGGGTAGGGTAGGTAGGTAGGGTAGGGTAGGGTAAAGTAATTCATTTTTAGGTACAAGACCCAGGGACCAAAAATTATACGGCATAAATAATATTAAGAGTAGAGTAGAGTAATTCATAATTCTTGAGTAAATGAAACAAGTATAAGTAGCCCAGATAAAACTTAAGCCTTGCAACCACCAGCGTAGAAGGAGATTAAATAGATTAAAAATAACTAATTAAGCTTAAGAGAAAAAAAAGGAACGCAAATAGGTTAAAAGGTTTTTTGAAATTAATTAATGTGCGGACCTAACAAAACAAAGAAATGACATTTTAGTGTTTCAGTTCTTTTATGTTTTTCTGATTACTTTACATAGGACTCAATAAAAATAATCGGTAACAAAAAGTTTAATCCAATTCATAATAAGTAGTAGAGATATCAAGATATAAGCGATATATTTATGATTTAAATTCTAACTAACTTTTGTAAATGTCAATTTGGCCCGTATTGATTTGTAGCCTTTGTGCTATTTTAGTCTATCTATGTGCCAAATCTCCTCCAGATCCAGAAAACCGTTTTGGCGTGATTGAGTAACATACTTACGTTTTGAAAAGTTGAAAAATTGGTGTCTAATTATTATTATTTTTGATACAGAATATATTAAGAGTTTAAAATCGATAAGTTAAAAAAAGTTCCCTTTACAAACTTGCACCCCTTTTTAAGGGTAGTTTAAAAAAATTAGTAATAACGTTTTTATTACTTCACAGAAAGAGTATTTAATGTAAATTTAAAAACGCTACTACCGAAAATAACGAAGTTTCATATAAAACTCCAATCCCCATCTTGCAATCTTAGGCGTGGAATTTTAAAAATCCTTTCTTAGTGCACACCTACGTCACCTAAGGAATATTTGTGCAAAATTTAAAGCTTCTATTTATTTATTTTATTTATTTATTTGAATAAAAACCAACAGCTTTAACATTGAGATAGTGACAATAATATAAAACATTTAGCCAATTAAAGGCCTTTACAGAGAAGCACTATTTTACATAATTTCGGGCGGCCAATGTATGTAGCATATTAATTACACATATGCTATCAATCAATTACAAGAAAGGGAGAAAGAAATCTTGGCTTAGCACCCGACGTACTGTAGTTATTTTAGTGTTGAAAATATCAATGTCATGTGACTCGCAGATGTTATTTAAGGTCTTGCTAGCTCGCCAAAGAAACGTATTCCGTCGATAATTTGATGATGCATTGGTAAGGGGAATAGGTGCGTGATGTCTCATATTCCTTACCGGTGCCTCCAACCCAATTTGCCCAAGAAGTTCGGGGCAATCAAGCTCATTATTTATTATTTTAAGTAAATAGACAACGTCTGCTATAGCCTGCCGCTCAGTGAGAGGAAGAAGGTGAAATTTTGCACACAATTTATTATAATCTGAACTCCTATAATTAATATTTGCTCTATAACACAAATATTTACCTTTTTTTTTTAATATTTTTATTCTTATAATATATCTATTGTATCTGGGATTCCAGACCTGCGAACCATACTCCAATATGCTGCGTACATATGTACAGTATAGTATTTTAAATGTTTTCGCATCCTTAAAACAGCTAGACATCCGCATCACGAACCCTAATGCCTGCGACGCTTTCTTTACTATACTGTCCACATGCTCATCAAAGAGTAATTTAGAATCGTATATTACACCAAGATCACGAACCCTATGACTTCTGTGTAGAATTTGTCCCTTCAATGTGTATTCTGACTCAACGGTGGTATATTTTCTTGTATATGTAACAACAGAGCACTTTGATGGGTTTAAGTCTACCATGTTCCTAATGCAATAGTCATCTATACGCAGCAGGTCACTCTGCAATGCATGAACGTCTGTTTGTGATGCAATAGCCTTAAAAATATTAAAAGTAGATTGTAAGCAATTATCGATGTCATTTACAAAGATTGTGAAGAGCAGAGGACCTAGGAGTGAACCTTGAGGAACGCCGCTAGGGACTGTAATCCAGCTCGAAATGTAGTTATTGATAGCTACCGCTTGTGACCTGTTAGATATATATGAGGTAATCCATCTTAACAGATCTCCTCTTATCCCGACAGAACCCAGCTTATAAATCAAGGTGCAGTGGTCAATCCGGTCAAAACATTTGCTGTAATCAGTATAAACGACATCGACCTGCTTACCCTGGATCATATTCTCCGTGATGTAGTTATCCAAAAGAATAAGATTTGAAGTAGTCGATCTACCCTTCATAAAACCGTGTTGATAACCGTTAAGACTACCTCTCAGTGCATTGTATAACTGAGTGTGAATAATTTTTTCGAATACTTTAGCTATTACACACAATTTCGAGACTGGGCGATAATTAGTCACCTCACTTTTAGAGCCCTTCTTGTGTACCGGGGTAATGAATGCTGCCTTCCACAAGTGCGGCATAACGCATTCAGTGATTTTTCGAATAATAAACATATTGGAATCAAAATAGTTTTGGCACAGTTAACCAGAAATAGGGGTGGAATTTTGTCCGGACCAGCTGATTTACCAGTATCCAATGTTTGAAGTAATTTTAGCAATTCATTATGATCTATTACTATATTGGATATGTGTGATGATGAATCTTCAAAATTTTGTGTGTCCAGTGATTGTATACTTAGCGACAAGTTTCTACACCCAACGGTTTTAGCTGTGCGTTGATCGATCAGTCAGTGAATCAGTCTGTCAGTTTCTTTTTAAATATATAATAGCTTTCACCCGCGGCTCCACCTGCGTAAATGTATGTATGTACTTATGAATTAAATGAACGTGTTTGACGTTAGGTACTTTCACAAGATCCGGGCCGTCAGAAATGCATTGGAAACACTAACACTAAACTAAGGGTTAAATTTATGTAGTGTGTATCTCATTACCTGGTGTAGAGAACGCGAACACTTTTAGGTGCGGGTACCTCGGCCTTAATTTTAAAGCTACTAATACTGCCACTCCTGCGCCAAGACTGTGACCTGGAAATAACGAATTTATTTTTATTTAACCTAAACGGTCAAGTTGCGGGAACTAGAAAATTGTTAAATGTCTAAAATCCATTTGTTTAATCGTCCGTATATTTTCATTCTTAAAATTTCTAAAACTGTAATCTATGGTAGTCGTTTGTGGCTTTTCTACCAGAGTCGGAGATTTCGGTAAAGGGGCTCTTTAGCACTTGACCACCATAGATGTCGATTGATTGTGCAAAATTCCAAAATGTTCTCCGTGCAGTTCTGTTATTGTACAGGCTAACCTTAATGTTAAAGTATGGTCTCTAATTACTATAACATATAGTAAACATGGTTACTTTTGGGAGCTCATTCAGAGAACAAGAAAAAATAAAAAAAAATTGTGCCACCTTGTTTAGCATAATTAGAGTCCTCGTTAGGGGAACCTTGCTCAATAAATTTGTTCTAGCAGATGGTACCGCCAGTAGACGCGGCCGCCGTCTTCGCAACATATACTTGTCGGGAACTTGCAGGTTTACCTCTTTTAAAACTGGATTAGAAATCTTACCACTCGAATAAAAAAATTAGGCAGCAAGCTCTATTTCCCTTCTAGTTTTCAGTTTATTGTATCCAACCATGCCTACCTCAAACAGGGTCGGATCAACGGATAAAGTGGATATACACCATACGGGCTAAGACTCAGGAACCTAGTAAATTTGTTTTGGCAACGCTCCAGCATGGGACTGTATTTAGTTTCATGTGGAGACCAAATAATCGCATTACACTCTAGTTGTCTTCTAACCAGAGCATCGTACAGTAACCTAATCGCAGTAATGTTTGTAAGACTTTCTGTTCTCCTGAGTATAAACCCTAAAGTTCTATATGCGTTTATAAAAATATCAACGATATGGTCACGAAATGTCAGTTCAGTATTTACTTGTACTCCTAAATCGCGCACTGTTTCTGTTCTTTTCAGTGACACGTTGTCGAGCATATAATCAAATACCCGGGCGTTTTCATACGGCTGAAAATTCTAACTACTTGGATAAAATAAAATGTAATTTATTGTTTCTACTCCATTCGAATACTCTGTCCATACCTGTTAGTATGAGGTCGTAATGCGAGTACTGTTGGAAAGCGCGGTCGAGCACTGGAAGCAGACGCTTTAACATTTTCGCAGCACCCATCGACATTCCTTTATGAGCTGCCGTATCTTCTGGTAAACCTATAAAACCAATGTTATTTTTTGTGGGTTTACATAGTTTAACCTAAAACAAGAATTATCTAAGGCCCCAACCATGTTTGCCGCTGAAGACATGGCGCTCATACTATAGAGTGCAAAGGCTTTGTCTTCGATTGTGAGGGCGAGTGTGAAAGGTGTCACGGACCACGACGTATCCAGTTCTAAGGTTTACTTCTACTGAGAAATGGACAGTCTATCCTATTACTCTCGGGCTGTTCGTTTCATTTTCACCCTCTCGATTTCTAAACCAACATTGCATTCTCGCAAAATGTTCTGATTAATTACAAATATATCTACTAACCTAGAGGAACTTGTTACATAGGTGTTTTATTCACAAAATCATTTTTCTTAGCAGAACACTTCTAGCCTGTGCCGCTATTTAAGTAAAATTTCTTAACCTTAACAGTCTTACCATCAGCTTCAAATCGTTCTGATCCTGCAGTGAAGTCAGTAAATATATCTCTTAAAGAAATAGACCCCCTCACAGCCACTACGATGCTCTCGCGTTCATGATCCGCAATCACGCAGAACGGCAACTAGACAGCAAAATTAGTATCGTATAGACATATGTGTCACAATGATCCCTATGGGAATGTGATACGAGGTTGTGTATTTCAAGGCCGTGGCTAAATTCATTCGATGTAAGATGACGTACTTCATCAGTCCACATTGATAGTTGATTCCTTTCACGGTAACTTTACATTCCAGTAGGAATACATTGTTCAACAGTATTTCAGTTTATTTGATATATTTTATACTTTGTTTGTGGGTTTTCCAATTAGTGGACTAAGTGTTTGTATAACCAACAAATCACGGTGTCGCCGAGTATGAGTTTAAATCATACTATTTCTTGTTAAAACAACTTTTAAAGTTTCAGTATGTATCGAGCAAAAATAAGTATGCTGTAGTAGCTTAAATCAATTCTATGATATCACCAGTGATGACTAAAATTCGTTAGAAAATAGAAGTGAGAAATCCATACTAATCAGCTGAATTGTGGCTAGTTCTAAAAATTACCACGGCAGTATTACAAGTCTGAGTAATATTTGACAAGATGACAGCTAGGGATATCCGTTGTGGTTTCTTTCAAGGTGAAAACTTTGATTTGCAACAAGTTACATACTTTATTCACGAGCATAAAATTTAAACAAACGTAGAGGCCCGTTATTTAATTTTGTAAAAATATTTTAAAATGTTTATATTTGACCCATATAACACTTTATATGAATACTTTTAATTAAGTGTCGATTTGATTTAAGAGCTGTTTAAGGTCTCGAGTAAATTTTTATTTTTAGTAAGACATCTCTCGCACAAGGCAAGGGGAGTTTACAGACATTTATGAAATGGACACAAACAAAACTCAGACTCAGCACAACAACAGCTGAGAGTTATGGGTTCAAATCGAACTCATAACTCTCAGCACAGTAGGAAGCGGCGAGGTGACCACTTAAACCACTACGCCACCCGTGCAGTCAAACTTAGACATAACCTTAGACTTAACTTCATTGTTTTTACGTATATTAAACATTTTTACAGGACTGTCCAAAAAGCGTATACTATTGCCTTCCACCATAACTTGTAAAAGCCTTAATAGATATGAAAGTATGGAATTTAGATTATAAATCTTAAATTATTCTATGGTTAAATTTTTTTCTAAACATTACTTTTAGTGCGAAAACCAGTAAAATGTACAGAAACTACGTTTTTTGTCTCATCTTTTTATCAACGTGAATAATGATCCGCAATTACTATGGTTTGCCTACGACGCATTAGAAAGCATTATAAAATATTGGTTAAAGGAGAATTAGTCGCGGTCTCTGCGACTTGCATGTTAGTTGATAAACAATCACTCACAACAATGTTAACTTTTTCTTTCTTCTATCATCCATAGGCCGCTCCTTAGAAAGGAGGTTTTCTTCTAAACGAAGAAAATAGATATACGTACTTCGAAAACACGATTGTTGAATGATGCAAAGATGATGTCGTCAGCATGGAGCTTCGACATATATTTCACGCCAGCGAAGTTGCAAAGACAGCAATTGTCATCCGTTACTATAGAATTCTTGGGCCTGTAACAAATAGATTTTTGGTAATATATAACATTCCTGCTTGCTGCTGGAAAGAACATTTTAAGTAAGAGTCTAAGAATTATCTACAACAGCTACCAACGCCGTGTAAAAGTATATTTCATGACTGCTGGTTTTTGATATACTAAAGTATGTATTATTAATCTGGTTTTCACGTATTATTTTTATATATTTCAAGTGGTACACTAGGCAAGAGTTACGTTTACATTATAATTTATTTGCATTTGCATATCTCCGTGCAGGTAAATAACCGGCTTTCAAAATGATTTTGGAGTGCTTATTTTCATCTTCATATATGCTTTTTTAGTAATGTTGTGCCATTATTAAACATTCGACAAACGCAAATGTTATGTTTTATATTTTTACTTATAATAGTTTTTTTATGTTTTGCCAGACATAACCGTTTTTCAAATAGGAACCAGACCGATTAGTTTTAATATAGGGAATTTAGCAAAAGTGTGTAACTTTTAACCTCAGTAAAACTGTCTGGCTATTGATAACTGATATTTGTAACCCTCTAAAAATAAAATAAAAATTAGTATATAACAAGGGTATAAGTACAATCGTACCATACTTGATCATGCTATTGTTTGATTTAAATAAAATCGTACATTAAGAAAGATAAACTGTAGACGGATCCATAGCAACTGTTCTAGATGATGATATTATGTCACAAATATTATTACGTCAGAAAATAAAACATCAAGAAAAGCTCCCGCTAATAATTATTCATGTCTTTTGTGAAGAAATTAATGTGAAAGTGATTTGTCTGGCTTCGACTCTAAAGATCAGAAAAAATATTATTATGAAAGTCGTTGCTAAGCTGATTGTGTAATTTAATGATTAATGAATAATTTTTTTTCGTCTAGTCTTTGACGAGCCTATATTATTTTTTAGTAATATAGAGCGAGCCTATATTATTATGTATAACGAACTCATCGCGTATTATCATTGCCATTTATTGTGACAATGCTACCTGCTTTCTGAGAACGCCAACAGTAGGTGACGATGAAGAGAGGAAGGAGGAATTTCATGTATGTATATGCCGGAAATCGATCTAAGCGGTGTGCAATGGGAGAGGCCTATGTCCAGCAGTGGTCTGTTAGGCTGATGCTAAATATTAATTAGGATTAGGACGGCCGATGACTCCTGCAGGAGACTCTACTCGGGGGTTGTGCGGTCCATGGCCCTTTATAGGGCCTCAGTATGGGCCTTGAGGTCCAGTAACGTCGTACTACTGCGACGACCGCAGCGAGTGTTGGCCATCAGGGTCATAAGGGGGTACCGCACGATCTCCTTTGAGGCGGCGAGTCTCCTGTCCGAAACTCCACCGTGGGACCTGGAAGCGAGAGCCCTTGTGGCTCCATATCAGCAGCGCAAGGAGACGCGGGATTTGGGTATGAGTCCTGAGACTCGAGAAATCACACAATGCACTTGAGAGCTATGAATTCAGGTTCGATTTTAAATGATAACCTTCAAGAGGCACAACATTGACTGTATGGAGCAGTCAGCATGCAGCCTGGACCTAAACCCTATCAAGCATGCTAGGAGGAGCTCGGGAGGTGCGTTAGACAATGAATCCATCGAAATCTACACGATCATGTTTCGAGAGCTCCAACATTAAAAATAGAACACTGGAAGAAAATTCCCCAACACCGTGGTGTACAGTAAACATAACCGCAAGAATTTCAGCATGTGGCAGTAACGTTTAAATATCAAAAAAGTCTAAAACACTTGAGAATTTATTTTTGACCATTCTCATAACAAAATTACTAGCGAAAGAAGTCTAGGAAAAAAGATATTGGATTTTGAATGTTTCAAGGTTAAGACTAACATATTGTTAATGTTTTGTTTGAAACTAGATGGCGTTGTGTGGCATATATCCGAAAACATTATTATCATTATAATTACATCCCTATTTTGCTGTAGAAAGTGTTAGCCGATTCTCTAAGAGGTTGGAGGTTATTTGCTTGACATGTATTGGTAAAACAACATTAATAAAGTAACATTAATTACTAAAATCTATTAAAAATAGAAAAACATCTATGCAAGTTTAACACTGAAATAAACAAAAATAAAACAACCAAACAAACTACAAGACTGGTGAGTGCGGAACTCGACAGAATTCAAACGACGACGTATCGACATTTTGAAAATATCGATGTGTCTATTTATGTGCCGTTATGGTTTTCGTTGTCTTTTTCTCATCACACTGTGCAGTATATTGTTTTTTTTCCCGTTGGAAAATAACGTAACTATATTCTATTTATTTAGTGTATTATAATAATATTCTATTTTTTTTCTAACTATGTTGATTTAGTCGATTTACTCTACTGTACGAGTGAACCCGTGGGCAGAAGCAAATTAATAATGATAAAAGGTGAATCTTCGGTAGACATTTCAGCCAAAGCTATAAAAATCGATTATCGATAAACCGTTCCATAATATAATAATGCCATCACGCATCCCTAGTCGATATGTGATGGCGATTTTGACATTACGTACCTATTTTGGTCAAAAAAATCTTCAAAAATATCCTATCTTTTATAAGACTTATACAACACATGGTGATATAATAATAAATCATAGAAAAAATATTAAGAAAGTTTACTGTAAGTCAGTTTTTTAAACGCTTAAGTTTTAGGTAAATATGTTTCTGCCATTGTTATTTCTTGTTTTTCTAGGTTTGTTTCATGATAAGAGCGTTGTTTTCTTTGTGTACGTTTAAATCTGTTTAATACAAACGGTCAAATAAATTTTGTTTAAGAATTATTTAATTGTCAATTAAACACAATTGATTTATTTTAAATATAGATAACAATCTCAGTGTCCGAGATACTGAGGTATTCACATATGATATGTGAATATATATTTATGTAACCCAGATCAATGTTCTCGAGTGTATTAAGCGACTAATAAAAACCGAAAGATAACAAAACTTTCCTAAAAACTTAAGGATCCATAAGTGCACAGACACACGATTTAAGTTGAAAACTGTAGATTAACTCTATTGATTCTTTAAATAGAATTTATGGCGATTACCACACTGTTTATTCGAACCAATCATTTGCAATCAACCTCTATATTGACGACTGTTTACATATCTTAACGTGTGGTATGGGATAAACAATAAAAGTTAATATCGCGGATGTAACTTGGGCTGGTTCCAATTGTATTATCGTTGATCTAACAAGATCCTTGACGATTAAGTAGGATTCCCCTCTGAATGGGAAATAAAGTTAGTTTATTTTACCTACTTACTTACGTAAATACAAAATTGTTCTGCGGGCTTAGTGTAAGTATATTCTACTTCTACTCGATGGTCATGGTGACCACGGTTGAAATGTTCACCAATCTCAACGCCGAACGCGCTCGCTGTCGAGAGCGAGTAGGAGTGTAATAAACTTACACTAAGCCCTCTGATCAGAATATATTTGTTAAACACTAGACTATTAGGGTCGTATTAGATATGTGTGCATTAGATTTCTCTAAACGATAAAATTATATTCTTATAAAGAAAAAATATATGACATATTCTTATTCTCGCCTAGAAAAATATGTACCTACTGTTACCAAAATTATAAAAATTATGTTGAGGGTGCCAAGGTCCGACTTGGTAAAAATTACATCACATCAAATTGAGGCATAACAAAAAATTACGAGTATACGGTTTTATAAAACATAGATTATAGAGTGATGCTTTGATGGACAATAAAACGTTAGAAGTAAAAACTAAGCCGGATGAGCTAAAATAGCAAACTCATTTGAATTTACTAGTCTCTTGCGTAAGTTCATAGGTTTTAATAACAATTGATTTAGTGCAAGCTAGTGTGCGCATCTCATGCGTAGGACAAGTAGTTCGGTTAGCCTATAATATTTAAGTTGTCATCAGTCTCTATTTAAACAAAGAATTCTATAAAAAAAAAATAGTAGTTTTACAAAAACAAAATAATATGTGGATATAGGTAAATAGCAGGAAGCAGCTTACACGATTTAACACAGTTTTTTGTTATAACATAATTCTTAAATGGAATCAGAACTTATTCCCTTCAGAGCATGGAAAGTCCCATCGTCTCCAACTAGAGATTATTTTCAGTGACTTTCTGACTTCGACTTTGTAAATTGTCATAACAAAACCTATTTTCAGGGGACACTCTACTCGGGCACGCCGTCCGTAAGACCCGTTATGGAGGATTGGCTCGAGAGCCTGATTGCGGCTATCGTGCGGAGCGAGAGGTTTAGGACTCTCCCGGCCCGCCAGGCCCGGGAACGGGCCAGGTACCGCAGGCGACTCAGGCGCCGGAGGTCGCAGAACGACCTCCGTCCTCCATAAGCGCAGGCCTGGGGGTGACAGGTGAGGCCATCTGTCACCCTAGCAGAAGCAGGTCGGGGTGGCGGCGAGCGCGTTGCGAAGCGCGCTCGATTCCAGGGAGCACAGGGAACATTGGGTTCCCACACGGGGGGGGGTCGTCTACTCGTCTGTAGATGACCCGAGGTATGTCGGGGCACCAGGGACTTCCTTTCTAGGGTATACCTGGTTCCCCGGCTATTAGTACCCGAGACGGCGTGCGGTTTTAGTCGGTTCGAGTCCGACATGCCACCGACAGGTGGTATCCGAGGGGATTTCCGCACGGGGAAAAAAAAACAAAAAGGGGACACTCTACTGCGATCATACGCGTGAGGGCTCTGGCGTAGGAAGCAGCTTCCCTAGGCGAAGTGGTGTTGGCGGTGTCCTTGGACATCGCCAACACCACTTCGTTCAACACTTTGCCCTGAAATTGAATCAGGGAGGCGCTCATGTATCACGAAGTGTGTCGGAGAGAGCCGTCGTCTAGCCAAGTAGGACCGGTCTCGGTAGACGTGAAATGTCGTGCGGTGTTCCGCAGGGATCGGTGTCAAAAATCCCAACGGAGCGAGAGAATCTACGAAGAGAAAAGAGAGAGGACTCCGCCGTCTGATTCTGCGAGCAAGTTATGCTTGCGAAGGAGATGGCGGAGCGGGACCCCGAGAGGTTTAGAACTCTCCCAGCCCGCCAGGCCCGGGAACGGGCCGGGATCTCCGTCTTCGCAGGCCTGGTGGTGGTAGGTGAGGCCATATATCACTCTAGCAGAAGCAACCCGTTGGGATAACGAGAGCACGCTCGCCTTTTCCGGAGCACAAGGAGGACATGGGGATTCCCACACAGAAGGGGGTCATCTACACGCCGTAGATGGCCCGAGGTACGTCGGGGTACCAAGGATTTCCTTTCTAGGGTACACCTGGTTCCCCGGGAACTGGTACCCGAGACGGCGTGCGGTTTTTGGTCGGTTCGAGTCCGACATAACCATCCGACGTTTCTGTAGTATCCGAGGGGATTTCCGCACAGGAAAAAAAGGGGAGACTACTGTATTAATACACTGCAAATGCAAATTGATCATAAGAAATGTAAAACTTTCTGTATTACTTAGCTATAACACGATTTTTATTTTATTTTTCTATTCCTAAACTTGACGAATTATGAGTATCCCATAAAACTCTGTCTCTTATTTTGAGGTTTATTTTCGAGACGAAAAGTAGTCTTTGTGACGAAAAGTAGGCTTTAATCCAAGATTATGTATGTACCTATGTATCTAAACCTAAATGTATTAAATACAATCGGTACAACAGTTTAAGTGTAAAAGCGTAACGGATAAACAGACAGAGTTACTTTCCCATTTATAACACAACAAGAGACTATTCTATATAGTGCTGTTTGATCATGTTTAGTTTCTTATAGTCGGCGGTATAAAAAGATAATCTCCGATTTATAATTAGATTACCGTCGGATATTATCTTGCTCTGCCGAATACTTTAGTAACAGGTTTAAAACTGTGCTTTGGTATTCCACTACGTACCTTTGTGGCGCGGTTGGCATTTCCCGCCACAGGAGGCATAAATAACCTAGGCATTACGAGTATGTAGGAAAGTTTTGGTGTATCATTTCATACGATTCCAAAGACATTGTTTAATGTTATCAGCAGTCTGGTTACCATAATACAGGCTCTGCCTAGTTTGGGAGCCTGGTCCCAAACTAGGCAGAGCCTGTACTATGTGTGACATGGGTACAGTTATATCATTACTATAATATTTCACAGGAGCTTCAACCTCGTATGTAATCCGTTTGCAGTAACGGTAACCTTTAATCAAATATTTAAAAATATTCAAGTAGAATTCTCTAAACAGTCGGTCTACGTTGAACCAATTAACACGTTGTTGAATTATTGAATCTTTATTAAAAAATATATGGTTTACGACTTCACCTACCATCTACCTTGAACCTTCCATCTTTATTTGAGATTTGAGTACTCAGAACAAGGAGTTATATGATATACTTAATGGATATATTGTTAAAAAGTCTTAAATATTTCATTCATTCTGCAAAGTAGAAAGTTAGAAACTGGGTGACCATAATTTTTTTTTGACTTTCAAAATTAATTAAAATATTAATAAAAAAGTTTAACTCACCGACAACAGCAGCAAGTTAAGTGTCTCGCCAGCTTGCAGAATCCAGTGAAACAATGTCTGTACAAAACATACGGCCAACCGTAAGCCGCTATCGACAACCTCAAGTAGTACAGAGCATCTTCTAAATTCATCCAGGGCGGCGTTTCGGAGAATATCTTATTCACGTCAGTAGTGTAAATTGGTTCTTCGTCGTTTAACATTTGAATTCTTCTCATTTCTCTTGTCTCCCTCTTTTGTCGAACTCGTAGAAGAACGCAACCAGCTACGACGTCTGACGGCACTAAGTCCGTTGATCTGAATAGGGCACTGAGCAGAGCTGGAAGAAAGAAATTTAGTAAGAGACAAAAAAAAACTGCTGGTAATTCGAAACCCACCTGTAAAAATTTAAATGTGTAGGGTACGATGTCAAAACATTAATCAAGAAGTGCCTACCTGGAGCACGGTACTATTATAATACAGTACTGTAACTCGGCCGCATGATAGAAATAAATGCCTACAGCAGCGCGGTACGTAAACATGCGTTAGGGCTGCCCGTCTCCAGCATTTTAATTATATTTGCCTACTTTCTGTTTCTATTTAGATTTGTGATTGTAAATATCCTTTTTATATAAATAAATGAATTACTTTACTTTAATATATATTGAATAGGAAGTGTTCAATAAAAATGCGTGTTGTTTTTTGATTGGTAGATTTAATTATTTTATTTTCTTTCTGCATTGGAGGAGTTCAAGTTTCAGTTTTCTTTTTCTTGGAGTGTTGCTAGAGAGACTCGTTGAGGTTTGAGCAAAGATTTCATTTTCAGTCTGTGTACTATTTTCATTTCTTACCAACGGAGCAGTTTGGGTTTGTTTATCTTCTTTTAGAGATACTCCTGGATCAGTACTAGCTAAGCTTGACAGCATCAACAATGGTAGGGCATTCTTTTTTAAAAGTTTTCTATTTGATGAATGTTATACATCCTCCAAATTAAAATGTTTTTCACAAACTTGGTAGGAACTAAAGTTAGGTTTGTTTTCCAAATCATCTCGCCGGATGAGTTGCAACCATTAAAGACGTCTGAAAAAAAATACATGTGACACTCTCGGAGACTGCCGCGGTAAAGCTATTGCATAACATTTTTTTTTAAAGAAAAAAATCTGCGTGGTGTCAGGTATTTTTCGTTAGGTTTTGAGAATATTTTGATTCGGTCACCGCGCAGAGCCGCGCTCAGAGCCCGCGATAAAAGCTATGCAATAGCTTAAAAATCCTTCTATAGAATAAAAAAATGAACTTTCTCCTTACGCGTTACAAAACTCTAATCCTTAGAAACTCCAACACCTACCTACTCAACTAGAATGCAAGAAATAGCTGACTTTAATTAATTATTAAAAAGCTGAACAGCTGACTACGAATGTTTTAAAATCACAACCCTCAAACATCTAAATATTATATATGAGTCTAGCTGTTGTTGTTAATACCGAGAAAATGAAACCAGTTTTTAGTGGTATATGTTGTTTTAGTAGCAGCAGAAACACTTTGTGAAAATTTCGAAAACTATCTAATGACACACAGACGGTAAAAAATTTTTTCTAGTATTATTCATACACACAGATAATAAACAAATATTATTAAAAATAAAATACCACGTCTTTACTTTGAATTATGCAAAGTAACAAAACACACATGCACCGAAGTTTTAACACAAGCGTAAGTAGGTAGGTACCTACCGTATCATGATTCATTCAGAACCGCATATAACTACCTATTTCACTCGTCTCAATAACTTTCCGTTACTCTATTCGCTTTACTTATTAATCCAAACACCTTTATTTCTTAAGATAAAGGGAAATACTTATCCATTAAAAAGACACACATTATGTACCTACCTACTAGTAAGTAAAATTATTTTATAGTCTTACCTTTCAGAGTTTCCAGGTAATTTAAAAAAACTTATGTCTGGATGCGTTATTGACGAATTCATACAACCAAAAACAGCACAATATTTCCTACTCGTCATATTAACTGATTTTTAGAGAAAAAATCGCGCGGTTATTGTTAAAAAAAACAACACACCGTCCGTTCGACACTGCGGTACAGCCGTGACTGTCTGCGCCCCGAGCGCACCCCGAGATCGAGGCGCGTGTATAGCTCGTGTTTCATCCGTTTGTATGAAGTTGGAGTACTGTATTATAATTGTACCGTGCCTGGAGTTTTAGTACTTTTCATAAATTAAGACGGAAATTTAGAGGTATTTAGTATTATTCAATACGCGCAGGTGAAATAACGAAATCATTGTGTCAATAAACATTAATGGACTTCCACAATATTACTTCGTATCGTAAACTTGTCCTTGTGTGCCAAGACACAAGACATACAATTTACATTGATTAATTATATTATGGATCCATTTTACTTCATAAACACATTATAACACTACACTACACCGCCATAGAATACCTGCTGCCAAGGTTCTTTGACTAAACATTTAATTCGAAACACTTTTTGATTGATTACAGTAAAGATTCAGAAAGGCCTCTGCGACACATTCAGGGTTCATTGCGCCAGGGTAGTTCGGCAAGGTCCTGTATTATGAGGATTAATATTTACCTACATCACACTTAAAAATCATTCTGTAATCTCTATAAGCGTACGAGATTTACTAAGAAGGCATGTAATTAAAACATGTATAATTATAATAAATTCACAATCACATTTCACATTCGTCATTCACAATCTCCAGTCTTATAAAAAAGAAGGTCTGTCAAGAAATTTTCACTTTAAAAATTTCTTGACAGACCTTACTCCAGTTTTATTTAAATGGTTTTGGACTTTTTTAATAAAAACAAAAGTGGGAGATGACTATATAACTGAAAAAAAATTGCATAGATATCTTCTATTTCTATTTTTTTTCTTCCCCGACAACAAAGCAATTTACGAGTACATACGTAGTAATAGTACCTAAATAGTATAACTATACTTCAATACACACTTAACTAGTATAGGTGCATATATGTATGTATACTGTTATAGTATGCACCTATATATGTAACGATTTGGAATGGAAATGCATTTATACAAGGCTTTTTATTTAAATGCTGTGACCATGCCGAGATTTATTTCAAAATTATATTAAAAACATGAATATGCAGCTTACGTAATCCAAAGATATGCATCTCAAAAAATCCAAATCAATAAGACTTTAGGGCACGATTTGGTATAGTATAAATGAGCATAATTACATGAGCATTTGGGCATTTAGTAATAAGTGACATGAGTTTCTTCGTACAGAGTATACTATATATATATATATATATATATATATATATATATATATATATACAGGCCATATCATGGCTTATCCATAATGTTAAACAATTTACCTGCCACTTGTTGAAAAGCTTCTTTTCCGTGTTCATCCCGCTTGAGCCAACAGAAAGCCCAACGGAACCTCCTTGACCAGAGTCCCGTAACTTTTCTGTGATGTCTGACTTGATTAGGCGTATCTTGCATATCGCCATAGTTCACTGACCCCAAGGGGTCAAACACCATGAACAGACCGAATACTGTTAGTGCTAGTTGTACCCAGTTGAAAAGAACTATACCTGAAATAAAAAAAAAAAATTTAGGCCTGATATTAGGTCTACATTATGCAATATATTTGCAGGAAATATAAATAAATACGCTCTGAGAACGATCTGGCAAGCTAAAAAACTCTTGTGTTTATCTGTTGCGTGTACGACATAGTATATTTGTTCCAAAGCTACAAGTCAAAGAGTCCCTTGGGCCCTTTATAATAAAAAAGAAATTAAATCGTGCAACGAGATCTTTATCTTAATTATAACTTTTATCGTTGGTTGGTTTTTTATGGTTGGTTGGTTGGTATTTTAACTTAAATAAGTTTAACTTAAACAAAGTTTTCAAGCATACTTTTCAGTTCGTTTCATGAGCCTCAGTTTTTGAACAAGTTTTATTATGACCTCATGATACATATATACAATTCTAAAGACTACATATTTACAAACAATAGAAACTTATCAGGACAAAATAAATTATGTAAAATAAGTGACGTGATAAAAACCGATTCATTGTGATCAATAAAAGGTGTCTTACAAAGGGGCGTGTAATAAATAATTTTAAAACCAAGAATGACATAAAACTTACTTTGTATGACTATGCTGGAGAATTTATCTTCAACAGAGCACTGGATTACTTCGCAGAACATCCACATCGTGCCCATCACATTAAGAGCTGTTTCTGGAAACACTAACAGTACTCTGAAAAGAAAAAAAAAATAAGGATGGAAAACTTAATTCTTGTACAGATGTTCTATTTATATTGGTTTTTTGTTAGAATTTTGGCGTTTCGAAAATATTTTATATCTAAAAGATATCTAAGAACTGAGCACATGTTTACAGGCAGGGACGCAACAACCCTCAAAAAGGAGGGTGTGTCCATAATATTTTTTATAAGGACTAAAAAAAAAGAAAAAACAGGTCATCAAAACACTTTATTATTTACGTATTTCAAAGTATTGTAAGGCTTACTAAAGAATTTAGTATTACGATAAACTTTATTTTTTTAATTACAATTTATTTTGATTCACATTTTTATTAAAATTTTCAAAACGCAGTCTTTCTAAAATTGTTTATTTTATGAATTCTTGAGCTAACTCTACAATATCTAATACATCTAGTAATTACTTGTGGACGTGGCATATTGCTAAATTACTTAATCTGCTTTCATTCATGGTACTGCGCACTAAAACTGCGTTCAGTTTCGCAAGATGAAGCAGGGATGAGCTCCCTTAGCTATGTGGGGATAGCTGCTTGAGGTATAGGATCTCCTGGGTCATTTGGGGATAGGTGCTTGCCCGTCTGTTCCGAAAACTCCTCGGCGCATCGTGTTCTGGGTTATGTAGGGATATTGGCACCCTCGAAGGGGTTGTCCACAGGTTTTTAGAGGTATCCGGATACCTCCCGTTAGTAATCCTAAACTCAATCGCTCAGTTCTTTATTTGTTTCTAAGTATGGGTATACTCTATACGAGCATAAGTCATATGATATGATAAGTATAATTCAACACATAATATATTTTATATGATTTTTTATTTTCAATTTTTACATAGAGCTCTCATGGAAAATTTACAATTTAAAAAAGAAAAGCCGTAAAACTCGGCCACTCGGATATGAGTTGTTTTATAGTATATTAAAAGGTATATAGTTTTATTTTTACAAAATATTTATTTTATAAAAATATTCAAAGTATATGAAATAATGGCAAGTTGCAGCATGGTAAACGTCGTATTTTTCTTACTGAATTTTATAAATACACTTGTAAAATTTTAAAGCGAGACTAAGGAAAACAATCCTGACTGTATATACAGCGATTAGTCAATCAATCACTCAGTTACTAATTATCCTTAAAATATTGATAATGGAACTACAGCTTCATATAACGTAAAACTAGAAAACATGTCATGCTTTTAAAATGATGTTTTTATCAGCAGACGGATCTATTTAATTTATACTCGTATCTATTTCTGGTGCAGTTTTTTTTATTTACAGTCTCGACCTACACATTTAGCGCCGCTTTTACCGGTTTATTGAAAACTCATCGTATTAAAAATCCACCGATCATGTTTGTAAATATAGAACTATTGTCGATTCACAAAGTGCCTACTCGCATTAAGAATAACAGCTTCTATATGAGTTATATAAAGAGAATCTGATTTGTTTATAAATAGAATGAGAGCATACTTTGTTATGTTTGCGTGAGATTTGTAACAAGGTTCATCTGATATCAAATGTTATTACAATAGATAAACGGAAAGTCAATAGTGAGGTACAATTCTCTTTTATTGAATATTATTAAATGAAAGTTTTGTTGCTTTCTTACTGAAACTGTGTTTATACATATTTACGAGTATGAATCTGATATATGGCGGCGATTATTGTTAACAAAAAGACTACAGCGGCCTGATCGGGTAGACTAAGTTAATAAAATCTAGAGAATGCAAGTCGGACTCGCCCACCGAGGGTTTCGTACTTTGTAGGTACATATTATAAATGGTTCAGGAATCGAGTCTCGCAGCTTTTTCAAGCTTTTCCCGAAATAGGTTCCCAAAACTCCCCCGTTCCTTGCATAAAGACCCTGTTTATTTTTGTGATTTAATTAAAAAACACCGGCTTACAGATTTTTCTCTTGTGTACAAATTAGTAAAAGTTTAAAAAAATCTAGAAAAAGATTTGGTGACCCATACAATTATGACCGCGCATACCGTTGCTTAATCTCGATGATTGATTACGTAATTTAAATAAAGACTACCCTATACATTTTGATTCCCTTGAGAGTGTCGAAATATGCGTTTTTCGCGGCATAAACGGCCGTGTCTTATTTTTAAGTTAATTTAGAAGTTTGATTTTTCACAGCTTCAAAAGACTGTAGACCTGAGTAGAGCATATCCCATATCTGCTTAATATGAGTACCGGAATGGTAGGTAAACCCATGTTTCTTCTTAAAACTGATGACAGTTAAGAGGTATATAAGATACCTCTATCTATATCAATACTATATGCTGTATATGGTATTTTGCTTTCGTTATATGATATGACTATTGATATCAAAAGAGGCAAAAATCCAATAATATGGCTCTCCTCTCATAGAGAGAATCCAATGTGTTGAAATTGCAGTCAATGCAATTCATATTCTACTCACATGTGCGGTGTAGATATAGAAATGCAACAAATATTTAAAGATAGAAGTCATACCTAAATTTCTCATGTCTAATATTTAGTCTGAGAGTTATTTCTTATTCAAAATGTTTAGAAGATTTACAAAATAAATATTCACCGCTTGCTTCATTTCAAACATCTTAAAACTGTTTTAAAACTTACTCAATAGTTAAAGCTCATATCCGATATTCTTTGTTAGTTTACCTTTTAGCTGCCAGATAAATAAACACGAATCCGTTGAAGAAACAAACTATTAACGACAACATGTTTTTGTTTTTTAGTATCGGCACTTAATCATCATAAATTGTACGTGGTGTTTCTCAATCTAAATATATACATTACTGTTAATGAACTGTTTTTATACGAGGACTTGCTTTTCTTCACTGCTTTACTTAAATGTATTTTTTACCTAGGGAAGAATATTATTTGTTTTTATAATAATAATAATATTCTACCACATTTAAAAACGCTTAGTCCCAAACTAAGCAGAGCTTGTACTATGGTACTGGACAACTGATATAAATACATATATACTTTTTTTTTGTAAATACATACATAATATACATAGAAACACCCAGACCAAATCAAACATTAAATGTTCATGCACACAAATGTTTATTCTCTCCTATTCTGTTTCCCCAATGGCAGTAACATGAAAGAAACCACACTACTCACTTGTTATAGTGTAATCGTATTTTCATTGTATGCATTTTGGTTTTGATGAGAAATAAACGATATTATTATTATTATTACTTGCCCAAGTATATGCGCAATCGTTAGTTAGGTGATATTATTAGGATGTACAAAGAAGATTTGCAAATCGGATGCCTTGGCAAACTGTTGTGTATATACCCTTTATGATATTGTGTAGCGCAGATTTTTTGTATTCCGTTTATATCCATGGTAGGGATTAGAGTTTGAGTTGGTGATACAAGAGACACTAGTAATAGGCACCGCTAATAACCAAGAGTACCGTCTGCTTGTTTGTCAATTGTCAACTGTGTCCTATACTGAAAAGAACAAATCTGTACTTTAGTTCCATAAGAGAAAAGTGCTTTAACATTGAAATCGATTCCTGAGATAAAATAAGAAGCATTATTTTAGGAAATTCTACAGATAACGAAATGAATTAATTTGGAAAATCATAGAACAGTCCAAGTGAATTAATGTATACAAATGATTAAATACAATGATTTGTATGGTTTTATCTTTTTAGTTCTCTTTTATCCGATTCCTGAACTAAGCTAATGCATCTTTAAGAATGACATAAACTTTTAATTTTAGTAACTCGATTTCGTTAATTGCTCAGCAGTTGGCCTCAATCACGTCACCGGCAGACTCGTCTATTGGAAATAAAACATTAATGTGTGTAGTATGTAATGTACTGCTGGACATAAAAACTGAGCATAACAATTGCAAAAACTCTTCAAGCGACAAAATTTTGTGGAAAATTTGTGAATGAAGGTGGTAAATAGAATTTTTCTTCAAATTTAAATATGACCAAACGGGAAATATAGAGGGTATACTAAAAAAAATGGCAAAATATAGAATTTTCAAAATCATAAATTACGGAGTTTCGTCGATGTTGTAAATGGTACCTACCGGTAAATGTTTGCTTTCAATCGAGTCAACGGCATCCTCATTGAAAGTTATACTTCATAGAGAGCTTTATTTTCAGTAAGAATATACTATTCTATAATATTTGTTTGAACGTGTGTGTTGTGTGCCCATCTATGTACATAATGTCTTGAAGTGTAAATATGTCCCGCGTTTGTATCATAGAAGGATGACAACACTTATTCAAATGTTCTTTGCATTTGCACTTTGATCTTGACCCACAATAGACATATTTAAATCTTGAGTTATGATGATTAATAATAAATTATATCATACCATATTGTCTCGAATCGATGTTTTTAATAAGTTTTCGTGAGTTTACCTGCCCTCTGAGTACTTCGTGATATAAACAGATTGCGTTATAATTAATTAGTAAGAAATGCCTCATCATAATAATTTAAGTTACTCGTAAGTTGTTCATTGAAGCGATAAGACTATTATGCGGTCGTTCGAGCTGTGTTAGCTGTGGTTTTTCTACTTATATACAAAGTTTATTTTCCAATTTGGATAACGAGGGTTATGGAGGTTATTGATCATGTAAGCAATATTGCCAATATCAATATTGAATTTATATATTAAACTCAGGTGATCAACAAATATTTAGATACTTATGTTTTTACAAAGATTTCAGGTTTAATAAAAAAGTTACTTCTAAATATATATTTAAAATGAGATTTTTTTTTCTTGTAGTGGTTAAAAAAATAGCTTCAAAATGGTAAAACATTATTTACAAGTAATATAAAAAAAAATTGTTTGCCCTAGTTTAAATTTTTGTGTCCCGATCACTTTTACTCTATACTGTAAAAGAGTAAAGTTAACAAAATTATGGTAATTATTGAAGTAAGTTGTAAAAACCAAACAGGCAAAAGTCTTCTTGTTTGCCCTTAAACAAATAAGGTAAAATAATAAATTTTTCATGAATTAATTTTCTTCTTTGTGTTTCGGAGGCAATGAATCTTTAAAAGAATAATTACGCAAAAGTTGTTTTAAGCTGGCAAGGCGAGGAACAGATTGGATTTTACTGAATGAATATCTAAGGAGCTATTTCATGTAAAAGTAAATGCATTTACAAGTTTTTTTCAAAAAAAATGATTTTTAAAGGATAACTCCCGCACTTGAAATTTATTCTGTGTCGCGAGAGACTTCACACACATCCCTGAAATGGGCACAAACAACACTCAGACTCAGAACAACAATTCGTAGATCACACAAAGTGTTGTTCCATGTGGGGATTGATCTTAACGGTAGGCAGTAGCAGTAGGTAGCGGCGAGGTGACCGCTCAAACCATTACGTCATCCTGCAATCTCTAAATGTGAAGTTGAAAATTATTGTCTTGAAAGTAAAGAGTCTGATAATAAGGAATATATATCCTCCTATCTATAATGACATTCATGCGCCAAACGATTTTGGTTCCAAGAATATAGAGAAATTTGCTATTTTTGTAATTTTGAGTTTAGAATACTGGTACTGAACAATGCTTTTAGGTTTATGGTATACTAAAATAAAAAAAAAATAACTTACTTGAATAAAAGTAACGGTGATACCATTTTTCTGACATCTATGTCTGTGATGGTGCCCCGCGCGGACTGTTGCGCCAGGGCTGCTAATAACAGCATGAGTGCGGCTTGAAGTGTGAGTGTTCCGCATAGATACAACCGCACGAACGCGCCGCCTTGCCAACCCTCGCTTTGACATTGCCATGTTACGGGGTATAGCACCTCTACTACCAGTGCTATTAAGACCAGCCTGTGAACAAAAATTGATCATTGATTTATTTATTTTTAATAAAAAGGAAAACACTAAAGGCACAATTTTGGCGTCTGTACGTCTATCTTATTTATTCAACAGTCTTTAATAGTACACAGCTGGACATAGGCCTCTTTTTAGAAAGGATATTGTAGCCTACTATACCACGCTGGCCAGACGGGTTGGTATAGTCTGCTCTTACGACATCCATGGGATGAATAGGGGTGGTGACAATTCGTATTCTTAATCCGGCACCACACGGAAATCTATGTATATGAAACCTTTCGTGAGAAGAGTAAGCCCTACTTCATTTAGGGACATTGTGCCATTTGATTGACCCATTGGTAGTACGACGGAGTATCTTTCTATTCACAAGCAAGCGATCTGAATGTCCCCATTGAAGAGATTTTGTTTCTTGCAGCCGCAAATCAACCAACGTAACCAACGCTGTTGATATTTTTTTTGTAAAATATTATTGTTTCACCATTCTTGGCCACTCTTTTCCTGTTATCTCTGGTATTATTGTCTATTCTGTGCTATTGTACAAAATATCCTAGCAAAAATAATTTTGTAAAGTGAAAATCCTTGTATGAGAAGGTTTCCGTAAGTGTTAATCAAGATACTGTGCTGACACCCTGGTGGACTAGTATTTTTAGCCGTATGTTCATTTGTCACCCATTCGTTGATAATAAGATCAACACGTTGACAACCTCAAACATTAAGTATAATAAACGTTTACGAGGAGTTCGTGAGATTTATTGCTTACCCACATTACACGAGATATGTTCTCAGAAATACGGGGTATTTATAACATAGTTTTGCCATGATTAAGAGGCATTTAGGAATTTCAAATGAAATTTGTAAGTAGACGTAATATTACTTCATGTTCGACTGATACAATACAGGTTTTATTAATTTCTCAGCATGTATTTTAATTAGAATAAACGTATTACATGTTTCCCTTTTGTGTAACGGAAGATACAATTACTTATTACTAATATAATCAATTACATTAAAGTACTTGCATTACAGTAATTTGTGAATCCTTTCAATTGTTTGCAGTGTAATGGCTAGTGAGCCTTTTTTTTTTTTTTTGTTGATGGGGTGAAAAATCCCTTCGGATCTCCTGCTCCTCGGGGACTCAGGAGCCAAACCACTCCGACGGCCGGCCTTAGGTGTCCTACTCTGGGGAGTACCCGGACCATGTTATTTTAGGTCCTCCCCGAATTGACACCATGCCTAATCAGGCCCTATCCCAGGGGAGAACACATCCCCCTTCAATCGCGGCATGGCAGCCCGATCGCATCTTAATGCAATCAGGCCGGCCATTCCATTCCCTACCGCAGCAATCAATCTGCCACCAGAGGTCCCCACTATCGGACGGGGCGGCTCGCGGCCCCGTCGACGGCTGATATCGCCGCCGACGTCCTCTACGTTCAGCGGTCTCTTTCTGGAGCATTACAGCTTCACAGAAAGAGACCACTGCGCCCCAGCCCTCCTCATCCGCCAGCATGGCAGCAATGATTGCTGGTGGGGACAGGTCTCGTCCGATTTGGTTGACCAGGACCTCGCGTTCAGACGCCCACGCGGGGCAGTCTTCTAGCGTATGCTGGGCGGACTCCCAGACTCCTTGCGTCCAATCCGATTCAGGTACTCCCCGAAGCAACCATGCCCAGTGAGTACCTGCGTCAGTCGGTAGGTGACGCAACCTCCCTCCCTACTTACCCAAGCTTCAAGGTTAGGCAGAACGGCACCGACAGCGCGTTGGCGCGCATTCCGCGGCTGCTCCAGTCATGCGCGCCACTGCACCAGTGCCTGTCGGTGGGCGTTCCGCCGCATTTCGGCTCATCCTGGTCTTCCCCACCCTCACCCCGGCGGATCGCGTAAGTCTGGTCATAGACCCTCGCGTCCATATCCGCCAGGATATCAAATGGTGGGAAACGTGCCAGGACTGTCGACGCCTCCGACGAAATTGTGCGGTAACCTCGTACGATCCTAATGGCTGGTACCCGCTGCGCTTGATTGAGCTTAGCTCGGCAGCGGGAGGAGGCCGATAGGCGCTTGGCCCATATCGGCACTCCGTAGAGGGCCATGGATCGTATCACCGCACACTAGAGGCGGCGAACTTCCTCGCGCGGACCCCCTACATTAGGCAACAGCCTCTGTAGGGAGCCCGCCACCCCGCGAACTCGGGGGATCATCCGCTCGAAATGCTCCTCGAAGCTCCAGCGGCTGTCCAGGATGAGGCCGAGGTATTTAATGTACCGCCCGACCTCGACCTCTGTTCCCCCCACTTTAATAAGCGTTCTGGTGGGAACTACACCTCTGCGTTTCCTGTGAAACCACAGGGCTTCCGTCTTATGAGGTGCAACCCTTAGACCCAGACCGCTGATCCCTTGGACGACACAGGCCACCCCTAAACCACCCCCTAAACCCCTAGACCACCAAAGCGCACACCCATGCTTGGCCCGGGATCCCATCAGGGCCCGGGGCGGTGTTGCGGGCGGCGAGTCGCTTCACTGGCTAGTAAGCCTATTGTTGTCAATAAACATTACTACGAAGTTGATAATATGTTATAATACTGTGTATAATAATTATTGAAAAGATTTTGCTTATATTTAACAAATTATAACGCTCTTTATGGTAAACCACTGCTTGACCAGTGCGAATAGAATAGTTATATCTCATCACTTCGGCAAATAATGTTTTATTTCGTGGTTTATGTTAAACTAGCCGTTTCCTGCGCTTATGGCTACTGTTCTGCTCTTAAGGGTCAAAGTGAGATTTCATATAGCCTGTAAACTTACCCAATGAATACTCTATCTACTACAAACATGGATTTTCAAACCTAACTTCTATGGAGTCTCGTTCTAGAAATTAACATCATTTTGCAGATTTTTACATTTTAAGCACGCTTTTATTAGCTTCGTTTGTATGTATGTATGGATGTAACGGAATCTTCGAAAGTGATTTTGACCCACTTCAAAACGTCGAATTAAATTGAAGCTTTGCACACTTATCAAGGACTGATGACAATACAATAATTTGATTAATTTGGCCGATTATACTGATCAGGATCTTTAGGATTAATGCTACGTGCTATGAGACGTGTGCTGAAGCATACATATGTGACTTATTTACTTGTTACTTTCAACGTTACGTTGGTCTTAATGAGAAACTAATCATCACATGACTAAAAAAGCAAAAATAAAACATAGTTTAAAAACTAAAAAAATATCAATATCTGTCAAAAACATATATTTACAGCAATTGAACTTTGGCACCCTATATATTTTTACGATAGAATGATATTTCTTTTTTTTTTTTTAATTTATAGAAAATTATTTTCTACTTTTTAGTTCGGCTATTTTCAAAAGCGAGTTTTGAGTTATTGAAACAATAATTTTATACCATTCATTTTGACGTGACAACGTCTTATAAATTGGTTTGCCGGGTGACACTTCAAGAAACTGCGTTACGCTCCGCTCACGTTATGCGCTCACAATGAGAGCGAGTGAGAGGCACGCGTCCCTTCCAATCGGGCATGGTTAGCCCGCCTAAGAGCGAGAGAGACAGACATAGTCGTTGTCACGTAAAACTTTCGCCCGTATACCGACTTTACAGGCAACCAATTTTTTTCATCTTATTGGACATCTTAAGAATATAGGCTTGAATTACAGGCTGGTGAATTTAGAGTCTCAATGTAAGTGTGTGTTTTGCTAAACTTTATTTTAATCCTTCTAGTAGTTTGAAATAAAAACAAAATTCTTTTTTGTAGAATAACTCGTATAACAATAGAAGTCTTCATAGTATTTGTTAATGTAATAACTAGTGATTATCATTATAAAGTCATTGAAAAATACAAATATTATCTAATTAAAATTAATCAAATGAAGCTTCTTAAAAATATACATACAAACGTACTGAAGAAATATCATCATCATCAACAGCCTTTAAAAGTCCACTGTTGGACATAGGCCTTCTTTAGAAAGGTGGTTTTCGCCTACTATACCACGCTAGCCAGACGGTTGGTATAGGGTTTGTTTCAAGTTTTCCTTCTCTTTGCTGCTGTTGTCCTGCGTAGTTTGGTCCCTGAGTCGGCTCTTACGACACCCGCGTGTTGACACTATATATTTTTAATCCGTCACCAAAAGCACCAACAGTAAAATTATCATAATAATAATATTATTTGCTATCCATGATTTAAATAATATTATTTACCAGTAAATAAAGCTTATTATACAGTTAATCATTTTTTAAAATGTAAGTTGTTATTTCAAATGATTTTTTTTACTATGCACAGATAAATTACACACTTGGCACTTACGATTTTATAACATTTCAATACTACTTGATTAACTTTTCCAGTCTGGTACCTTATGTTGGCATGTTTATTATTATTTTTTATAAAATTATTTAATACAAAATCTAAAGCATTACGCTTTAGATTTTGTATTAAATTTGAGGGTTATCACGATACCTAATGCTATCAACCTACCTACGACTATGCTCAGGAAAAGGAGCAAGATTGTGAGGAATGTGAGTTAGGAAACAATTCCATCTAAATCAATGAATGAGTTAAGCTACATTTGCATTGAATTTAGAAACAATTTAAAACCCCTTACGAAGCAATCAGGCAGAGAGCCAAAGGTCAGGACGAGTGCATAGGTGCTGTAATATTAATTATCTGTAAAAATGTATTTATATTAGTAGATTCAAATGAAGTAGCATTTTTCGTTGATAGATCTAGCTATCATTATCTAACGTAAATCCACCTAAAATTAACGCTTATGCGTAGCAGGACAACTGAACTTCGTTCGCTGTTTTTTTGTGATATTTTGTTTTGTTTCTTGTAAATTACCTATAGTTTTTGCACTAAGACTTACCAACGTAGTAATATGAATAGTTTATAATGGTTGTGTGTAAGAGACTATGTTTCTTTTTCTATGGTATAGGGGTCACCTGATGGTAAGGGACTATCTGCAACTCAAGACTCACAGAGTGTGTTGTCGCTTAAGTGTTTGAACTTACACGTATTCACAATATATGTAAATTTAGACACTTACTTTAGAAGCATAACGGTTAGTACAGTCAGACTAATTCTCACCACGTTTGAGAGTACCGTCTCAATAAAGACTGTCAAAGGCTTTAATGACAAGCGGTTTCGACATGATTAATGATTGAAGATGACACATAACGGAATGGAACTGCAAAAGAATGTAAAGTAACGTTTTAATTTTGTATATTTAACTATGTTAAATTACTAGGTATTTAATCACGTAAAATTTTTAAGTTTTCCTTCTCTTTGCAGTGCTGTTGTCCCGCGTAGTTTGCTCCCTTAGTCCCCACTTAGGCCATAGGCCAATACCTGCTTTCTAACGAGAGGCCTATGTCCAGCAGTGGGCTATTAAAGGCTGTTGATGTTATGTGATGTTAGATGTCATTCCCAATAAACTAATAATATACTTACTAATAATATACAACTTATATTGGATAGTGATTTTTAAGCCCCTAAATGTTTATGTATCGGAAAAATGTTAAATTGTGTATATAATTTGTAAAATATAAAGTTGTGTAATATATAAAGTTGATTTAAAAGTTTGGGAAAATATTTTTCATAATGTTGGTGCACATTTACGAACATTGTATAATTTAGTTACAAGTGAATTTAATTTATTTGTTTTAGTGATGTGCCACATCTTCAGTCTCGTCCCTTAACTTTCTAGAGAGTGATTTTCACGAAATGTATAACAGAAAGAGCGAGAGAGAGTGGCGGTCATGTCGACATCACACTGACTAAAACCACAAGGTGGCGGTTCCTCACAAATAAGTCTACTGCTAGGGACTCGGGTATACCCTAGGAAGGAAGTCACCGAGGGCCCCGAGTAATTCATGATATGCAAAAACTGTAAAGTTTGCTAACATTTTTTATGTATACAATTTTGTACAAATCCAGAAGTGACATCAACACCCTAAAATATTAGTTTTTTCTCTCATATCCTGTATAAGACCATACTTACATATAGTCCAACTTTATTTAACACTTTTATGATATACCATCATAAACATCGTAAAGGTTATAAAATGTGGCGGTTATAAAAGGATGAGATACTATCTACATTTATATTAAAAATGCAATATAACACACATTTGTGGAAGAGATATTGATGTAATATTAATGGCTATCTCAGGGAAATACCTTTGTGTCATTAACGATTATTAGTTTCTGCTATATTATACCCTTCCACTACACTAATTCTTTGTGTAAAATAATTCATTTATAATGTATTTTACCTGTAAATGAGTTTTTGACGTCAATAAAAAAGAGGAGGTTATCAGTCTGCCCGAATCTTTTCATTTTAATCGTATTAATTAAAGATGGCTGATCCGAAGTGGTAATTTCTTGTTTGGAAAGCATGATCTTTCAGTAACTACCATTAAGTAAAAGTTTGGTGAGGGAGTCCTGAAGATATCTAGATATCAATAGTAAACCAAACCTAATAACAACTAATTTTATAAAACTTATTACATATAATGTTATCCTTGCGAATCCAATCAGGGTACAGAAAAGAATGTCTATCTTCTCTGTCACTGCCAGACACCCACGTCAGGGGCACCTCATTCAAAAGATTAGTGGGCCTGGAGGTACAGTTATTTATCACGAATAAGCAGTAAACAAATCAATGATATATATACATATATATATCGTATTCTAAGCGTGGGTTAATGTTTTATATTTGATCAAGTTAGCATGTAAGGACTCACATCTCACATAAATATCCTTAATTTGGCCTTAAATTGACAGTGCATGCCTAATTACAGTTAGGTATATTTTTATGGCCTATAGGTATCTTGAATTTGCTGGCTGATATTGAATTTCTTAAAATCATATTGTATCTTTAAAATTCAGCACATCAACATTTTTAAATATACTCCTTTCTAAGGAGAGGCCTATGTCTAGCAGTGGACAAATTAAGGCTGTTGATAATAATAATATATACATCGGGATATACATCTATCGATTGCATCATTCCAAATTCAAATATCTACTCGAATTTTATCAACCAATCTAATCGAAATCAAAATAAATTTAGCTAGCTATATATTCTAGCTATATTGTACCTTTAAAGAAATAATAAATTGGTAAGTATCTTATTAAAAATGCCTGACTGTTGCATAAAACGCATCGGCACCAATCAACATATCATGTCTGTATGAATGACTACATGTATGTCGACATCACAAGTTTGATTGCCAGGTATGAATACGTTTCGTGACAACCTTACTGTGACAAATTAGTTGTTAGTGCGTGCTGCATACGGCATTTATTGAGTATTCGACGCTGTTTTTCGTAATCATAACATGGTCCGCTTGATTGGTCAGTGATATTAGACTACATCTTTAAGATTTATATGAATGTCTACGGACTGTCCTAAATTATGAATACATCACTCGATACTATGTAAGGCAATAGTTATATTTTGGACGAAATTAGTTAACATTTAAATTATTGCTAGCCAAGTTTAAACCACTTTATACAATTCTGTACTAACCTGTGTAACCTATCACGGACAATCAATCGATCTTGTGGAGCCATACAGCCTCTACAGACATTCCCAAAATGTAATTAATAAAATATGTTGGAACCTGTTTGTGTCCTTTGATTGGATTTTCACGATAGCGAGTGCTGTATACCTAACTATACAGAATTATCGTGAAATGTCAGCTATAACAGTGTTTGCTTCTACACTTCTTCCTGTATAAGAACAACAATTAAAATAATTATAAGTCATAATAATTTTTGTTTATAAAATAAAATTCAAATAAAGGGATAATAGGTAAAGTTAAAGCAATTTCTACATCAAAAATTAGAAAAAGGATTGCAATTAACAAAAATGAAGTGAAAAAGGAATTCGAGCACAGAATTTAGGGTCAAATCCATATTCAAAGGGAGAAGATTTTACATGGAGGTATGAGTTTATTTCACACCTAGATGTACTCGTATATGTGAAATGGAGTGGCTGATGTAATCGCGTCTGCCGGAGGTATTTTCATAGACGTGTTTGTGCCTGTGTATATCGATACATTCTGTAGGCCACTGTTGACAATAACGAAAACTATCACAGTCGTAGGACAACATTACTTCATTACGGTTAACGATATTTAAATATAGAAAACAACACGTTCCTCACTAGAACGTAGTGCCAATTTTGTTCTTCAGAGAAAACCGACTTTAGCCCCAAAGTATAATGTTATTCGTGAAGTTGGGTGTAGTATTAAAGAAAGAGATCCGCACTATTAAATTTTTTTAACAACATTAATTCTTTCCTTTATATATATCCACATTTAAAAAAAAACAGTTGCAATCAGCCAATGTCACTTAGCACTGTGAAGTAACTCTGAATGAAATTTATTAAAGATCAAGAAGATAATTAACGTCATGGACATTCTTATTAGGTAAGTAAAAAAAGGTGAGAAAATCGTTTTTTTTTGTCCGTAAAGAAAGTTTATGACTTGTTTATGACTTATGACCTATTATGTGTGTTATCCTACTTTTGTGGAGACGAGTTGTTACTAATAACCATTAATATTTTGTGTATGGAAATAGAATATAATAGGCGAACGACTATTTTGAATGTCACATTATCGTACATAGGCGAAGTAAATACTATAGATTTTTTTGAAGTCAAATTTCGATAGTTGTATAAGAGTAGTTACGGATATTAACGATATAATGTAGTTTAGTGTAAAAAAAATTAGGATTGTTTACAGACACAGAAATGGCAAAAGATGATGCAAACGCAACAGCTATTTTGAGAAATCTATTCACTCTACTCTATACGTTCCAAGGTGTATGATTGTATGGAAAAATAGAGGTAGTATTTTATTTTAAATTGGTTAGTCGAATAAAAAAGCAACATTAATAGGAAGGATCGATAATCATCGTCAACGAAACGTCGTTCGTAATTCTATAAAAAAATATTTATTAGATAAAAATATGTACATTTTCTAGTGTACATAAAATTACAATGCATGCTAACAATAGTCATTAAGCTAGTAATAACCGAGTATAAATGACGTACTTTTGTAATCATTAACTGCCAAAATTGCTATTCCTAAACAACATTTTATATGAAGACCGTAAATCACTAAAAGTGAAGTAAAATATAACTTTTTTAGACTTTTTTTTGGTCAGTTAAAGAAAAACATAATGGGGATTTAAATTCTTCTGTCAAACTTAAAGATGTAATAGGCGAATAATGCCATATTATTGGTATCAAGTCTTGTTCAGTCACTTCACTTTAAAATTACATTGACTTAACAACGTCGCAACCGCGTTTGAATCCTAAAACAAGAATATAAATTCTATCATTCTGACACATAATCCTGAATAAAGTTACATTCTTCATCATTGACTCATAGCACTAAGTCATACGCACCACACAAATCTGAAGAGTAGTTCGAAGATGCTGGGGAAAACGAGATCGTCGGAGGCTGCCAGCCACTTTCGCCCCAGCAGCCGCAGCGCTGGCATTCTGCAACAATGAAAAGAAGAAAATTGTATTGTATATACGTATGAATATTATGTTTAATATTGTTTGGTAAATATTTAGCTGTAGGTTACATTTAGTTAAATTGGAACATATTGGAAAGTCAACTAGTCCATTTTAGGAGTTAAGTAAAAGTTTTTACACATCTGGGATGGAGGGTTTCCTTAGCAGCGTGCATGCCTTTTAATTTTCCTATTTAGTCAAGAGAAATTGTTAGCAACATAAAGCAAACGATAAAGATACACAAGCACATTTTCAAGGGCAGGAGATAAAGTTTTCTTACTTTACTCTCGTTATTGAATGAAAAGGCAAGCACAACAAAAAATCGGTTTTGCATAATTTATTCAGTTATAGGAGAATGGTAAGGGTAAAGTGGAGAGATTTCGAACTAGTAAAAAAGTAGGTAAATAATAATGGTCGTGCAGTCAGCCTATCCTTTTCGAGTAGGGTACAAGTGACCCTTACTTGAAATCGCGTGAGCAAACTGATGCTTTTTATGTATTCATTTAGGTATTGAGACCGTACTTATCATAATTTAACTAAAAGGTTTTTGGGAATAATGTTTTCATTATTTAAGGTATGTATATATTTTAGTAGTTACCATGACTTCGTCTTCTCTTTGGCACTAAATAAATATTATTTAAATTATACCTTTGCTGATTGAAAACCAATTTGATACTTGGGAGTATCAAATTGGTTTTGGCAGTATCTAATTGGTTTACAATCAGCAAAGGTACGAGTATAATGGGGTACCATGGGGTACACCAACTTTATAGTTCGATGAAAGAATTTCGAGTTGAATTTATTAAATAGCTTAAATAGCGTTGTTATTTGTAAATTTTTAATTTCGGTTCAGTTCACAAAACCCGTGGTCGGAGTCAGTTGGTAGATCGTTACAGCTGATCTTACATTAAAAATATGATTACCGATACTACGATTAGTTTAGGTTTGGGTCTATTCTATGCCTTAAAGTTTTACACTTTTAGCAAACAAACACATCAGCCGCAGCCAATAAGTGGTAACTGCTATCAGCAAACGCTCCAAGCGCCAGAGGCTAAACTAAAGTAATCGCTATTCACGAGCCCTGCTTGTGTTTCAAAGAACCTAATCAATTTCATGAAAGGGTTATGCACGACAAAAAAAAATAGTACTGAGTCCATGTCATTATTTAAATATTATCTTTTAATTTTGAAGCTGGAGGTTTAATCTCAGGATTAGACTCAAATTCGTGGCACCAGTTTTTAGAGTTCTATAAATCCCCTTCGTTGGCTGTCAATCCGTTTAAACGAGCTCAGAATAAATTAAACGGAGAAGTGGTATTTTATATAAATTAAAATTAAGTATTGCTTACCAAACTACTAAGTTACCAAACTACGACCACACTATGTAAATCGTAGATGATAACATTTAGTCGAAATTATTCAAAAACTACAAACTAACATTAACTAGAACTAAATAATCAAACCACTCAATTGTAATGGCCTCTAAAGTGAAACTTTTAGGAATACCCCTTATCGTATTACTTTACTGAAGGTATCATAATTATAATCTGTCCTTGTCGGCCGTCTATGGTTAAGCCCTTAGTAATTAATTGCGGTATCAGAGACAAAAGAAAAACACTCAGTTTTTCCGAGGAACCTCCCTTGTGTTGTCATCACAAAGCTATGATAATTAAATGACGATAAATTATGTCCGTAAAGGCCTTACACAAATTGCAGAAGTGCGACTAAAACGGCTAACTTCTAGAATCGTCCAAGTAGGTTTTACCGGACTAAAGGCTACTTGCTCTTAATTGACAGTAACCTATTCACGTCAAAGTCGGTTTCAGAAATACAAATATTTTTGCATTAATAACGTGCGTTCATCGCCTAAAAATATTATATTTTTGTATAATATATTTGAATATATATGTGTATGTACGTTTATCTATGTATATGTGTGGTATTTAGATGTATACACCAAATTCTAAGATAGTATGTATTTAAGAAAACCATAATTTTTAACATCCCCCCCCCCCCCCCATAAACGCACCTACCTCATTCTTATTCAGCATCGGCCAATCGGTCGACTGGCAGAGAATGCCTTAGGCATTAAGTCCGCCGATGCATGTACTTGTGCAAAAAGTTATAAAATAAATAATTACATTATATTGAACATTTCGTAAGTTAGTTGATGAGTTTGTAGTCTATCTTTTTTCCAAGTATTTAATTTAATGCGCAATGACGTGTTGACTTTGGTTTGATAAAACTGTATTGAGCAGTCTTCATATGATTACAAATATCCGCTCTGTAGAAGTTCTGAGCAAATACTAATACAATACTGGCTTCAAGAACATGAAAAAGAAGACAAATGTAGTTTCTTTTTATGATTTCAATAAAGTATCAACATGACTTTTAGTGTATTTCCGTAAAAATTATATAGCTTCCAAGATAAAGCGTTAACAACCTCTTTGTTCTGGCCTAATTCTTGAATTGGTTCTGAAGTCACGGATCTTTATAGCTAATTGTACCCATTAAATGAAGGGGTTAACTGGGGACTAAACCCTAAACGTTTTGTTTGTTTTGTGTTTTACACCCTTTTTTTTTCCGTGCGGAAATCCCCTCGGATACCACCTGTCGGTGGCATGTCGGACTCGAACCGACTAAAACCGCACGCCGTCTCGGGTACTAATAGCCGGGGAACCAGGTATACCCTAGAAAGGAAGTCCCTGGTGCCCCGATATACCTCGGGCCATCTACAACAACAGGTAGACGACCCCCCCGTGTGGGAACCCCATGTTCCCTCTGGTCCCTGGAAGCGAGCGCGCTTCGCAACGCGCTCGCCGCCACCCCGGTCTGCTTCTGCTAGGGTGACAGATGGCCTCATCTGTCACCCTCAGGCCTGAAGTGTTTTTCACCCTAAATGTTCTATGTTTATGAACTAAAGTGAGAACACTAATAGTAAGCTAGACACTGTGTGATAATAAATAAAGATTTCCAAATTTTCTTTAAAATGTCCTTACTTACATACTACTAGGCCATACAATAATTCAAATGATGTACTCTTGTATTTATGATGTACTAAACTGGTGTACAATAAAGTTTATTCTATTCTATTTATTCTATTCAAACGTTATAACTAATTGCATCTAAACGTTTACACGGAAACCAATTTAAAATAAATTGTTTGCTCGCCAGTTTGGTTGTTGTCTGGGTGGTTGATTGAAAAGGGTGGGTTTTCACAGGACTTTCCTAGCAAAGTGATTTAAAGATTTGTAAGAAGAAGTACTTTTATTGTGAAAAACAAATTAGGGTTTAGCGCATCTATGCTTAAATTACAAAATGTGAAAGTGAGTTTGTTTCTTACGTTTTCAGCCCTTAACCTCTAAACCGATTTCACAAATTCCTTTACCAGTGGAAAGCTAAATTATCAGGGAGTATCATAGGTTACTTTTAACGCTATAACCAACATAAACGCTTGCGGCGCCGCGCTCAAAAGCTAGTAGTCCGTGTGTGTGAAGCCACGGTGGCTCATCTAGACGCTTCTAAAATCCTATACATAGTTTTTAGATTACTAGTGAACTACTTTTGAGCCATGAAGTTGTTATATTCGTTATTTTATTGAATGTTTTACTATATCAGTACGCGGAAATGCTCCATTACACGGAATGATTTACAACTATTTATTATCTGAGCAAAGCCTAAAAAACAATGATTATATATGTTGTGAAGTCCTGGCGACATTATTTTATGAAAAATTAAAACGCTTATTAAAACAAAAGTGCCGTCATCATCGGGCATAAAACATACACAGGCACGATAATAAGTTTTAATACATTTTCTAATAGTGACCAACAGAAGGGCAGTAATTAAGATTAGTGTTAAAGTAAAAGATTCCTTATTAAATGATCTATATTTGCTAAAGTAACCCAGCTAATTACAACCTTATTCAACCGTTACCTAAGGCTAAAATGAATTGTTCAACAGTCCTTGTTAAATGAATTACTATATTTTCTCTTTCTCTTTACGTTCAGTAGATTTCAAATACATTTTAATCAAGTAAGTGATGTTGTAAACAGGGGGCAGGCCAGACTTACACAAACATGGAGGTTGGAGTGAAATGAGGAAGTAAAACTTACTGCTCCTGAGGAATTATGTACATGCAAGTAGCAGTGTATTTTCTCTCCGTACCCTACCTATAGGCGGTATGTAGATTAAATTAAATTTTAATTTATGTTTTTTGCATGTAACATTAAATTGTATCCAAAACACGTTTGAAGTGTGTTGCACAAATCGTCACCGTCCGTCCGGTCTCAACAGTGTGCGTTGACGGGACGTTCAACCCGTAAGTATATTTCTGGATGTGGCCGCCGAAAACTTTTTACACTTTGTTCGTTCACATTCCCCTAAATAGGTCCCGGTCAGTAGGGTAAGGTATTTTTAACGATATCTTGTTTATTATTATACATTTTTATGAAAAGTTTACGTAATTTTTGTTTTCAATATTCAAGTGCGCTTAGATAGATATATTATGTTGCGTACACAATTCTGTCAGAGTGTGTAATCAATAAACAGTCTATGTATGTTTTAATTACTACTATGTTTATAAGATGAGAAGCAATGAGCTATAGCAGCGAGAGTACTGAAAGTAAAACATATAATTTCTGCTAAAAAGTAATGGGTATGCTGATGTGTTATGTGGGTGTGGGTATGGAATCAAGGAATTCCCAGTAAAAAACGAATGACAAAGAAAATATATCCTGATCACAGTAGTGATGTTCTTGAAAAGGGGCAGGAAGGCTCGCTTAAAATCTCACTGTTTAATGACATTAGTAAGCAAGGTCAAACCCCGAACAGTACCTCGTAGTGCAGAACCCTGAAGTATGATATATATATATATATATAGATATGATATAACCAAAATATGTGTGTCTGTATGTGTATAGCTTTGCCGCTTTCGGTGAGACAATAGCTCAAACATCTTATGCAAATTTAACAGATAGTAT